GTTAGACATATGATACCAAATAGGAGCGTACTGTCCTCAGTCCGTTTCAATTATTAGGTTCACATCCCCTTACACCTACTTATCATTTGATAGGGAACATGGTTAATACCTCCTTGGAAAATAAACCTCCCATGATTCACAGAAAAAAAAAGTAATGCATACCTGTAACTCATGAGAATCTATGGAGATGATTATTCATTCACAATTGATCAGCTATCAAGTGTCTGAATAAATGTTTCATTTATATAAACACCTCAAAGATTATACTTCTGTTCTCTTTTTATTACCCCAGTTGTGTTAAATACAGTCTTCAAATTGATAAGATGGGGTAGAAGCATTGAGAGAAGTAATTTCAACTTGAGGGGTCTCATAACCTGTGTGGTCCAGATGAAAAGATCAAAAGATGCCGATGTCAGAATTATTTCAGGAGTGCAGTACCATTTTCTCTCCTTTCTTTACAAAGATAAGGCAAGGTGACAGGAGAAAGATTGATTTTTCGGTGGTGAAATAGCTTAACAATATTTTTAGTTATGGATAAGGCAAAAAGTTTTATTTACATGCTTTAAAAATGGTGAAAAGTTGAATTTTTTTAGCTTGCAATTTATTTAGAAAAAGTAGTGTCCGGTTTGTAGAGATAAAAAACAACGTTTCAGGATCAAAATGACTGTCCGCGTCCGGTTATGGGAGTGTCCGCTTTGCGAAGAATGTACGTAATGCTTTATTCATAGAAGATTCCCGGGGAATTAAAAATATGTCCGTTTTGAGAGGCGTCCGTTTTGCAGGAGTGTCCATAACAGGAGGTTTCACTGTATATGGCTGATATTATAAACATTAACGTTTGTCTAAGACAATTAAGAAAAAATTATCTTTTAATTAATTTAGACTTTACCATACATTTAGCTATATAAATAAATAACCAGCAATGGACAAACAAACAAAAAAAAAAATTTAGTGACAGTTTTAAATTGTAATTGCATGGAAAAATTTAATTACTGACCACTCACTTAAACATTTTAAAAGCACAAGAATATATTTTCTTTTCTTTCTATGTATCAATAATTAAAAAGTAAATATAGGAAGCCATTCTAAATAACACTTAGAAGTAAAAAACTTAATATTTTTTAAGCAATCTATTATATCTCTAATTTTGAAGAAATATATTAAGGATTTTTACTTTTTATTGCAAAAACATCTTAGTATCACTTAAGTAAGACCACATTTTGTAAGCAAATGCATAATAATATAAATCAAATTTCTTGTTTCTTATTTTAAAATGAGTTTTTTATGTAAGGGGACATTAATTACAAAAAGGGATAGCAATGAGAATAAATTGGAAAAACACCATTTTTCACCATATTAAGAAAAAAATATTTTTTTCTTAACTACACCATTTCCTCAATAATAATTTATATTAATAATGATTAGTAATTATACAAGTATATATTTATAATTATTATATTACCTATTATTATTATATGAAAGAAAAACAATTATTGTATGCTCTTTAATAATTGATCTTGTTTGTATATTTCATCTAAATTGTTTACGGTTTAAAAATGGATAGAAATTGGTCTCGGTTGCAATTTTTAAATGACACATAATTTCATTTTCTGCATATCTTGTGCCTGCGATCAATAAAATTCTCCATTCAAACAGGCCAATATAATCACAGTTAACTTTTTGCTCAGACAGGAGTTTTATTCTTCATCTTTTTACCACCTACATTTATACAATTTATCTATTAAGGAATGTCAACAAGTAATTAAAGCTGAAATTGCAATTTTTTACAGTATGAATTTTTTTTTAAGCAACTAAATTCTTATCTATACTTACAATTTTAAAAACTAACAAAAAAAATCTCAATTACAAAATTCAGATATTTATACTGTTAATTTAAAGCAATTGTGCAAATATTCTAATTCATTCAATTATTCATAAGGTTGAAAAGGGAACACAAAAATGCCAAGTAAACTTCTCATAAAAATTTAAAAAAATGTATAAAAACAGTTAAAATTTGAAGAAGAAAAAATTTGTTCGACTATTGAGTGTTATTTTATAAAGTTAATATTTTGATTTCTAAATCAAACCATGGTTTGAACACAAAACAGAATGTTTATAACAGAATAACTACCTAAACACTTGTAAGTAGGTTATTATTACTTTATCCAAATAATATTAATAACAGCCATAAATTTACTCTTAAGTTTCAAAATTTAGTATTCTTATGTTTAATAACAATGTTCTTATTATCAAATAATGTTCTTTTATTATTGTTTGAAATTTGACTAAAAAGAAATTAAACATGTAATAACATAAATAAGATATCAAACACAATAAAGGTTTTCAATAATTATAGACCCTGGGTAATTACTATTCACATAAGTGCATTTCAGGTAGGGACAATAATCACAAAACAATAATTTTTGCTAAAAAGATGAAAAACTATTTCATTTCTTTAATTAAACTATCCATATTTTATAAAAGTAAGATATTAAATTTTGTACAAACTAAAATTTCAACACAGCACAATAATAAAAACAATGGACTTATGTTAATGATTAAAGACATAATTCTTTTTTTTAAAATAAGACTTAATTAGCAGACAAAATAGCAAAATTTTAAATAAGTGGATTACATAAAAAGGTACAAAATACGCAAAAATACTTCTGAAATTGAAAAAAAAAATGCTACTTAAATTCAAAATAATTAAATGTTCACTTCGAAAATAGATATATTATTTTTTGTTTAATATTAGTTTTATTTTTTGAAGCAATAGAGAAATTTATAAACACATAGAAGACATAATAATTTCCTAATAACGAAAATATGTTAAAAATATTATAAATGAAATAAAATTTTAAAATTCTTATTAATAGCAAATACATAACTTTTTTAATAATTTAATTAATATCTTCAAGGTAAAAGAAAATAAGTTTATATTTAAGTGAAAGCATTTAAAAGTAAAACTAAACCTGAAACCAAAATTACCTACCAAATTTTGTTTTTGTTTGTGTGTGACAATTACTGGGACAGGTATCTTCAATATGTTGGGGGCCAAACAAATGAGGACAGCATTCCAGTTTAGCGCAAATCTCCTTACAAAAATCTTCAACTTGCTCAGCATTACGTACTGTTTCTATTACTGCCCGATATGATTTGCCTTTATACCTAGAATTTTTTGAGGAAAAATATATAGTTTTTGTGAGTGTGTTTAAATGAGGTAATAATAACAGAAAAATAAGAATGAATTATAATAAAATTTATAATCTTGATGGCAATTTATTAAAAATGTTTAATATACAGGGTTATTATAAATTTCTTCATAATCTGTAAAACATTTTTACTTACTTCAGTTTTTTTTATTTTTTTTAATAAACACTTTAATAATTTAGTCAATAGTTTCATGATTTTATAAATATAATTATGCTTGAAATATTATTAAAAATAATTCATAACAATGCATTTCAAATTATATTACAGCACTAAAAATTACTTTATAGTAATTCCTAAGGCATGCAAATGCATGACAATTTATTTTTTTTTTAAGGCTAAAATATATGAACTACAAAATTAATTTCACTTTTCTTTTTAAACTACTGAAATGACAAAATAAATTGTCTTGCCTTACACTTAATCTCAATTACATGTTCCTTAAACTGTCAATATGGAATTATTAATTATTTGTCACAAGAAGAAAAATATATACTATAAAAAAGTCGATTTGAATTTTTTAAAAATTTTTAACAGATTCTCTATAACACATAATAATTTTCTTTTAGCATGGTAAATATGTTATGGTTTTGAAATATATTAATAATATTAAAATAAAATATGTTTTTGAAGATTGTGTCTTAAAATTAGGAATTAATGAAAAAAAATTAACAGCATTTTGGTATTTCAAGAAATTTAAAAGAATTTTAAGACTTTTAAAATATTATCATAAAATTGCTGTAATTTATTACACACCAAGTACTGATGTACATTTTCTAATTAAAATTAATAAACACCGTAATACTTTTACAATAAATTTTAAAACTATGACATTGAATAAAACCCAAAAATAATTTTATACTAAAGTGCTTTGTAAATGTAGATTGAAATATCAATGATTTCTTTAAAAAAATTGATTTAAATCAATATTTTTTTTAAAAAAATCAGTTAATTTAAATCATGATTTAAATCCAGCTGATTTAAATCAACAAACCCTGCTGGAAAACAAAGATGTAATTTAAAATTAATAATGGCAAGGCAACAGTTTTTAATGATGTCCAAGCATTCTAAATGCTTTGTAGTATAAAATATTTATTTATTTTTAAATTAAAAAGGGGTAAAAATCAGATTTGGATTTGAAACATTCAAAACAACCTTATATCAGATTAATACATATACAACATATATTGCATATTTTTTTATATATTTGTAGAAAATTGTGTCAGATTAAGGTTTATTATTTTTTCATTTTATTTAATACAAGTTAACTTTTCAAATACGTTACTGTCTTCATATTTTCTAGAAAAAATTAAAATAATTGAGGAACAATTTCTTGCTTAAAAAACTAAATAAGACAATAACTATACTTTTGAAAATAATTTTAAAGTAAATTCATAAAATAGAATACTCATACTGTCATAGATGCTATATTAAACATTATATTAATATAAAATAAATTTCTGCTACTAACTTAGCTTTTATCATTTGCTGCTGCATATAAGGTCTACATTTTCCAGATGCTTGTAAGAGTTGCAAGACTTGACTAGATTTATAAGCAATATTAACCACTCGAGTTATGACTTCATGTAAGACTAAACGAACAGGTCCAGGTCCAATAGCTTGTGGTAACTCAGCAAGGCGGCTTTTGCTTAGCAGAGGACCAGAAAAGCACCGGTGATTAAAATATATTTTTGAGCACCATGATTTACCGTGTTGTTGTTCTAAAAAAAGGCATTATTAATATCTATTACAATAAGATGTACAGACATAAAAAAAGTTATATACTTTTAAGGAAATCACAATATAATTGCATATATAATATATATGTGGAAAGAAAGAGAAATAGAGCTATAGTTTTGATAAGCTAGTCACTTACAACCTTTGAAAGCTACATATATACCAAACTTATTATAAAATAAATTTAGATGATATTATGGAAAAAATATGAGTTCTTCATTTGATAAATAAACAAAAAAATGCAGCTTTAACTACATGTTTTAAAACTAATATAATGTGATATATAGATTAATTAATAATAGACATAGTATGCATTTTTAACTGTACTGTTGTGTGATCAAATAAAAAATTGCATAATGTAAAAAACTTACATACACATACTATAGTATTATTTTACATGATACACAGCATTTATTTTTAATTGTGTCAGAAATTACACATTTTTTTCAGACAATGTAAAAAACTTAGATTACATAACATGTATGTCCCTAACAGACTAAACAAGATAATGTTGCACTTAAACTCTTTTTCTGTTAACCCCGAAACTTAATTCGGGTTACAATCGTTATGCTTTATCGCATGAAACATCAGTTTTTTTCAAAAGGGATACTGTGCTTGGCATGGATATTTCTCGCACAGATTTGCCCAGATAGCAAATCAAGTAAAAGGTTAAACATAATATTATAATTTGCACACTGAATCATATATATGTTTTGTTTGATTGTTACAAAAGTTTAAATTTTATAATTTTTAAATAAAATTGCAAAACTGTGATGATTTAGTGGTTAAAGCACTGTAGTGACATTGTGAAGAAGTGGGATTTGATTCTCGGTGACAGCTTAACGCCCATGCAGNCTAGCCACATTCATCGCTTCTCTTTTATCCTCCCGTCAACAAGGCGAAAGAATCTAGACTGACCTGTTTACCACGTCCAGAGTCATCCCGCATCCGGCGGACGTCAGAACCAAAAAAAAAAGATCCCTGAGAAAAACCGTCATGAATCCACTAATACCCTATACAAGTTATAATACCATCTTCAATAAATATTAATAAATTTAGTTACATAGATTTTACCCAAAAAAATCCCTTTTTAAAAGACTAATTCAAAATTTCTAAAGAAAATATCATTATGATTGAATTTAAACTTTACCGTAGTGGTGCCATCTACAGACAAATAATCTATCTTTAAAAGTATTACAAAACAAAAACTTATAATAAATTCCAATTTATTACACATATACACATTTACACATTTTTTTATGCATTAATCATCCTATCAGAGGAAATTCCATTTTTTTATGCCTACTCCAATCTCACAAAATTTAAAATTGGTAAAAACTTTTTTTTTACATTAAAATTTTAGTTAATTATTTATTACATTTTTCCAAAAATTTTATGGCTGAATAAATCAAGGATAAGGATTTTTTTACATATAATTGCATATATTTTGAAAAAAAAAAATGAAATGAAATGTGAATAGTATAACTAAAGTGAACAGCATGTGGAACTACAAGTGTTGAGTTACTAAGAAATAATATTTAAAAAACCATTTCAGCAAACAAAATGCAATTGAAGTTTACAGTAAGTAACATAAATAATATTATAGTCGAAGATCTATATAACATATGTCTATTAACTGCAATTCTTAACAAACCACATTAACTTCTCCAAAGCAAACCAAAATTTATAAGTGTGTCGGATTTTACTTCTAATGCTCATAATAATTTCATTTTCTCCCTGTAAATAATAAGTTTTAATAAATACAATAAAAATTAATTACATATTTATTTGTTTTAAAGTATTTTTCATTTAAAAATTTTATAAAAACAATTAAATATTGATCTGCTTAATATATAGCGATGTTAAATAAACAAGCTTAATGAGACTTGAAATTATTTATAAAATTCTATATAATGCAAAGCCTCATGTTTCAAGGCTTGCTTACTAAAGATCTTCTATATTATGAATAAAAAATTAGAAGAAAAATACTTGATAGAGTATAAACTTTTTAATCAAAGTATTTGAAAATTAATAAAATAAAATTTATTTTCATGATTCAGAAATTACTAACTTTTCTTCTTGTGAATCCATGACTTCAGGTGAGGAAATACTTAGTTTAGGTTTAGGTTTATAGTTAATGGGTGTTTGCAGAGGATAGGAATTACTGGCACACCAACCAACTGGGTAAAGTTCAAAAGAGTTCATACTCATGATTATAAATTTGTTCTCATCTGCTTCATTATCAAAATGCAACCACATCAAAGGTTCTACTATTTTCATAACTGTAGCTGCTGTTATCTATAAGGAAGAAGTAGCATTAAAAAATCACTTATAAATTATGTTTATTTTTAATTAATTGCATTAATTACATTTAATTAATTTCTTTTAAATTTATTAAGTTTCATTGTAATTAAACAAAGTTTTTATAAAAAATAATTACAAGACTTTTTAAACATAATAGATATAGAAATTTATTTTTGATAGTTTTTAATTAAATACAGAATTATCTTTAATTTAAGGAATGCTACAGCTTTAAAGCCCCTTTAGCAATTTAATTTCATAATTTTTTTGTTTTAAATAATAAGCTATGAATACTTTAAAGCAATGAATATTACTTTTTTTTATACAGCATTTTATAAAATATAGGATAATAATATATATGATTAAACTTCTTTTGGCAGAAACCTGACTATTAAAAAAAAGTTAATTAGCAGTNCTTTTTAAGATTATTTCCAAACATATATATATATATATTTTTTAGTTGGGTTTCACAATAAAAAAAAAGGCTTTTTGTAGCGATTTGGGAAACCGGAAAAATCAGTTATCCGGAATAGCTATGGTCCTGATCGTTTCGGATAATCGGTTCCCTACTGTACTATGATAAAAAATAAAAAAACCTCTAACTTGATTTAAAAACATTTAATGTGAAGAATAATTTTTTTCAATTGTTCCATCAATAACTGTCTTAAATTAGGTTTTATGCTTGGTAGTTGAATTTGCAATTCTTTAGCAGATTTCAGTCTATTAGTTTCAGGCATATACATAAAATAAATCGAATAAAATAAGCTAAATTATAGTTTTTGTTGAAGAACTTTTATAAAATATGAGAATGGTTTTTGGAGAAAAATAATTCATAATTCTTGAATTTAGTTGTTTTATTTAGAATTTTAAATTTTGATACAATTATTTGTAAATACATATCCTTTTAGTAATTTGTCCAAAATGTTGTTGTTGGTAAAAAATATAAATATATATTTTAAAAACTGCTATTTCTTTTCTTCATTGGCATTTTAATTAATTTCATAATAATAACCTAATTATTAAATAAATAATGGATAATTGGTTGAAAGCAAACTTATTATAGATTTCAAAAATCATTACTGGTTAAAAAAATAAAAGGTTCTATCACACAGAACTCCTGTGACCTTTATGAACCCTACGGTTCCACAGAATATCTTCTGGGAACTGCTGCATTAAACAGCTATGAGTACGTTTTGTAAATTTTTTGCTGCAAGAGTGATATTTTTTACTATGCATAAAACTAGGTTGAAATTTATGTAACTTGGTTAAAATCAAAATAACCTGGTTAAAACTGAGGCAACTAGTTAAAAATTAAAACAAGTCAAAATTAGAACTAAATTGAATAATAAAATATAAAGACTTTAAGGTAAAACATTAAGTTTGGATCTCCAAAAGTAAAAGTAATGTTTTATTAAAAATGTTTTACTCAAAGAGATTCTTTCTTTTTTTAAAATTAGATGTTTAATTCAGGGTTAATAAAAATAAAACTGAAAAATAAATTAAGTAGCATTGTCTCATTTTAAAACAAAAAAAAACATTCCTTTTAATGCATTTTAATAAACCCTTAATATTACAAAATATTAACTGTAATTAGATTTAAATTTTAGCTGATAAGGTGTAATGAACAAGAAACATAGTTTAAACAAATTCATAAATTTTCTTTGAATATTAACATTTCTGTAATTTCTTTCCATAAAATATAAAAACATTAATGTACAATTAGCAACATAAATTCAATCTCAAAATATATTCACTTCAAATTCATTAAACAAAATTTTTTATATTTTTAAACTAAACACATACATTACTTGGTACGAAGGGGTCAGCGGCTTCACACTTCATATCAACATCAAAACCCATATTCATTACACTCTGGAAAATAAATTATAATTTTAAAATATATTCTGTAGCATTGAAAGCACATTTCAAGCAAAAAAATTAACAAACCATTAAAAAAAATTCTGCTGGTGCAGGAATTGCTTTACAAAACTCAAGATAATTGTCCCACTCAAATTTGCCTTGAAATTCATAACCTAAAATAAACAAATTAAATTATGTCAAAGTTAGAAAGAAAAAAAGTAAATAAAAACAGTGAGTAAATTTTTAGCAAGATAGTAGTAATTTTACCGATATTTTTAGTAAGTAAATTTACTAATGTATACTGCTAAATACATACTGTAATGTAACATGTACTGCTAAATACACATTGGGGTGTGATATTCATAGTTAAATACTGTGTGATGTGATGTGTACTGCTAAATGTGATCCAATTCAATGCCGTATCATAACTATTTATTTTAAACTATTTAAGACAAATTATACAGCAAATTAAAGGTGAAATACAAATATTCACTTACAAATATTTCTTACAAATATTCACTATGTATAAAGTTAATTATATGGTACACATCTAACTTAAGACCAATTCTTCCAACACTCTGGTTAACAAAATCACAGTAATCAATAAGATAGTTTCTTTAATGCTGTATCTCAACTCAGACAAATCGTTAAGTACAGGAAAACAAAGATGTGATCTTTCATAAAACTCAAAAGCGAAAAATCGCATGGAATGATAGATAATAATAACTGAAACCATTTTTTATAGAGTTATTATACAATTAAAATAAAGCTATTGACTGCTACCAATTATGAAACTAAGCTTCGGGAATATAGATTCATCCAATTTGAATTCTTTTTTTATGAAAATGCTAACAAAAATAGTAAAATTAATCACATCAGATAAGAACAAGTTTTATACAATTAAAATATAAAAAAATCACTGATGTGTCTGATTGATAGAGGCGCAACTTTAAAAAAATTTAAATATTTAAATATAAAGAAAGAATCACGCGAAGTAAAAATTTAAATCAAGATAGATTGAACAAACTATGAGTATCATTTACAGATTTGCAACTAAAATTAAATGAAATCATATTGCACACTATTAATTAAAAGGGTAACTTAGATCTTTACCTTAAAAAGTTATTAGATTTATACTGATATCTTCAGCCTAATTGATAGGAAATGTAAAAAAAAATATAAATGACGGTATAACATAGATTAAAGGGGATATTTACATTTAGGAGGTCTTAGTTCTATTTTCATCTTGCGATTTACTGATCCCATACTTTTTCATATAACTATTTGCTGCTACTAATACTACTAGACTGATTTGCTACTCAAATTTACTAAAATTAAATTAAATGATATTAGTATATATGAAAGAGGTGACTTAGAACTTTACCTTTAGGAGTTCTTAGTTCTAAACCATTTTCTTCAGCCCAATTAATTGGAAATATAAAAGGGGAATTATTGTGACAGCACAAAGAGAATTCGCATTTGTCAGACTCTTGATGATCATCGATGGTAACAATAAAGTAAAAATCATTAATAACTTTGGACACTGTTGCAGGGCATACATCAGAGTAAGTTTTAGGATCTACAGCTTCTAATTTCATGCCTTCTTTAAATTCATGAGGTTCAATTGGAAGTTTAGGCTAAACAAAATGAATAAAATTCATTAGATATTTAAGGCAAAAATTATGCATGCTCTTTATTAATGTGAAAGAAAAAATGGAAGCTTACTTCAAATATATGAGCTGGAAATGGAGAGTATTTTGCTGCTTCTATAGATTTGTTAAGTATTGCCTCACAATCATCGCAAAAATTTTCTGGAATTAAAAGATGAGGGCATGACATACTGAATTGACAGGTGCATCAATGTAAAATTGTAAATAAAAAAAAATTACAAATTTTTAAAAAAAAGCTCTAATTTTATAATAAAATTTTAAACCTGGAAAATAACTAAAGCAACAATAACTTAAGAGAAGTATAACATTAAAAATAAAATATAAAAATCTTTGAATCTATCGAATTTTTAAAATGGTATTGTGAACAACTCACACAGAGACTATTTAACGGAAAACTTAAAAAATCTTAATTGAAATAGTAAAAAATACAAAATATTAGCCATGTAAATATTTTTCTAGGAATTTTCAGATTAAAGTAGCAAATTATACTTTTTTGTAGAAAGTATTTTTTTAACATTTATGGAAAACACAAACACTATCGTGATATTTTTAAAAAAATCTACTTGTTTCTTCTTACGTAACTTTTAAAAACATTTTGCTTAAATATAAATTTATGCTCACATAAATATAAAAAATAAGTATCATGACATTTTGAATTGTTATGTAATGAACAGAATACACATTTGAAAATTTCAACAAAGTGTTTCTTAAAAATATCTGTTTTCATGTTAAAAGACTAAATACTTCCTTAAAGTTCTGCTTCGATTTTCTTTAAAATGAAGCAATACATGAATTACTAATGTCATTTCCATTGTGCATAGGATATTTTTAATTGCATTGATCTATTAAATGATAAACTTTGACATTTAGGCCATATTTGTTTCAAAAAAGAATTTTTTTTCAAAACATTGCATACATAAAAAATCTGAAAATAAATAAAATGAAAATCAACTGACGTTTTAAATGACAAATATTTAGAGAAAAATATGTTTAAAATAAAACATGCATTAAAAAAATGTATGCTTAATTACAGAAAATATATTAAAAAAACAAATATCGTATTCATTATCATTAATTTAATTTGAAATCTATTTCAAAATTTATAAAGGATTAGTATTTTCTATTCATTGTAGAATTGTTCATTTTGGGAGCAATTGGCAGAAGATAAAATACCTTTTTAATGCTTAAAAATTTTAAAGTATTCAATAGTGTTTTTTTTAAAAATTACATTAAGTAAATACCTTTTGGGGGTATATACTTCAAATTATTTTCTCTGCCAAATCCTATGGGTTGAAGTCTATCAGACAAATAAAATAACCAAAAATCTTCTAACAAAGTTTCTTCGTTTCCATCATATCTCAACAGTAAACGACCACCAACATTCTGTATAATCTAGAAGAAAATTTTTGGAAAGTAAACAAAAAATCCAATAAAAATCTATGAAAATCAAACTAAAGATTAATTTTTTTTTCAATTCTCAACATTAGTAAATGAAGTTATGAATTACAACTTTCAAAATTAAAAAACAACATAAAATCTAAATAGTTAAGTTTAGAAGAAAAAGGTAAGTAAGTGAAAAAGTATAATTCAAAGCTTTAGTTAAAAAATTGCTTAAATCAGAAAAATAGGAATTTTTTAAAATATATATCCTAAATTGCTTTATAAATACATTAAAAATTGATAAGGATTAATAGCTTGCACCTAAAGACATAATAATATATATTAAAACACTTATATTGATTTTCAATTATCAAACAATATTCATATGATATCTTTCATTTAACTATATAAGAAAAATTAAATAATGAACTATTTATATACTGTTGCTATCCAAACATGCTGTGGGTTGAAAGCTTCTAAAACTTCTAGTTTCATTCCATTCTTTATCTGATCAATAGGCATAAAACTAGCAGCGACCTAAAAGAAAACGAGTATGATACAGATTTAATAAACTATAACATACAAGGTGAGGCTATTAATTTCCAGAACTGATCTAATAATGCCTGAAAATATTATGTGAATTGCCTAAATACCAATTTATTATGTTTCCAAGTTACCTCCACCTGCCATAATGCAATTCTGTACTCAACTAAAAAAATTTCAGAAAGATTTTTTTTTTTTTAGAATACTCTTCAATTTTGACATTCCTAATGTTTTTAACAGCTTTAGACCTTGATTTTTGAAAAGAGATTTTTCAGAATAAATGGTGAATAATTCACCTTCACAACTAAAAAAATGTGCTAAAGGAACAAGGTTTAAAAGATGTCAAAACCAGTATAAAAAAAACAAATAACAGAATTAAAGAGCATTCTGAATGAGGACTTTATTAAATTATTTCTGAAAAATTTATATCAAAGCACTGGTTAATGACATTGTGAATGTAACATCAAAACGTATGAAATAGATATGAATTCATAAAATATTTCTAGGAGTTATTAGATTTGTCCTGATAAGTAATAGCTGCACTTTGTAATTTTTGAAAGTGCACAACACATCAAAAGTTCATGAACATGTTTTTTAAACAATGTTAATTTTCTAAAAGTCAGAAATTTTTTTAAGTGCTTCAAAAGAGCTTTCGCAAATTTAATTAAGTTTCATAACTTTGTATGTGGAAAAATTATAGAAAATTTGATAATTAAATTTCTATATTCAGTCAAGTAAAATTTCTATAGTGAAAAAATACTGAGAATTCAATTTTTATTACAAAAGTTTTATCTTTTTATTTATTTTTTATATATATTTGAGGATATTTTTTTTTTAAAAAATTAAGAATTAGCAATTTTTTTTTAAAAAGATACATTTAACAGTTACATTACCTACAACAAGTACAAAGATTCAATTTTGCACTTTTATTAATTTTACAATTAATTACGTTCATTTATATTATTTTAGGACCAGCAACATGAATTGAAGAATATCAAGTATCAAAAATAACCGTAATTATTGTGTAATCAAACAAAAACAGTTAAAAATTGTTTTGTAGCAAATGTAACTATTGTAAAAATAAAATAAAAAATAAATAAATAAATAAAAAGAAATACTTTAGTTAGATATTTAAATTATATTTAATTTTAAAACATCAACTAATTTTATACTTAATACAATTCATAATAATATTAGAATGGAACATATTAGATGGATGAAAGGGATGATTTTTTGTATTCATCATCAGCTAAAAAATTAAAATATAAAAAGTGCAATATTTTACAATAAATGTAGTACACAATGCTGCTAAATAATTTCTCATAACGAATAGTAATGAGGATATTGAAAGTATATTCATACGCAAAATATGCACGCAACGTGAAAAAAAGTAGTTACAAGAACAGAAATACTTACATCCTCAGAAAGTGAGGGTGCAGTAGAATCTATATTATTAAGCTCTTTATTGAGTAACCAAGCAACATCTGGATATTTTTCTATAACACCTAAAATAAAGGATACGGATAATATAACAAACTAATTTTTAAATACGAAAATTAAAATCAAATAAGCAGTAGTAATAGGAATCAATTTGTAAACAAAGTTTACAAAGACATGCGACGAGATTTGAAGAAAATTTTTTGATGACTTTTTTTAGGACAAACCAGAATATCCCGAAATATGCTTAATAAAGCTAGTTAATAAAAGGTTTGATTCGACAGTTTTTGTTTTTCTTTTTACTGAGAGGATCAAAGAAAGACTAAAAGTTTGAATCCCAGAATTTTTTTGTGGGGGGGGGGGNGGATTTGTCTCGACGGCCCCCCCTGGCTACGGGCCTGATAGGCAATATTTGTTTCAATGTCTTCTTCAGCACTACAGCCTGTCATTGGCTAAGGGTCTCTCCATGAGTCTCCTCTATCTGACTCTGTCTGAACAAATAGATCAATATTGGTTGACTTCCAGAACTTGACTCTCAACAGAATCAACCCACCTGATCGAGGACTTTCCCCTCTTTATGTACCTTCTATTTTTGAAAAAGTTTTTAATTTAATTGGGTTTGGGTCATTATACTTAGCCATCTAATGCAGATAGCCTTTATCACCTTGATAATATGTGGTTCTTTAAATCTACTGTAATTTTGTATTCTACAGACACTCTGCTTACATTGCACCCAAAATCTTTCAGATTACTTTTCTTTTAAAAATCAGCAGCTTATCTTTTTTAGATTTATTTAATGGCCAGCTCTTGCTGCCAAACAAAGTAATAGGTCTAATTTAGTTTCGTATACTTCAAATTTTGTTTTAACATTGATACATTTGGACTATGGACTATTGATACATTTGGACTCTCCCAACCCATAGAATCGCTGATTGAAAATTGCTTGTTTTGTTCTGCCGATGTAATGCCTTTAACATACCTTTTTTGTTTTATGAAATGAAAGAATGGAGAAAAAAAATGAAAAACAGGGAGGAATAAAAAGTGAAACAATCATTGGGACATCTTAGGGATGATGAATCTACATTTAAATTTAACCTTAAAGAAAATAAATCTCCTGAGAGGCATACTAAATTTTAAGTACTGATATGCAACGACTATAAGAGGGAAAAATGCATTGCATACCAAATAGTATAGCGGCAAAAATATTATAATAATAAATAAATAAATACCTTTAGGAGGCCATAACTTTTTTTTNACCTGGTGATGCAGAACCGCCGAATCACGATCAGAGAGCTTGTAGACGAGGTGAGTATTAGTTTTGGTTCCATTCAATCAATTTTGACTGACGACTTGGGCCTCAGGATAGTCTCAGCAAAGTTTGTACCAAAGCTGCTAACATTTGAGCAAAAAAACCTTCGTCTGGAGATCGCACAAGACATGCTGGAAACTGTGAACGGTGGTCCCGACTTTATGAACACAGTGATTACAGGTGACGAGTCATGGGTTTATGGATATGATCCAGAAACCAAGCACCAGTCAACACAGTGGAAGCATCCTTCATCCCCGAGGGCCAAAAAAGCAAGGCAAGTTCGCAGCAATGTCAAGGTCATGCTAACTGCCTTTTTTTACTCCAGTGGCTTAGTACATCACGAGTACGCACCACACGGTACTACAATCACCAAGGAGTACTACCAAGAGGTTCTGCGTCGCCTTCGTGGCGCAGTGAGGCGCAAGCGCCCGGATCTGTGGGCAACAGGCAGTTGGAAGCTCCATCATGATAACGCTCCCACACATTCTTCCCATTTAATTCAGAACTTCTTGACAAAACACAGCACACCAGTGGTTCGTCAACCTCCCTACTCTCCTAACATGGCTCCCTGCGATTTTTGGCTTTTCCCAAAGCTGAAAATGCCACTAAAAGGGACCAGATTTCAGACCAAAGAAGACATTATGCAGAATGCGACAGACCATCTGAGAGCCATACCGAAGGAGGACTTCCAGCGATGCTTTCAACAGTGGCAGAAGCTTTGGGAGAAGTGTGTGGCAGCCCAAGGGGACTACTTTGAAGGGGATTTGTATTAAATAATTATATCATAATAAACGTTTATTTTATGAACAAAAGTCGGATACTTTTTGATCACACCTCGTAAGAGGAAAAAATGCATTGCATACCAAATAGTATAGCGGAAAAAATATTATAATAATAAATAAATAAATACCTTTAGGAGGCCATAACTTTTTTTTATTGGCAGAGCACCAACCAACAGGATGAACCTCTCCTGATTTAATATTAAACCAAAAGTCAGCTGACCGATCTTCCCCATACCCAGCAAATCGCAGTGATAATAATTCACCACAGGTCATGATTACAGAAGCCACCCAATATGAAGAACCATCATCTGAACTAGGTATTTCCAATTTCATTCCTACTTTAAATCCACTTTCTAAACTGTATTCCACCTAAAAGTATAAAAGAGATATTTTGCAACAATTGAATCAAGAATATTAAGATTATAATATTTTATTTAAAAAACACATTAGAAAAAATACTTCTTTCTTTGTTTGACAATTAGGCAATTAAAACATTTACGAAATATCATATTTGTAAATTATAAGTATAAGACTCATTTTTTTAAGCATTTCTAGGAATTTTTTTGAAAAATAACACTTGGTGTTTGCTATATTTACTCCAATTTTCGAAAATTAAAAACTGAGTGTTTTGGAAAATAACTCAATAAGTTACATAAAATTAAAAACAGGCAGTTTTGCTATATTTACTCCAATTTTCAAAAATTAAAAACTGAGTGTTTTGGAAAATAACTCAAAAAGTTACATAAAATTAAAAACAGGCAGTTTTCAGTTTTTTAAAAAAAATTACAAATTTATAAAAGTAAATGAAATTGGAGTAAGTGCAAATGACACTAAAAGGTATTTTAATAAAAATTATTTAATTTTTTTCATCTAATTTATTCATAAATGTTGGAATTGCTCAGTAAAAAGAAATAGGAAATATTAAAAATTCTTAAAATGAAGTTCAAATATTATATTTTTAAAACTTTAAAAAAACAAAAAACATACATGAGTAAATGCTGTTGGTGGAGCAGCGACTGCATTTGTATCTTCAAGATAATCTTCCCAAACAAAATCAGGATCACTTCCATCTTGTAATGCTACATTTCCTATTGGTGCAATTAAAGAATAAATAAATACGAAAAACTTGATATTTATAAAACTCAGTTTATTTTCATCATACAGTTATAAAATATTTGAGCTTTGTATTGTGATGCTTATCGTCACTCAAAATTAAAATCAAGAGAAAGGGCTAAAATTAGATTTCTATAACATTTCACAGTCTTTGATTAAATAAAACTACCGTGGGAAATCTCCATCGGCAAATAGTAACTTAAATACGGATAAAGTAATTCAAATAAACAATTAGGTTTAAATCTTATAATGTCATCCCCATCATGAGACAAACTCGAAAACAATAACTTTTGGACTTGACCTTTCCTCAAATTTGTCACTTTTTATCATAAAAAATAAGATATAAAAGCAGCCGAAGGTAAGGGTTTGGGAAGCAATCAAAAGAGCAATCAGCCAGATTGTCCTGAAACCGAAACCATGACTAAACTTGGTAAGTCTCTCTCCATCTATTCTAAAAGTGCGTAAGAATTAATATTAAAATGATAAGTTGAATTAATTGTATATTTTAATTCTAAAATAGTTATGTAATGCTAAATTGGCTTAAAATAGTTATGTTATTTCTTAAATTGTTTAAATAATAAAATGTTACTTGTTTAAAAGCAAGACTTCTATTTATTCTTTACTTAACAGAAATAAAAACGCCACAGTATATATAATACTTATATTAATGATGTTTACTTTTTTGGCGTAATAATTTTAAAATTGCCTTCAACAATTATATCACTGTTTAATTGCCATATTCTTTTTTATCAGACATAATATACAAGTACAAAGTCCAATTGCCTGGTACCTGTTTACCAGAAACTTCTATTTTTTTAATAAATTCTAGTCTCAAGTCTTTTTAATATTTTTTAGATTAAAATCTATTTTCTTTTTTCGAAAAGGAAAAAAAAATTATTTTTCTTTGCTGCGAGCTTAGGATAGGTAACTCTACTGAGGATAGCTAAACATTTATGCTGTTTTAATGAACACACTTAGAGAAGTGTTGAAGAGACAAGAGCAGTTAAAGGAAAACAAACTTTAGCAAAAAGAATAAACTATAAAAATTAATAAAATTTAACATAAATAATGTTTGAAAAAAACACACCTGTTTACAGGCTTAAAATCATAAATGTTTTTATTAATAAATCTATTGTTAAAAACGATTTTTTAAAATTATTTTTATTAAATAGGATAGATGATTGATCTTCCCTTTCAATTTGAATACATAGATATGTATATACAGTACATAAATACAGATATACTTCTATTTAATGAACTTCCATTTTGCAAATTTCTCTTTTTTGCGATTTTTTTTTGAGGAACCATGAACAGTTTGGAAATATCTTACACAGTTGGAAATAACAGTTTGGAAATTTTTAGATACACTTTCACTATTTCCAAAAATATTTCAGAGCATTTCAAACTTGTTAACGCATTTCATGGGGGAAATGACCTTGAATTGATTTTTGCAGCCACTTAACTTTTAGGGATAGCGGTAAAATCTCTTTTGTTTTTGTTTGCATGTCAAACAGGAATCCATGCCAAAGAATTACAAGAAAACATCAAATTACAAGAAAACATAACAGAAATTTCTAAAGCATGGAACTATTATGTTACAGATTGTACTATTCATAACAGTTTTGTTAAAGCTGGATTCTTAGTCAGCACGGAGAAATTGGAAAATGCGTAGGACGAGGATAATATTCCTTTAGAAGAACTTTAAAAAAAATGTGGGTACTACTAAGAGAGAACCACAAAATTAATGATGATGAACTGATTAATGATTTTATTTTTATTGATTCTGAAGCTGCAACCACAGAAACATCAACCAAATCAGATTTTTCGGACAGTAGGAAAAATAAAAATATTACAGCAATAAATTGTGAGGAAAGCGAAGAAGATGAAACAGAAATGATGACGAAATGTTAATTTGATACAATTCGATGGTAGATAATAATTTACAAGATAAAGGTGTATCAATTGTTATTTTAATTATGTCTAATGATTGAGAATTAAAACCTGTTTTGTGTTTTTTAAGTATTTCGAATGGTAATCTTATATTTAATGAATATATGAATATTTGTACTGTTTCTAATTAATATATATATGAATGTTTGTACCGTTAATTCTACATATCACTCATATTTTTTAATTTATTTTTCTATATTTCATTAGTGACTTGATTTATCATTCTAAATATCAAGTCAATTAAATGTTATTTCACTAATAACAAAATATAAATATTGATGTTAAGTACAATTTATTCTTAATTTACGCATTTTTCTATCTTTGCTTACCTTAAAGACAGATTATCCAGAAAAATCTATTTTCTGGATTTGTCAAAGTCCCGTCGATTAAGGATAAAGGATTTTTCAATGCAGAATTATTAAGAAATTCATTTAATGAAAAAGAAAATTATACTGTAGACTATCAATTAAAGTTTAATTAATCTACATAATAATAATAATAAAACAATTCTTTAAAATATTAAACTATAGATTTAAATTACAAAACTTGAATAGATAATAACATAAAATATCTATTGTTTATTAATTAATAAACATTATTATGCACCTTTTGTTGGAGATTCTGTGATAGAATTACTGACATTCTCACACTCCATGGTGAATTAGACCTAAAAATAAGAAAAGACATAAACAACAATTGCCAAAATTTTCAAATTATTCCAAAAAACATTATCTTAGTATATTATTTAAGTTTTAAAAAAAAATTAACAACCAGATCTAGAAGTGTAGTTACATATGATCACAATCCTTTACCTATAAGAACCTATACAAGAACTTAAAATCAAGATTTAAACTTATTGAAAAAAATAATTTACTTAATTAAAAAAAAGACTTGATTTATGCAAAGTTACTTAAAAGCTATCATTGATATAGGACATAATTATGTTAGATATATGGCATAAATAGATTATCTATAAATTATTTATAACTTTTCCTTTCTTTATAATAATACAGGTTATAACATGCATGAAAATATGTTTTTTCTTCTTTTTTTTACTGATAAATTAATTAATGTGCATATAACATATGGGAGATAAACAGTCATTTTGCCCTTATAATAACTACTTTTTGGTTCTGCGAATTGTGATTTTAAAAAAATGAAGAAATTAAAGAAATCAGATGCTTTTTATTTAAATTTTTTTTTTCATTTAAATCATATTTTTATAATATTTATCAATCTAAGTTTGGATAAAATACACTGATAATGCTTAATATTATTTAAAAACAATACTATAATTATAGTACTTAAGATTTCTAATTGCAAATTAAATTATTATTCTAAACAAGCCATTAAATCAATGAAATCATAGTTGTTTTAACTCAAACTCAACACCCTCATGAATTTACGAAGACAAAAGCGGAATTTGTCAGTTGGACATCAAATGAAGAACAAATTATTTGCACCAGAAAAAAAAGTTTTTTTAAACTGCTCTTAGTGAAACAAGTCTTTCTTAATTATTTATATACGTGAATTACATATTTAAAAAGCATTAAAATTGCTAGTATTCAAATGAGTATGAATAAATAAACATAAATGAGTTTGTATGAAAAATACTTTATTAAATTATTTTAATTATAATTTAAAAATTTTGCATCAGTTTTATCCACATTTAAGTCTTTTTTTTTTATCTATTGACCATCAAATAATAATTTACTTATAGTACCTTACGTCATTATTTCATTGGAAAATACTTCCAAAATCAATGAATTAAGACTTTAAAAAGCAGAAACATAAAAATATATTAATAAATTATATACTGTGTTAAGATATTTTTAATATATATCAATGCTTTATTTCTTAAAAAAAAATCAGATGATTTAATTCAATGATTTTTTCAAAACAAAAATCAAGTGTTTCAAATTATACCAATCCTGATATCTACTACATCTAATGTATTTCGTTGATATATTTGATAAACACTCGGCCCTCCCAATTGCATATTTATTAATTATTCTGTTCTANTTTAGTGGGTCAGTAAAATGAGTATTATTTCATAGGAAAATACTTTCAAAATCAATGAATTAAGACTTTAAAAAGCACTAACATAAAAATATATTAATAAATTATATACTGTGTTAAGATATTTTTAATATATATATCAATGCTTTATTTCTTAAAAAAAAAAATCAGATGATTTAATTCAATGATTTTTTCAAAACAAAAATCAAGTGTTTCAAATTATACCAATCCTGAATCCTGATACTACATCTAATGTATTTTGTTGATATATTTGATAAACACTCGGCCCTCCCAATTGCATATTTATTAATTATTCTGTTCTAACTTTTGAAAAACTGAGGACCACAAGAAAACCAAGAGCAATATATTTTCAAATCAAATCAATTTACTTGCATTATGTACAACATATGTAAGATTTGCATAAATTTTTGATTGAAAAAAAAGAGGCATAATTCTTAAAAATTTAAGAAACAATGTCATGGACAAATCAATCTTAAGGACATATATTTGTATCAGTATCTATTTGTGGGTACTACTTTTACTAGGACACTTAAGTGCTTTTAATTTGCAAAAATTTAAAAAAAATTATATTATGGCTCAGCCAGGACTGGCAACAAGTCATACTTCTCAAGTTGGTCTCTGTCTGTGTTTTCTATTTATTTATTTCACACAGGCCACTTAGCAGAAATTGCCAAAACTTAGTGACTATTTTGGCACAGATACTGATACAGAAATTTTCCCAATCTTAAGAAAGGTTGGTTTTAATTATATTAATATGTTCATAACAGATATATAATTTAATTTTAAAAAAAAGAAGCTTTATAGATAAGCTTAAAATTAAATTAATCCTATCGCAACTTTTCATTTCTTAAAATTTGTTTGCCAAATACAAGTTTCTTATTGTTATTACAATTGTTTATTCACTTTCAGCACATGTGAAACATAAAATTTAATGTGTACAAGATATTTCATTTAAACAGCAATATTACAAGATATCTTACTATTCCTAATACAAAACAATTTTTCACATTATTGAGGTTAAAATAAAAATCATCAGTGAAACAAAGTATTCAAATAGTAATTAAAAAACCCAATGAAAATTTTCGACCAAAAGTATATAATCCAATTCACATTTACAATAAAAATTTAAAATTCCGAAATTTTCGAGTAAGTACAAGATTTAAGAAATTGCTAAGCAAAGAATTAAAAAACCTTAAATAAAAAATAAAAGTAACATAATAAATTAAAGAACATAATACCAGGAAATAAATTAATTGAAGCAATTAGTACAGGAATTTATAATTCCTAATTATTTTATGACACAACTATCAAAACATATTTAAAAAATAAAATTACAAGTTTTCTAACTAGTTGAAGAAATTTAAATGAGTAATTTAACTAATTTCTTGCATTATCAGAATAGAAAACAAGAAACAAACAAAAGCGGCATAAAATTGCGCAAGAGGTTTTTGGATATCTATTTTTGTTCAAATTGGAAACCATTATATAATAAATTTTTCTTGAGATTTTGTCCGAAAAAAAATTTCTTACTGCAGAAAAATTTTAGAGCTCCTTAAAATTTTCAAATCTTAATATATCTCGAAAGGATCATTTATCTGTTGCAAAATAAGCCGACTATTCCAAGAAAATTATAAGCATCAAATCATTAATTTCAACAGCATCAACTCAACTCCGAAGATTCCAATGTTGTGACTTGAAGTTTTGGTTTTAAATAGAAGTATCAACGAATGAACAGGAAATAAATACATATTTCTTAAAATTATTTAACTTTAAATTTAAAATTAAATTGAGCATTTTTTTCACTGCATAATGTTTATTTTGATTTTGTGTTCACTTTTTTACCATCCTCGAGTTCTCTATCGATGATATGTATTTAAACTTCAAGTTTAGATAGCTATTATATTAATTTTATTTAGGTTTGTATTTTAAGTAGTGTTTTTTCATTATGGGATCTGAATTACATTGTACCCATGGTGCCTTAACAGATTCTTTTGGCTGGCTGGTCCAGGGAATTTTAGCATGTTTAGCATTTACATGTCTTGTATGTAAGTATGTGTGAATTGCTGTTATCTTTCTTAATCTTAGCAAAAAGAAGATTATTTGCATGTCCGCAATTATTGCTTTCCCGCATATTTGTAGTATCATAGTTGCTGTTGAATTGCTATTTCATTGTTATTGCTATTAATATATTGGGAAAAATTATGTCTTTTAATTACCATAAAGGAAGTTTCTATTAATCAAAAATATACATAACTGAAGTATTTATGTAAAAAATTTATTTGTTGATTACATTAAATTGACCGAATATTTTCATATATCATGTAGAAACATATGAATGATTGTTTATAACAATATAAAAGTTTTTAATATCTTGATAAGCTGAAGAAAAATTGCCCTGTCTTTGGAGCGGCGATGTGCCAGAAACTATAAAATAATTTCAGAAAAAAACCTTTTTGAAGGGTATAGCTCGTAGATACTCCCAAAAAACCTCTATTTGTTTTGTTTTTTTTAAAATTGTGCAAGTTTAAAATCCATTTTGCACCTTGACGTTTGCATTTGGTTTAACAGATCAAGATATGGAAATATGCCCAACCAATAAACTGATGAGATTGTCAAAAATCAAACTGTGTATAGTACAGGAATGAGGCCAAAGATGAATCTCAATTAATCTCAATGCCCATAAAGTTACCCCCTAAGAAAAAAATAAAAAGCAGGAAATTTCAGTTCCATTTTGTAACAGTACGTTATTGAACTTATTCAGCTTTTCTCTGAGTATCATATTGTTACAATTTTATCTTGCACTTTTTGGAAACCAAGTTCTTTTGAATAAGAGAATATTTTTTTCTTTTTTTTGTATGCTAATAAATCTGCTGAAATAACTTATTTCGTAATCAGATTTGTTTGCTAAATTTTTATTACTCATATCTGTTTCTAAGAGATAAATTTGGGTATGTATGAGTAAGAGTGTGACGCCCGGTAGCTGAGTGGTAGTGCTTTGCTCTCTCGTGTCACAGATCCTGGGTTCGATTCTCGGACCGAGCATGGCTGACTCAGTCTTTCATCCCTTTAGTGGGTTGGTAAAATGAGTACTAAGCAAGCTTGGGAACTAAACACTGGGGGATCCGCCTTCAGCTGACCACTCAACCGAAACATCTGCTCCTGCACCCAAGTGTCCAAAGTCAAGAAAACTGAGATTGGTACTGTAGACCTTGACTCTCTTTGGGCTGTCACGCCATTGAATTTAGTTTAGTAATGTGTAAGAGTGTAAATCATTCTTATCACTTTCAAATACAAATCTTAATATACCGCCTAATCGATTGCAGCTATATATTATTATTGGTTTGCAAAATAGTATTTGAGGCCTATTATCGTAAAGCAGTTGTACATTTCTAAATTGCTAAAACATTATAAAACAGAAACTGTTGAAAAATTAAATAACTCATAAGTATTCTTTAAATCAAATCTTAACTATATTTATCTCAGAAATTATTGTTTATTTCTGCATTTGACTTTTCTATTCATTTGCTCTTACAAACAAAATACAACAAGTCTCAGCATTTCCAAAATTAAGAATATATTATTCTGCTGTAAAAATAGCATTCAAACAGGGTTCCCTAGGGTCTGGAAGAACAGAGAAAACCTGGAATTGTCAGTGAATTTTATTTTAACTTTAAAAAAGAGGAAATAGTCTAGGAAAGTTGAAATTTAAAAACCTGGAAAATTTATATATAATGCCTGGAAAATAACCAGTCTTAAAATTGTCATTAATCAGTTAAGATTCGAGTTAAATAATTCCAACCTCTGTTGCAATTGTTTTATGAAATTCCACTTTTTTGTGAAACTTTTCCATGTTTCCAATCTCATTCTATTATATGTTTTTGTTCACAAAATCTAATATTTGACATAACAAATAAAAAATCAAAGTTTTCTGATGAAAAATTGCATGGTATGGATCAAATATGGTTTGGATTTTCATTGAAATTTACCTGATATATCTGGAAAACTCTGGAATTTTTTTTTCTTTCTGAAATTGAATGTGAACCCTCTCAAAGTTTTTAAAAAATAGAGATAGAATTCATTAGGTACTTATTACTTAAATAAGCAAAATGCATGTTACAAGCAGAATGCAATGTTAATTAATAAGTAGAATACAGTGATAATTTTATTTATATTAACTTGTTTAAATGTGTTAACATTGAAATGTCATTCAGAGTAGGTACAATTCATTTCTTTACTTATCAATTAACATAACATCAGAGTGACTTTGTCTTTATAATGTTTTGTCACATTTGACTAATAGTAATAGGTTCAAATATATATTATCTGACTAATGAAAAATTGTAGCACACTAGTTTTTCTCACTTATCATCTGGGAATAATTTTGCTGTCACAAGTAATATTAAAAGGGGGGAAAGTAACATTAGAAAAAATATATAATTATAATTTTTCTTCCACCCTACTTTTACAAACAGTCCATGATAATTTAAACTAATATATTTTTACTCCGATTAACAAACCTATGAATTGAAATTGAACTGCATGAGTTAGTCTAATTTAGACTTAGGTACTGCTTATTAGAGTTATGATAAAATAGATTGTTTTACATTAATTTTTTGTTGTTAGGATAAATAACTTAATTTGTTGGTGCTTACATTAAAGTAAAAAATAACTATTTTATGAAATGTCTGCTTTTTTATCAAGTCAAAAAAAAATTTTTTTTTGGAAGTAATTCATATAATAATTCTTAGAAGTAGATTTATGTTAAATCATGTTATCTAATGTCCCATGATATGTTTTTTATTTATTATTTATAAATTCACACTTATAGTCTTACTCTGAAAATGAGTTAATGTTGTTTTTTTGCGATTCAAATATTAATAAAATTATGATCAAAGTTTTTCTTTTTGAAAAGAATTCTTTCTTTTTTATAGTGAAGAGATTTTGTGAACCTCGCAGGCAGAGAAGGCCTTGGTTAATATGGTAATAATTTTAATATGTGGACTAATTCCTTTCATAAGCTATTTGTTTTACATTTTTATGTATTTTTATAAGTATTTAAATCTTTCTTTTTTTTTAGGTTTTATGATACATCAAAGCAAGGAATGGGTGCTTTAGTAATTCATTTTGCAAACATATTTTTAGCTGAATTTTTTCAAGGAGATCCGTGTACATGGTAAGTTCCTTCTCTTTCCCGATTTATAAAAATTAGTTGATATTCTGTTATTTACATGATATTTTGTACTCCTGTTTTAATGACTTAGTATAGTTCTCACAATGTATCATGTTTAAATTTATTAAGGGTAATAAGTAGAAAAATCTTAATAAGTTAGCTTATTAAGATTTTTAATTTTTAAGATATCTTATTTATTTTTATCATATATTCAATTTGTTAAATTTTATTAATATCCAACCTTATTTTTGCCGGTTATAAAATTTTTTGGGGGGCCAAATTTTTTTAATATGTTTTATAAAATACAGGACTCTGAAAGAAAAACCTGATTGGCTATTTATATTCTTATATTCTGTTTGCAGTATTTAATGGCTTTTCAGATTATTGTGAAATTTCTTGATTAGTCTGGTATAAAATCTTTAGTTTATTAAGATTTTGTAATGATACTAAAAGTTTTTATTTTAAATTTATATTACCGTTGTATTTATTTACAGGTATATTGTAAGTTTTTTACTTGATTCTTCCATTGGACTCTTTATCATTTTTATTGGTATTCGTCTAACTCAACATATATCTCGAATCAAACGATGGGACCACTTAGTATTTGGAGAATATGGTACTTATAGCATTATCTTCTTCTGTATAATTTTCTTTTTCTCTTTTTAGCATAACTTTGCTTTTACTGATAATGTGTTGATGATTAGTTTTTAACCATGATTGTGCTAATATAAATCTACTATAAACTGCATATTTATTTGTTAATTTTCTTTTTGCATAAAAAGGTCGTAAGTACTATCGCCTATTTGTGCCTTTTCAAATCTACCTTTAAGTCATTTTTACAGAAAATAGTCCCATCATCAGAAAATGATGTGAAGAAAAATACAAATACTGTGAAACCTCCAGGGAGGAACACCTCTGTGTAACGACTTCCTCTATTTATGACCATTTTTGGGAGGCACAGAATGTTTTCCATAGCCTTTGTGTTAAAGAAAACCTCTAAAGGAGACCATTAAAACCTCTCACTGCGACTTTGCAAACCTCCACACAAAATGAGGAAAAGGTCAAATAAGGAAACACAAACAACTATCAAAAAATATTAAAACAAATAAGTAGATCTAAATATTTTTTAAATATTTGTGAATGGCTCTTATTTAAAGAGCCCTTTTTTAAAAATCTCTGAAAGAATTTGGCTACCTCATATTACAGTCAGAGAGCACTAAAGACGATGCTATCAATGATTTAGTTTTAGTTAAATTAGGTGAAAAGTTAAATTAGGAAAAAAAAAATATTTTTGAAAAAACTAAATGTCTGAAGCAAACAAGCCTCTCATTTGTTAAGTAAACTAACTTTTATGATGTAAAATTAAATAGTTCTTTGAACAAAAACATAATTGTTTATCTGTTGAAAATAGTTTTACCATTCATAAATTGGTAAATTTGTTTTAACACATAATTATGTCATTATTAGGGGTTATTTTTATTGACGCTAAATTTTATTCGTCAACCTGGTTTTCATTATGCCAACACAAGTGGTATTTCCGCACCAAGAAAATGACACTGGGTAAAATTAAAATCGCTAGTGAAAAATCGTGTACCTTCATAACATTTTGAGGTCAGTGAATGTAACCACTGAGAACAACCAACCTCCATTAACGACTATTTTACAGTGGAATAGAGGTTTCACTGTATAATAAATAGATATATATGTTAAATAGATATGTATGTTCATATTTAAGTATTTTGACGAATATATTGATAAAAAATAAGTGTATTAGTAACACTCTTTAACTCTGATTAACAACGTAGACTTTATAAAAATTACTTATTTTATTAAGAATTGTTGTATTAAAATAAATATTTTAAATTAACATTAAATGTATCGAATTGTTTATTTTTTATTTGTTTCTTTAAATTATTATGAGAAATTTTTATTGTTCAGTTATAGGTGATTTGATTAATTGTTGTTTAAAAGTTAATTCTATGTTTCATTAATTGTTTAAAGAATAATTCATTAGTAATTGCTTATAACAACTATTCATACATTACTAATTAATAATTAAGAGCAAATGAATTAGTTGAAAGAGAAATATCTTTCCCAGGCGTCTAAATTTTTCTTAGAGGTACCTATTTTGTGATAATTTAGACATAATTTGTGAAAATTAAAAATTATATTAAAAAATCAACACAAAAATATGGATTTATTGTTTCTTACGGGATACAAAAATAAAATTTTAAGAAATAGTATTTTGTGAAAATACCATTTTTCCTAAAGTTGAATTTATGAAGGTACCACTAAACGGTAGTAAATTTGGCCTAGACAGACCCCTGTATTGCTGTAATTCTTCTTCCTTTATTTTATATGTCATCTTTTCGTATTTAATATAACTCATGTTTTCATTTATTAACTAAAGAGAGCTTAAACACATACGTACTTTAATCTTTTTAAACTAATGTAATTTAATATTCTAATGATAGACCAGCAGTGATTATTTCTTTTTGATTTTATTATATATAGTATTTACAATGCTGAACTATTTATAAGTAATTATTTTAATTATGAGCTTTTGAAAGTTTTTAATTGCACATTTCATTCTAAGACATTTATGTCAAAGTTGTCAAGGCCGTTAGGACTTGCAGACACGCATGCAGCAACAACATGTATTCAAATAGTTTTCAAATTTCATCCTTAAACAAATTTTTGAAGAAGCAGCATTTTGTGCATAAAATAATCCAGATTGTCTTCTAAACTAAGTTTTAAAAAAAACAATAAATTGATTACATTTGTTTTGATTATAGGTAAACCTCCATACATCAATGCTTGGCTGTCACAATGTGCTGTTTACATAGCTCTAATGCTAATTGAAAAGATCTTAATAACTCTTTTAATCCAACTAAAGTTTTGGGATCAGGTAGGGACTTTAATTTACTTAAAATAATTGAAGATTTTTATTTTTATGATAAATATAAACTCATGTTTGTGAAAATTGCAACACCGTGAAGGACTTATGCGAGTGAGCTGAAATTTTCAGGAAATGCAAATCAGAAAATGATATGCAAATGATTAGAATTTCAGATCCGTTGCACATGCGTATGCCGAGCAGTGCCCTCTGAACGGCTGATGGATCCGAATAAATAGACGGCCGTAGAGAGGCCTCTATGGTTATCGGTGGTTATCTGCTTGTGATAAACGTTAGCTTAGTCGTTACTTATGCCTCTTCATCGAAAAAGAGCGAGATTTCAACAACTTACGGAGTTTGAGCGGGAGAAAACCATCAACCTTCATGAAGCTGAATTGTCTTATCGTGCAGTAGCTGTTCGTGTGCAGCATAACAGCAGCACAGTGATGCGTGTTTAAAAGCAGTGAACAGACGAGTGTCAGACAACTCGGAAATCCGGGAGTGAACCCCGAAATGTCACGTCAGCTCGCGATGATAGACAACTGGCAGCACAGTGGTCAATAGCTACAGGTGCTTCATTGTGTGCTTCATCAATTTGTAGACATTCGTGGACTGCACGCAAGGACTCCTTTATACAGGATCCTCATGCTAAACCATCGCCGCCTGCGGCTGCACTCGGCCAACTAGCATAAGGACTGGCGTGCTGATTGGCAGCATGTCGTGTTTTCTGACAAATTACGCTATGGCGGTGAACGCCACCTTCCGAAGTGCGTTATCGAACGCCACAGTGGACGAACAACCGGAGTTATGGTCTGGGGTGCCATAGCATATCATGGACGATCTCAATTGCTACGAATTGTGGGTAATCTGAACCGCAGCCGGTACATCAGTGAAGTTCTACAGCCCCAAGCTGTTCCTTTCCTTCAAGCCATGCCAGGTGCTGTATTTCAACAGGACATTGCCCACCCTCATATTGCTAGGACTGTTCAATCCTTCCTTGCATCGCGACAGGTACAACTTCTTCCTTGGCCGGCGTATTCCCGAAATATGTCGCCGATTGAACATGTGTGGGATTTCGTTGGTCGGCGTCTTTCTCGTGATCCTCGTCCTGTTGCTTCTGCAGACGAACTTTGGGTGCACATACAAGCAATATGGAATGCTCTTCCTCAGACAGACATTCAAAATTTGCTTGACTCCATGCCACGTCGCGTAGCAGCACTTATTGCGGCGCGTGGAGGCTACTCAAAATACTGATTTTGATCTCTTGTTATTGTTTGTTTGATTTGAAAGTTCAATCATTTATTTGTACCACTACCACTCAACTGTGTATTAAATTTCATTTAATTATGACGATTCCTTCATGGTGTTGCAATTTTCACAAACATGACTTTATAAAATTTTTACTAGTCTCATTGCTGTATAATTCTTGTTCATGCTCATTGCTAGGTGTAATTATCTAGCTAATGAGATTATTATTTAATTTAACTTGCAAAGAAAATGAATGATAACTTTTTTTTTTTTTAGGTTCGTAAAATCATTATGTCGCCGATCACAGATCCAAAAATTGAAGTTGCCATTGTTGTTCTTATAGTACCCTTCATTATCAATGTAAGTAGGTTTTTTAATATTTGTAAAAAAAAAAAACTCTTCTTCTATTTAAAAATTTTTGTTTTCAATATTTGTGAAGCATATATAAATTACTACACATTATAAAGATAATGTATGTAGAGATAGTTAACTCTGTATCTATATATTGATAGATATTTTATATAGCCTATATTATATTTAAAAGTTTGTGCAGATGAAGTTAAATCAAAAAAGGTCATATAAGCAAACACAAAAAAATATCAAAACAGGAAATTTAACAAAACAATTAAATAGATTAAAATGTATTCAAAATTTTTGTGTGAGGCTCTTATATAGAAAGCTCTTTTTGACAATACAACCTCATGTTGCAACCAGCGTGCACTAAAGACGATGTTATCAATGATTTACTTCTAGAGTTAAAAGTTAAATTATTAAAAATAGTTATTTTTAAAAAAAAAAACAAGCATCTCAAACATACCTCTTCTCAACTTTTAAAGCAAACTTGTATTGTGATATAAAATTAAATGTAAACTTGAACAAAAAACATAATTGGTAATTTATTTAAAATAGCTTTATCATTCATAATTAATAAATTTGTTTTTACGCATAATTATATCAGCTGGGATCATTTTTATAGACGCTAAATTTTATTCATCGATACTTTTTTTTTCATGCTACCAACAGAAGTGCTATTTCCGCACCAAGAAAATGACTGATTAAAATTAAAATCGTTTGCAAAGAGTCACGTACCTTCAATAACAATTTTGCAGTCAATGGAGGTAACCCCTAAGAACGACCAACCTCCATCAACAACCATTTTACTGTGGAACGGAGAGTGGTTGCTCCCAATAGATTTGACTGTGCAGTAAAAATAAGCCAAGGCTTTTCCTTATAAAGACCAGAACCAAGAATTAGCTACTTAAAACAGTATTTTACCTTTAAATTATCGTTGAAAAAGAGTACTTGGTCTTAGACAATTGAAAACTTATTTGAATTGTATGAATTTCAATAACTTTTCTTTTCATTTAGGTCTTTATGTTTTGGGTTGTGGATAATTTCCTGATGCAAAAACATGGCCGCTGGAAGCAGAGTGTAGTGAATGGTAAAGTGAAAATACATTACGAGAGGGATGAGCAAGATTCTTGCTCAGAATCTGAGATCTTACTCTCCGGGGAAGATGATGCTTTAGTTGATGTCACATGTCAACAAAGGCATCCTATGGTGGTTCCAGTTTCATAAAAGTGACCAAACTTTTTACTGACCAAAGCATATCTCCTGTTAATGAAACCAAAGAGGGAGTTTTGAAGAAATGAATAAAAGCTTTGTGTACTTTATAATTAACAAAAATAGTTTCACTATGTTGAATATAGGGTGATTTTAATTTAAAATTTCAATCGAATTTCAAGAGGCAGCTTTACACAATATAAGTCATTTTAATGTTGTTGTTTTGTTTTTTTTTTTTCATTTTGTAAACATAATTGGAATTAAAAACGAAAAATTTGATATTAGATTATTAGTCTAGCAATGGATGCTTAAAATGAAACAAAAGTTTGGTAATAATTACGAGGGAGCTAAAAATTATTATAATTGATTAACAATTTTATTTACTACTCCTTTGATGCTTTCTAAATCAACTCTATCTTAAAATTACTCGAATTCTTCAATTTGAATAGAATTTCTTTTTCAGTTTCAAAATTCATAACTTGAAGTGTAGCTGGAAAAAAAATATTTATATTTTTTCTTTTAAAATTGGTATTAAAATATATCATAGCATTTAACAAAAAGAATATTAAATTTAGATTTCTAATGAAGTAATTTGTCTTTGAAACATAACTTTAATTTGAATGTAATGCATTTCTTATTGTAAATTAATAGATAATTATATGGCCATAACACTTAACTAAATTGTAAATTTAATGACCTGTCCACACCCCTAAGGCAGAAAATGCCAAAAATTGTGGTGTTTGTTGCAAAACACTTTAAATTTAAAGTAAAACTTCTTATATCCAAGTCCCTGCAAAATAGTTTATATTGCATGAATTAAAATTTTATGTGTGGTCAATAATTTTTGTTTTTTTTTATATCGGAGTTTATAAACAGTTTTATGTTTAACTCATAAAGATACTTTTTCTGCAATTTTAATTTATAAAATGAAGAACCTTTTTTTAAAAAAAAAATGGTTAGACTTATGCTATTGAGAGATGTTTGTTTTTGACAATTACTATGAAGCATTTGTATTAGATAAAATTCTGTTCCTGGGATCTGGGCTTGCCTTATGTAAATGGGCTAGTGTAAGCAAAAACGTCTTTTAAATAAAAAAAAATTTTAAGAGTACATTTACAAAATAGCCTTTGTATCATTCAAAATTAAGAAAAAAATTCAAATTTTAATGATAATGAAAAAAAATTTCGTTTAAATTAATACTAAGTAAACATAAATGACTACATTATCAAAATTGTCCACACTGGCCCCCCTTTATCCTTGTTGATCTGCCATCCATTAAAATGATTTTTAAAATTTTTTAATCTTGCCATTTAGGCTGATTGCTGCACTTACATTTGTTTGATTAAATGTAATTGTTTTGTGTTAGCTTCCAATATAAATTATCTGTGAAAAAGGTAAAAAAAATTAAATCCTTTTGATACTGTATCCTGGACAAATGATTTACTTATGGTAATGTTTTCTTTCAATCATTGCAGTTGGGTTTGGGTTTAAATGCATTAAAATGTTAATTATTAATGTAATTTTTTTTTAAAAAATTTTTTTGTTATTCTTTGATTGTTTTTTTTTTATTCAAATTTATAAGTATTAACATGACTTAATAGATTATCACAAAGAATCAATGGTTAGAACTTATGAAAGTTATGTTTGAATTATAGAAAATTATCATAATCTAAAACAACGGTTCCTTACATTTACTTGCACGAACCTCCAATTTTCATAAAAATTACTTTGAGGCCCACTAAAAATAAATTTTAAATGAGCATTTATTATGTATAATGAGTGCATACATATATATAACACAGTATTGGCCTCATCCGCAGCCCATGGTTTAAGAACCGCTGCTCTTAAGTATGAAGTCTGCTTTTAAATCTTATTCAAAATTTTAAGTTTTGGTAATCAAAGTGAAAAAAATATTAGTATTTTATTATGATCATTTCATACTACAAAAAACTACATAATTTTTATTTAGTAAAAAATAACTATGAAAAATACTTAGAGCAAAATTAAAGGCTACTTATTAAAAAAAAAAGTTGTATTGATTTCTTTAAATGAGTGTGAAATTTAAAAAATTTGCTCTATTTATTTGTGATACTTCTCTCAAAATTGGCAGTAAAGCCAGTTGATTCAGTAAGTTTTAAAATACTCCCCAATCCTATCAGTTTTTAAAAATACATGGCCAGTTATTGTAATATTGTACCATTTGCATTTTTGAATGTTCCTATTTTTTTACCACATTGTATTATTATCATAAATATGCAATAGGTTGTAATTTATGTGCTTCTTGTAAACTTTTTCATCGTAATGTTTTGATTTAATATTAAATTTTGTGATCACCCTATTCTCCAACTTTGTGAAATTGCAAATATTTTTGCTACCTATATAAAGCTGTTGATTGTTATGTATTTGTACTAGTAATAAATAAACATTTACGTCCAGAATTAGAAAGGGAATGTCTTAATTCTATTTATCTAAAAATGTTTGATAAGATTTTAAATTTTATCATATTTGTTACTTTTTTTCCTTCTTATAAATTGTTCCTAAACTGTAAGTTATTTTTGAAAAAAATTTTCTCTTAATAAGTCACAAAATTCATTGTTATCTATCAGTTTTAAGAGGAAAAATGTAAGAGATTATAAATAATGAGGACTATATTTATCTAACTTATTATAGAAATAACAAATAATTACCAATATAAATGTCTTAATCCTTAATGAATCTATTTTTTATTTATCTAAAAAAATATATGCATGTAATTTTTAATTGTAGTTACACTCTTAGATTTTCTAAAATGTGATTCAATGATCATTAATCAATTGTATCACAATTTAAATGGTTAAACTTAATTTTTTTAGTTAGATACTGATAAATTTGTAGAGTTTTTCTTTTTAATTTTTTTACTATGGATATAATATTTCAACTTTAGTTCCTTCATTTATTTTTGCAACCCTTTAAAACTGTTTGTTTTGTCATTTAAAAGTGTGTTGATTCCTTATAGTTTGAATCAAAAGCATTTATTTTTAAAATGTGTTACTTTTACTTTTTATTTTATATTTAATTGCTTTGAGACTTTTAATGCTCACTAATGACCTTTTATTGCATAAAAATTTAAGTTATTTTGCTAAATGTGACAATTAAAAAATATTTAACTTATGTGTCGTTTATGGGTAAAACAATTTAATCATTATTGCAAAGTTTTATCTTTTGTCAACAATATGGAATTGTTCTGTGTTGATTGTAAATGAAAATATGCATACTAAGATACAAGCAGGTTATATATAAGCATTATCCCTCATAAGATTTATAGCTGATTTTTTTCTGAAGTAATACCCAGACTCAAATCAATATTTTTAGTTATTTTTATGGATATTTAATTGATCACTTCAAAATAATATTCCATTTTCAAAATAATATATTGTGTTTAAATATTTAACCCTTTTTTACATCCTTTGCATTTGATATGCTTTTTTATTATGCATTCAACAAATTAAAATTCTTTAACTTATCATAAAAAAAGAGGAAATTCTAATATTGAAAATTTTATTGATGTATTTATTTTTTTAATGTTAGAAAAATGATTTATTAATCTATTTTAAAGATGCACATTACTAACAAACAAGGTGACATTGAGTCATTTAAGCAGTGCATGGACCAAATAAATTTAAAAATTATTTTTATAATCTATCATTTTTTTAATTACTCCTTCCATCTATTTCAAATTTAAATTAAATGTTTTATTTACTATAATTAATATTAATTAATATTTACTATAATTAATATTTAATTAAATGTTGGTACTTTTTTATACAGTAATCATGAATTGGAAAGTTTTTTTCAGCTATTAGGAGTTAAGTTTATACTTCTTATAGTATTTAATTTTTCCTTTGAGTTTTTTTTATAGACTATAATGTGAAGATTACTTTTAATTAAACATTTATAGGCATTGATTAAATTATCTTTGATAAATCAACTCTCATTTCTTATCTATATGTTTTATGTATATGTCTGATTTATAGAGAAATAATATTGATTAATTAAGTCACAAATAGCTCACATAAAGACGGGCTGCATCTTGCTTACCCATGGTCCAATTCAATATTTTAGTTACAATTATAGTTTAAACTAGTGATAAGAAACTTTAAAAGAATAACATTGTATAATTCTTCCCTTGTGGAATGTTTGCGTGATCCTTCTTCCAATTCATTTAATCAATAAAAAATATGAATCTACTATACAAGTGTAAATATTTTTATCCAATCTTCAGTGTCATAACATATTTAAGGAGAGTTTTTCCTAAATGAATGTTGTATATTAAAATGGACATTAATCAAAATTATAAAATAACATGTATAATTATGGATTAAATTCAATAATATCAGAATGAGCTCATTAATTTGTTTGTCTTAATTTTGTGAAGAATATATTTATAAAATCCTTTTATTGTTGTTATTGTTTCTATCTATATGTTTTATCGTTTGTTTCTTGCTTACTACTTACTAAAATGACATGTAATTTTCAAAAGCTTTATTTTAAAATATTTATATTTTTAGTGAGATGTCTTCTTTGTATCTAATTATATATGTTCTGAATTATTTTTCTAAATAAAATGAAAAACCTATGTTGTTCTTTTTTATTATTATTATCAAAAATAATTTGTATTGAACACATGCTATTATATTAACAGGGATGAGATTTTTTCACTTTTTAGCGGATTTACTCCTTTTTTGCTTTTGTCTCTCAAATTTCAGCCTTTTTATCAAAAACTCTGATTCTCTATAAAAGTTTTTTTTTTTTTTTTTAATTTTTATAAATATTCCGCTTTTTCTGAAAATTTTGCCGTTGAAATTAAATAATTATATTTATTTTCAATTTGATATACAGATATAATACATCAGAGATATAGAGAATAGGTATATAAGATATAGAGAAAATTCAAACTACGTAGCTGCAAATCCTTCCGCATATCTACTTATTTTAGCTTTTACGAGCAGAAAATAAGATTTTTCTCATATTCACTGGATTTCAATATCGTTCATTGCAATTCTGATTTACGAGATTTAAAAATCCTATGTCGTGTTTTGTATTGAGGAGTTTTTAAAATTCTATGTAAAAATTCGTATTCACGCGAGTTTATCCAATAGCGCGTTTTTATGGTTGTAATATCCAACATCTATTTTCTCATTTACTCGTGATTTGAAAATTAGGCTTTGGATTTGTATTCACACCATTTAGAAATTATGCATCGGAATTCGTATTTACGCGATCTAAAAAATTACTTATCATGATTTTCAACTATTCACATTTTAGAAATCTAATATTGAGTTTCCTTCACCTGATTTCAATATCATGATTTATTTTCACGCGATTTTAAAATCCAAGATGGCTATTTGTATTCACTAAATTTTAAAATCCTTTATCGCGATTATTGTAAAAAGTAAATTTTTTTCTTGAATTAGTTACTATAAATGTGGCAATTTTTCTATCCCCGATTATTGCTATGTATAGGTATTACAACATCAGCGAAACTGGATGAGAATATGTTACTGATATTTTTGCTATAAATCGCGTAAGATTTACTCGCGTGAAAATCCAGCTTTCGGGCAATCTCATCCCTGTATAAGTTAGATTTTACTAGGCAATTTAGCTTTAAGAACAAGATTAATCAATAGAAATTAAATAAATTCTACTGTAACTAGAACAATGTAGTTTTCCTCTAAAAAATTCCTTTCTTTCCCCTAGATGGCAGCACTACTATAATGCAAACGTACTATTAGAGAAAAGAAGCTACCTAATTCTAATCTTAATTTTGATTAAGTAAAACTATATAATAGTAAGTATTCTATACAATTAAAAATTTATTTCTTTATTTATGTTGATAATTTACTTATATTTTTTCAGTAATATCCCACGTGGTCTAGTGGTTAGGATACCTGGCTCTCACCCAGGAGGCCCGGGTTCAATTCCCGGCGTGGGAAGAATTTTTGTGACAGTAGGTCGCGAATATTATTTTCAAAAAACATTATTTTTGTCCCAATTTGCAGATTAAATATCTTTTAGCAAGTAAATATAAAAGTTTATTATTAATATTTTTATATATAAAGGGTGGAATTTTAAACTTCTTCATGTTTTTTTTTAATTACTAAAAATTACTCCAAATAATAAAGTAGGAAAACAGAATAGCTATCATCCCAGTTTGGTCTGGCAATAAAATACTCATAACAAATTGTAATTGTGTCCTTAAAATTTTAGAAAATTGAATCTTAATTTAATATTACCTTGTTTCATTTAAACTAAACTATTTCTGATGGCTTATATTTATACTCAATCACAGTCCCTGGGTTCAACAATCGCTTATACATTTAAAATAAATATGGAAAGTCAGTCAAAAATAATAAATACCTTAATGTATATATTTAAAAAAAGAAATTAAACTTTCGAAAATTATTCTATAGCCATAAAACTTTTAAAAATCGTTGATTCAAAAAAAAAAANAAAATCAAAAAAAAAAAAAAAAAACATATCTACTTGCATTTTTTTTTCCACACCGAATTGGAGCATGTGGCTTCTATCATAGCTTTCCATCTCACTTTATTTGTGGCCAAACATTTTGCCTCTCTTCATATCTCTCCTATTGTTTTCAATTCGATTATATAATCGTCCTACACTAAGTATTATTGGGTCTTTCTCTATTTCCCAAAGGGTTCCAATTAAAAACTTGTTTTACTTTAAATTTTTCAGGTTTAGGTAGAACATGACCCACCCATTTCCATTTACGTTTTTTAAACATATGCAGAAGAAAAGAATAATAATATCTCCAAAGAGAGAAAACAAATGCATAGGAAAATTATAAATAAAAAACTTCCTTAACCTTCTGCAATTCTAACAAAATAAAATTTAATTTAAAATATCTATCTGTTATTTTTATAGATGAACTAAGCATATTTGATTTAATATTAGTACCGAAAATTTAAACAGTTTTCTAGAAGGGATTAAGTGCAGCTTGGAACATAAAAAGGGAATTGACCAAATATGTTTTGCTTGGTTATTTGTTTTGTTACGGGCATGGAAAATAAATCAGTAACACTATAGGATCGAAGTTCATTTTCATAAAAAGGGGTTGAGCCTCAAAAATATTAAAAAGTTTTTTTTTTTACAAGAAATAGTAATAATAATCAATATTCTCTATACAGAAACATCTAATAAAAGTAATATAAGAATGCTGATTTGTAACTATTTGGGATCTGCAGAAACTTATTAATAATTCCCAAATCCATACTTTTGTACAAATTTTAAAGAAAATTAAGTAAAAAAGGGACATCATTATATTATATTACCAAACAGAGGATAATTTTCAAATTTGACATAAAAGGATTATAGATTTACTAACTTATGCATTTCGTTTTAAAAGAACCAAACAATGAATTATCTGTTTAGTTCTTAGTTTAAAAATTTGTTTTATATACAATAAAAATATAGCAGAAAAATTATCTGATACACATATGAGTAAACCTATCAAAGGTGTAAGGGAAAATAAAGTTTAACACTAATAAAACAATAAAAAATTTTAATACTTTTTACACTTTTAATGGATCTATGTACAGTTAGAAAAAAAAGGACACCTTGAATAATTAGGACTCAAATCTTTGATTTAAAACTTTTATACATGGCAGAATTTCAGACCCTCAAAATCATGGACGTCGTTTGTGGGCGGGGGTTGAGAATGGGTATAAGTCCCCCTAAGTATTTCAAATATAAAAGGAAAAGTTAACTATCATCGATTTTAATTCCTTGCAATTGGAAACAAGAAAAAGTAATCTTATTTCAGGTTTTTAGTTAATAAAAAATTTTTTTTATGTGAAAAACTTAGAAAACTATTGCCACCATGTAATTTAATTTTGTCTCTCTCAAAAATTGTGCCCTTGCGACGTTCAAGCTCAGAATATAGGTGGTAGCCAAAATTTGCGAAATATAGTAGCAATAGTTAGGTAAGGAGAGAGGCCGAAACCTTAGACCGCTAAATGTTTACTTCGAGTATTTCGTCATAGAGAATTTTTTAAGTGAATCGCAAATTTTTTGCACACAATTATAATATTCATTTCACCAAAGTTAATTTCATGAAGAAAAATTTTTTAATAATTATTTATACAAGGTTTTAAATCATTTTAAAGAACTAATAATATTAAATGACGAAATATAAAACTTATATGAATAGTTTCTGAAAAATCGAATTTTAAATATACCACTTTTTAAAAAAATTCGATTACTCGGGAACTATTCGGCAGACTTTAGTACTTTAGATACTTGGTATACGTGAAGGTACGACCATCAAATCAAAAGTCATTCTAAGTGTACCTTTTTTGAGTAATTTTATCTATAGTTTAATGTTTATATGTTAAAACATCGACTTAAAAAGGTCCCTTGATTATTCCGATTTCAATTTTCCAACATACCCCTGCTCCTGAGAATATTGGCTTAATTAAAGTACCTACTGTAAGTCAAAATAAAAGCAAATATTCTATTACTGTGAATGCCCTTTAAGAAATAAATGATTGAGTGTAAACTAAGTCTACAAATAATAGTAAGCACCACAAAACCATAATAATATTTTTATTTTGAAAGAAACAAACAATGATACATAATGTGTTTTAACGAACTCAAAACCATATTTACAAAACAAGCATAAATGATTAAAAGTTAAAAATGTGTAAGGCATAAAATAAGTCGTATTTTTATTTATTATAAGTAATTAGGCTTTTCTTTGTAAGAACAAGAACTTAGTCATGTTTCTTTAAAAAAAAATTTTAAAAAACTATTTTGAAAAAGAAAAAAAGTTCTTATGCCAATTTTTTTTTCTCCCTAGATTTTTTTAAACTTTGTTCATGCTAAAACTATATTTTCATAAATGACTGAAACTAAATGTGAAGTTTGCTTAAGACATTTGAGACTTACTAAATTTCTTGGGGGAGAAATGTGAACCACTAAACAAATCTAAACATGTTTTAAGTAATTGTGAATCACTTCCAAACTAATTCATAAATTTTACAAAGCTAGCATAATTGGGATTTTTAAAATTTAAAAATTAGCTTTTTGCAACAGAGGAAAAATAAAAATGGATGTATTATTTGCTAATTTATGAATAAAAAATTTATGAATTAGCAAATAGTCTTGTATTATTATTTTTTTTATGGCCAACTACTAGCGACGAGCAAAAAATAAAAATTCAGTTTACATTAATAAAACACTTCTCATATTCAGTTCTTAAACATTTTCAATTTATGCTTTTTGACGGTTTTCCCCACTAATATATTAGAGTGCCGATTATCCGTACCAAACCCGATCCGAATAATTGAACAATAAAAAACGGCCATCAGAATGTTTTAAAACAAAGAAATAACTTCATACTTTTTCAAGATTTAGGATGGGCAATTGTAGTAGCGTCTTTAATAGCACATTACAAGTAGCTTGCTCAAAACTTTAAATTCTTTAGAATTTTATTAGAAACCAGTTTCATTATTATAAACTATTTGCCACCCACCTTGAAACAGGGTGGAAAGAACATGAACTAAGTGGAAAGTCACAGAGTAAAAAAAAAATAGAAGCCATTTTTGATATTTGTTTTATTAAGGAAGGTGGGGAAAACACATCACCCTTGAACGATCCAGATAATAGGACAATCCGGTTAATCTGCGTGATACTGCACTTTATAATTGATTGTATGCCTATCAAATTTTACAAAAAATAAATATTTGTTATTATTGGATTCATTAATAAAAATTAATAGAATTATGATAGGAAAAAAAATTATTAAAATACAAAGTCAAGAAGATTTTAGAATTTATAAAACAATACTAGAGTAAAAAATTATTAAAATTAATGATTTAAAAAACTTTTCTAAAGTTACAGCGCAAACATTAAAGTTACAGCGCTAACGTTTTGAAAACTTTCAAAAACATTATCTTAAATTATTTGCAGTTTATTAACTACAATAGTAATTTTTTAAAATCCTCTTTTTTGTACTTTAATACTTAAAGCTGACGCTAATATTTATTGAGTACATGTAAGAATATTACTCAAGTTTAACCCTTTGTGAAACAGTAAATCTCAGTTGCAAATTTTAGTAAGGCAAACACATTGGCAACTGTGACTTCAGTCAGTGTTTTCTCATTGAAGAGACATACTTTATCGCTTTGTTGCTTAAAGAATAGAGGTAGCTAAAAACTGATGAATGTTCAGAAGCAAATAGTTTTACATTTCTAGTGGTATGTGAAAATTTTGAATAAAATGTTGCCAGTCTGGCAACACTTTAATAATGGTTGGAAAGAGTTTAAACTGGCACTGGAAAGAGTTAAGGAACTGTAATCAATTCAATAGTAAACACAATGCCAGAATGCTGAGAGTGAGTCTATTCCGTACGCAATAGAACACCAGTTAGTAGCAATAGTAAAATTTAGTGTTCAGATATTTATGAGAATAAAGATTCCCTTCTGCTTTTCTAGAAATATGTACTTTTTTTTTTAATCAGAAGTTCTAAAATTCGTGCAAAAGTCAGAGGGGTAAAATTGCAAAGGTAAAAGAAAAATGATGACTAAATATTAGGTTTAAATCAAAATGAATAAATTAGTTAGGAAAACTATTTTAAGAAGATTAATCAGCCAATAATGTTATTTTCTGACGAACTCAACTTATTTAATATTATGCAATATTTTATTGATATTTTTTAAAAAAATTTGAACTACTTTGTTTATTTACATTGAAAATAAATTAATGATATTGAAATGTAGTACAGTACAACGTTCGAAACATGGAAATAAATACACCACACAAATAAAATTGCATAATGACATATTATTTTTCACTAATTACATTAAATATAATTGAGTTATAGCACTAAGCTAAACGTAATGTCAAAAATTTTAGTTCATTTTAATTATCACTTGACAAAGAAAAGGATGATACAGGGTTCATACACATTTGTTGAAATAAAATATGAATTTTCAAAATTGTCAAAAGTAATCCAGTTGAAGGTATGAGTTTTTTACATACTTATTGATCATCTTAAAAATGGGAGAACATTGCAGCATTTTAATCTGTTAGACAGAAAATTCAAGTGAAAAAAATAATACAGATTAAAAAAATAAGTATGACATTAAGCTGCATTTCTTAGAGCATAATAATAGCAAAAGAAAAAACCCTGCAAAAATGAAATTATAATATGTCTTTTTTTAAAAAAAATAATTCATTATTTGGAAAAAGGTGACAGTGAATATCATATAATTCTATCTAAAATCGTTTTAAATACTTTGATAAGATTACTCAGTATCTCAAAGGAAAATTTTTTTATAGATAATGAGAAATCGAAAATCTCAAACATGTTTAAAAATTAGATCAACTGAGTACACCTAAAATTATTGAGAAATTAGGGGAGGAAATAAAATCTGGTTTATGTAAAAAGGAAATTTTAAAATTAAATTTATCTCAAAAATTCATTGAATATTAAAATCAATTTAGCTTTATAAGAAGGTTGCTTTATACTGAGACATAGGAGGGAGGAACAAAGCTGCCAAAAATTAATATTTACTAAAATATAATCTCAATATAGAATGTAGGCAAAAGGGAAATTTTTTTAATAGATACATAAAAAAAAGCAAACTAGAAAATGTATGAACCCTGTCTTAAAAAAAATTCTTTTTCTTTAACAAAAAGTAAAATAGTAATAAGAAAAAGAAAAGGCTTTCTTAATGAAGGAATTACTGAAAGCAAATAAAGATTTCAAATATCACAAGGAATGTATTCTGACATACATTATATTAAGCATTATTAAACATCTTATTCTACCTTCAAAAATATATAACTTAAAATGCTTAAATTTTATTATTCCTGGGGGAAATTATCAAAAATCCTAGAATTATTAGGGTTTCCCTCCCAGGCACTTATTCATTTCATTTCTTAATTGCTGCAAATTTTATCAGCATTGTTTATGCTATCTTTTATAATAAATAAAGGTTAATAATTACTATTTAAATTTAATATAAAATGTTTGTATTATTTCATTATTTTTGAACTTAAATTTACTTTCCTTCAAGTTGTTACATTGTTTTTAGTTAAAACAGATATTACTGAAAGAATCTTAGATGGCATTGGCAATTAAAATTGTTATTTATAGTTACTTTGCAGATTTTAGATAGCCATGTTAATAATTCAAATTATTAAAAATAACATTTATTAATGCACTCAGTATTAACAAGGTAGTTACAATAATAATTAAATAAAACTAAATTTCGTAAATCAAAAACAGTGCAATTTATGCTTTGGTTTTGAAGAAACAATATTCATTAAAAAGAGATGACATGGAATGACAAGTTTTATGCATTCCACAATTAGTGTAAAGTTTAATACTTACTCTTTTACACAACACAATAAAAGTCAACAATTCTTTGAAAGTTAATTCAGTACATATGAGTACATCATTTAAATAATTGTTAAAATCTATACACTTCATACTACTGGCTTCAGTGAAAAAGAAAGTTTCGGTCTCACTTTTCCTTTGTTTAAAATTACTTGTTGTTCTTCTTTAACCTTTTTCTCTCTTTCTTTAGCAAGCCTCCTCCTTTCTTCATCAATTCTACGTTGCTCTTCAATCATAGCTAGTCTTTCTTCAGCCTAATTATTGCAGGAAGAAAAAGAATTGGGATGAATAATTGATAGAGAAATTAATGACTTTTCAACTTTGGGATCTTAAATACCAAGTTGATTTGAAAAATATTCAAAATTAAGCATCCCTTTGTTATAAACCCTTATTTTTAATAGAAAAGTTACGCCTAACTGTGTAAATTAAGTTTAATGCATTTAAATTTATAATTAATTAAAATTCCCTTTTTTATAAAATAAAATATTAAGAAACAAAAGAATATTCTTAAATATTATATATGCTCTTATATTTGTTAAAATGCATTTATAATTTAAAGTGTCACAAAATTTTATTCAACTGAAAATTCCAAATAAGATATTCTTTTTAATAAAATATTTTAATATAAAAGAAAGTTTTTCTGTTATTTTTCAGTCCCTAGTTAGCTGTTCAGTCCTAACTGAACAGCTAACTGATCAAGAACTAAAAAATATTCTTTTTAGTACAACTTTTATTCAATAAACTGTAAAAAAATTACTTTTCATAAAAAGTAGAGTAAAATGGTTTGAATCAGATAAAAACTATAATAAAAATCTTATAATGAAACAGGTCTACTACTTAAAACCTTTTAATTAACTGAAAAACTTATTAACATACACTTCTTAAATAAAATTGATAAATATTAGATTATGATTGTTATATTAGATTACTGATTATTGAAATTGATAAATTTTAGATTATAGATAGATTATAGATATCTGTTGATCCCTTTATGAATTTGACAACCTTCACGTCAACTCTTTTGCCTATGCATTATTTCGTTTTCTGATTCTATCGCTAATCATGTTAATGTGGTTATCATCATTAATTTTGATTCGATAACATACTCACTTCTATAGGGAAATTTTGAGATACATAGGTGCATAATTAATGATAGATCCACTCGAAATATAATCTATGTTTAGATGTTAATTAAATAAATTGTTAACAGCTTACACTTTTTTGTCATGACTAACATTTGAAACATATTTTGTAATCCTTGCATAATGTGAATTTATATTTATGATCGGAAAGAGGCAGGAATTGCTAGGGTAACCTTTGAAATTAATTTATCTAAATATAAAATAAACTTGGACTTAATTTCTACTAATGTTAAGAACTTACTAATTTTTTATGAGCTTCATCAACTTTTCTTTTGTTTTCCTCTAAAATTCTTTCAAGCTCTTCTCGCTTTTTCTTTTCTTCTTCCTAAAGAAGGAAAAAAAACGTATTAAAAAAACTCAATAAAAATCAATGAATTAAAGTGTCTACATTAGTTTAACAATCAACCAAGATTACCATTGTAATATTATCTCCAAATATCCCTGATAAAGCCTACATTATAGCGTGAATAAAATTTTATAAGAAAAGAAATGATTGAAAAAATTTCTGCTATATTAAATAGGCATAATCAAACTAAGGCAAATACCATTAAAACTTGTATAATATTTATTAAAAGTTCTGTCTTATTTTTAAATAACTTTACACAAAAAATATAACTTCTTTAGCTTATTAATAACCATAACTTTGTAATTGATGTAATGAATAATATTCAAATAATTTTGAAACACCAATCATTGCTGCAATAAGTAATGCAGACAATTATTGGAACATCTGAAATATTGAGAAACAAGTAGTGATGGGAGTAGGTGTACCATAGAATTTAAGAGTAGAAAACAATAAAAGACTATAGTAATAAGCTAAAAAACAAAATAAAAAATGCAAATTGAAAATCTAGTTGCAGATAGCTTTGGTTCTATAAACAAGCATCATGCATTTTGAAATAACAGCTCATACCTAAATTTTGTACTTGCACTTTTTATTTTGCATTTTATAGTCCCATTTGTCATAAATCATTCTTTTCATCTTTAACTAAGATTGATTTATTTAAACATAAATAGTTTCAAAAGTTACAATGCAAATTTTACAAAGAAATACAATAATGGTTCAAGAAAATTGATAATATATCTTGACAAACATACTCATAAAAAATTATAGTTAATATTATTTTAGTGCTATTCAATTTACTATACAGCCTGTGTCGAAACAGCTCTTCATTCAGAATCCGCATACTGCGATGCACCTAGAATCTCGAAAAAGAATCAAAAGACAGAAATGTTGAAGTAATCAAAACAGTCTATTGACACAGATGAAAAGGATATGATATATACATGCAAAACATTAATTACCCCTGAATCACTGAATATACTATAAAAAAGAAGAAAAAATTTATGAAAAAAAAATTACCATACAATAATTGCCTTTGCAATTTTTTAAAATTTTTTCTACTAAGAAAAAAATATAACCTGCACTCAAACCTGTAAGGAATTAGAATGTAGAGAACAGAGAATACATTAACAAATGTTAAAACAAATTTTTTTTAGAAAAATGCTGTAACTTACCCCAGCAATTGCACCAATGTTTCCATTTCTTTAAAAAATTCCTCACACTTTTAAAGTTCTTTACTTCCAATCTTGAATCTTTTTTTCTGAATTTTAAAATTAGTTCACTGAACTGAGTTTTTTGAGGTGGAAAACTGTTTTTAAATGTCTAATGTTTCTTGAATGAAGGAAATTTTTTCCCCAGCTTGCTAAGTGATCAGCGCAGTTGTATCAGCAATGAATGCACACAGTGTTCAAGGATAAAAATCAAAGTTCAATGCAGAATTGTAAATAAAATTTGCCACAAGAACAAGGCACATCTGATCACACTTTTTGGGACTAGAATTAAGCTATTTACTTACAAAAAAAGTGAATAAAATTTAAAATTATACATATTTTTTACTTATTTAATGAAGCAGCAAATAAAAGCTGAAATACCTAAGATTTGAAAGTAATATTAAAATATAAGACTGAAGGATTTTAAGAATTTTAAGTCTACTAAAAATGCTCTCATTTCTAGAACTTAATAATAACGTAGAAGTTTCTCAAAAAGTTAAAGGATATGTAAAGAGAAGTATTTGTATATTGCACATAGATAAGTATCTTATAAGACAAGAGTGTTTTTTGAATATCAAACTTTTCAAAAACGAAAGAGAGAGAGAGTGAGAAAAATTATTTTAACAAATTTGTTATGATACTCATGATCTGATGTAATTTTATAAGAACACTTCGAACAAGATGATAAAACTTAATTACCACTTGCTAAAAAACTAAATGTTTTTGAAAATTTAATTTATACTTTTTAACAAAATGAGTCTACATTTGAAAAATAAATAAATACCTTCATACTTGCACGTTACTAATATAAAGATATGGGAAGCATTTGTTTATCACAGTGTCTACAGTACACAGTTTGCATTTGTGTACTGTTATCTTATATTAACAAAAAAGCTACATTTAAAAGAAAAAAGTTATAATAGTTTCAATTTTGTGATTAATTACATAATAGTTTAGAGTAAAAAAATTATGAACTAGTTTATACCTGCAACATTAAATACAAATTCAATTTTTTGCCATAAAAATAGTAAAAATTATGATAATTGGTTACAACAAGCACAACACAAAATATTTTAAAAGTTAATAGGTTCTAAAAGTTTTGCAAAATTGTTCACCCACGAAAATCATCACTTAAATTTTCAATAAAATTATATTGGAAAAAAATTACATAAATGATTATCAATGGTTTAAAATTTGAGACTTCACATATACAACTGAATGAAGTTTGAACATTACTTTTTTATGCATAGGAATTGGAAATTGCTTATACTTTTTTTACGCAAAAGATTGCAAATTTTGTTATACCCCAACAAGTTCAAAAAGTGTGATCTGTGAAATTTAAGTTCTTGAAAAACTGATAATTCATATAAATCATAACTGATCATCAATGCCTTAAAAATAATGAATTTTCACGAACATGATGGAATCAGGTTTGAACATCGCTTTTTATGCAGATGAATTAGAAATTTTGAAATTTATGCACCAATAAAAGACTTATTAGTAACACAAAGATGTTTTGTTCAGTTGATAAAATGATAAGATTCATCATAAGGAAAAAGACATGAAATGCTGCCACTCTTGTATGTAAGATACATATTTTATAGATAATACGTAACGAAATATTTTATATTTTTCTTAATTTAAATTAGAATTACAGAAACAAGAAGAAAAAAACTATAATTAAGAAACAAAATGGAAATTCAAGACTATTGAATTTTTTATTTATTTTTTAATCATCAAAGATTTGATTAATTGCAATTGGATAGAAATTTAAATCTGGCTCTAATTAAGCAATTTAAAAATTTTTCCTTCTGAGATGTATAATCTTCTATACATTAAAATTCTTTATGCTTAAAAAACTAAGTATATGCATCTAAATTGCACTTTTACTAATAAATTAAAACGGATTTTCGTTCGAATTTATTGAGTGCAATAAGATGCATAATCTATCACAATCTTGAATGTTTCAATCGATTCATACGATTTACAATGTATTCATACAATTTTCAGATTTATTGAAAAATGAAAATTGCCATAAAAGTTGAAGATATTGAACCGCTTGAAATCAAAGAGAAAACACAAATCAGTATTTTGCAGAACAGTATTTCCTATTACCTCCTTAGATTTTTGAGCTTCAAGCTCCAGTTTTTGGCGACGTTCTAATTCTTCTAGCATTTGTTTTTCCATTATTTTCTTAGCTTCCTCGACTCTGCGCAAGACTTCCTTCTCAATATCATCTTTCCTTTTTTCAAGCTCTTCTTCAACTCTTTTAGCAACAATTTCTTCAATTCGCTTAGAAGTTTCTTCTTCAACTAGTCTAGATTCTAATTCTTTTTGCCTCCTACAAAACAAAACACATTTTTTAATAGTTTGAAGGTATGATGGAATACAAAAATATCCACTGTTTGCTGAAAAAGTAAGACTGATAAAAAAATAAAAGAAAAATGAACAAATTTATAATTCCGAACAATGGTAAAATGCCAGAACTTAAAAAGTTTTTTTTTTTTGCAACATAATTTTTTTGGAATAAGAAAAATGTTATAAGTACGATCAATACCTTAAGGTCAATGCCTAATAAATAATCACCTTAAGATAACCTAAATTTCTGAGAAGCTATAAGTAAAACATTCAATTCAGTACAAAAAAAAAAAGCTTAACTTTTTTTTCTCTACTACTAATTTTACATTTAAAAAAAAAAAAATTTCATGCGAGTTTATTAATCACTTAAAGAATTACTAATTTATTGAAATTTTCTTCATTTTTTTATCAGTTTGATGAGGGAAAGGTATACAAAGTAATTATCAACAATGGTAAAGCTCAAAAAAAAAAAGTAAAATGGTGAATTACAAGCCTCCACAAAACAGAATATAGTTCAATGTAACCTACTTACAATACAGTTCTTTGATAGAGCAAAATGGATCTTTAAACTTTTATTTAGCTCAGTACTATAAAAGTAAAGTGAGTTAAGAATTGAAATCATCAAATATCTGAAAAAAAGAAGACAGAATATTTCATACAAGAATACATGTTATTACAAGCTAACTCCTAGAATAAGTATCATCTTAGAAAACTTACAATATTAGCCAAAAATTAGTCATTTTCCATTTTGTAATTATTATTAGATGAACAATTCCTTTTACTATAGCATTATATCATGATTTAAACTAAGGGAATACTAAGGGAAACTATATTTACTTGTTGCACTCTGAAATTCAAAATACAATAAAAAAAAATAAAAAAAGGAATATGTGTTTGACAAATTTATATATATATAAATATACATATATATTATGAAAGGTGTATCATATTTACAATTTAAAAAAGTTAAAGCTGAGGTTTTCCTAGGAAAAAAGCAAAAAAAAAAGTAAATTTTTTTTTGGATAGATCAATTAAGGTATGTATTTGTATTGCATTAACGTAAGGATGAGATCATATTGAATGTTAAAAATGTACAAATAATGTTACAAAACATTTTTAAATAATTAAAATGTTCTACATCAAATATGATACAAAACATATTAACTTTTTGACAACCAGAAATCAAAACAAAAAAAAATGCCGTTAAAAAAATAGAAATCCTACACCTCATCTGAAGATAAATAAAAAAGTTGCGAATGCTTGAAAAGTTTTCACCCCAAAACGTTTTCCCATCTATAGAAAAAAATAATTATTTGAAAGAGACGATATTTTTAAATTTGCTGTTAATAATTTCACACAATTTTTGTGACTGGACCAAAACATAACTGGTTCTAGAAATACAGTAACAAAAGAAACTGCATATTCTTTGTGTACTATCACTAAATTTTGGCCAATACTGCAATGAAATTTTGAAACTAACACATTACAATATTTAGTTAATATTTGAAAACCCTGCAATTTAACCAAAACAAAGAAAAAAAATATTATGGCACCACATAAAACATTTTAAATATGCTGCACTGAATAAAATGTAATTATGTATGCAACAATTTATATTACAATTACCTATTATAAATAAAAATAATCCAAGTGTCGACTGTTTCCAAAAATCTATTTTTTTTTTAAAACAAAAAACAACTTAAATAAAAAGAGAGACATCCTGTTTAAAACAAATAAAATCAATTGGAAAACTATTGAAAGAAATTTAGAACATAAAGTTTTAAATTATGAAAAAAATTTGAATAGCAGAATGCCAATTTAGATCTACGAAAGGATTTTAAAAATACTTACAGTTGTTCTTATTTAAATATTTTCATAATGAGTCACCAATTAAATAATTTACAATAATTTATTGATAACTAAATACGCAAACATTTACATAATTTTTTTCATCAATAAGATTATTTTTATTCATAATATTGTTGCTTTAATATTTGAAAATTAGAATTAAAAAAATCAAATGCTTTTTTTATAAGTTAAATTAAGAGGTAATTGGGAAGTTTTTTAGAACAGAACTAAGTACAACCAAACGAAATGTTGAGATGTTTTTTTCTTACAGCAGTTAAGTTTACAATTTGATAAATATAAAAAAGCATTAAAATATGAAACCATTTTTTTTAAAGAATTTTATTAGTTATCATTTTTCTCCATTTTAATATACTACAGAGTTGGTTTTTTTTTCCTCCAATAAAAAATATAATATAATGAAATTTTTTGTAACACAAGCTAGAAACTAATTTTCAAGAAGTATTTGCCAGTTAATTTGTTAGACAATAACCATCCTCTCCTAAAATACTCACATTTAAAAGGCATCTTCTTGTGTATTAAAACTAAGAACTACCCGTTCTATTATGTTGCTTTAACTCTTATAAATGTTTTTCCCTCCCTTTTCAATTGTGTCATGTGTACTTTATTAAAGATAATACATTATATTTATACTCATTTTCTGAAATCATTTGAAACAAAATCTAATGCGACTAAATAGGAACCAAGCCCATAAAGCATCATTCCTTCATTTAAATCTTTTTCTGTTGATTAACACAAGAGTAAATCTACATAACTTTCAACATATAGGCCTAAACAGCTTTTGTCTCCATACAACTAACTTAAAAACTACAGGTGCATGAATATTTGAATTAGCTTTTTTCTTTCCTTTTTTTTCTTATTCATTTTGATAAAAAGCAACAAAAAACTTTAATTACGACATGGAGTTTGAAAGCTTAAAATTAATATTGTTAAGAAAAAAAATTCAAAACAAATATAGTATAGTTGGTCTATGGTAAGAACTCCCACCGCCACAAAGTCTGAGGCCATCTGCCGCTATAGAAATAAGATAGTGCATTTCAGGGAGGCTAGTTGCTCATCACACTAGGTCGAACATAGTAGATTAAAGGAAAGTATTCCCTTTTTCTAGCTGACCCGAGACGAAACCTGTCCTAAACAACTACCCCACACCCCTACTGGAAATAGTTATACCTTGTAACCATAGTCACCACCATGGGTCCAGATGAATGGCTAGGGGAGTTTTTACTTTACACAAACTATATATAAAACCTAAAAATTAAAATATCACAATTGTTTTTTTTTAAGAACAATTATTAATTTTATTGTTTTACTTAAATAAATCAATAAATGAATAAATATAAAATGAAATGTTGTGTACCTCATCCTCTCCATTTCAGCTAATCTGTCAACTTCATTCATTTTTTTTAACCTCCTCAAATGAGAACTATAACCACTGACACCATCACTACTGCTGCTTGATGAAGACGAAGAGTGAGAGCGTTTTCTGGAGGGGGAAAAAAAGAAATTTCTATCAAAACCATAATAAAAATGTATTACTCATGCCTGTCAACATTGGAGAAATAAAATAACGGAGATTTCACTAATCGACCCGACTTTGGGTTCACGAATACTGATGTTCAACTTTGTATCCTTGTAATTTTAAAACCCAATCTAGAAGACAAGGGAACTTCTGGATCAAGTATTGGAAGATATTTGTCTTTGTGGAGGACTTTTTGATGTAACTAACATGCATTTGAGTTACATGCAGAGGAAAAACTCCCTGACGACAAGGGGACTCTAACCCGTGATCCGTCTGTCACTGAGGATATTTCACTTCAGCACTGTGATTGGTGCAAGCCGGGTGCGGAATGCGTATTAATCAGACATAGCTGGGATTTACCTCATTGGAAAGCGAACACTCTACCCCCTGAGCCATCACAGCTGGACTTAAATACTCAATATACTTCAATAATGGCATTAGCACCATCTGTTGAAGAATAAGATAAGTATTTTTGTCATCAGTGGTATTTTATCACCAAATTTTTATTATTTTTAATTTTCTTCAATAATTACAGTAAAAATTGAGAATATATGGGTAAACAGGAGATAGTTGTAAAATACAAGCGTCTTCGTTAAAAAACACGAGACTAGGCAGGTATGATTACATAACATAAGGCTCATAAATAGAAAATTCAAATAGATAAAAAAAGAAGAGAGTGTTTTAAGAAGCAGATGTGTATAATATGCCTGAATGTGGTAAGACCACTTGCAGAAAATTTTTTATTATTACTAAAAAAGAAGAAAAATAAAGGTCAAAGTTCACACTTTTGCCGTTATAACGTCATTGCACTTTCAAGGAAAAGTCTGATAAGAATAATAATATAAAAATACTGATAATAAATTACAATAATAATAAAAAAATTAATATTCAGTACAATTTATGAATGTGATTAAACTGAGTTTAATTATAGACATTTACAGTTGATAGACATATACAGTTACAACGACATTTATATTATCCGTACCTTCCAGCATGTAAGATTTTAAGTAATTGTGCATGTCTAAATTATAAAGTGTAGATTATTTCTTTGAATTTATGCATAAGAACTCACAAGAAAGTGAAAGTATAATTTCAGTATAATAAAATCTGTTTTTTTTTATATAAGTCACGCTTATATTTTGATGACAGCAATTCTATATTCCAATTATTGTTTATATTCTTTGCGCTCAACCAAAATCAACTATTAGAAGTTAAAATAAATATCAAATTGATTCTAATAATAATAATTTAAACAGTACAAGCATTGGGCACTTTTGTATCAAAGTATCTTGCTTTAAGTAACTTAAAAACAAAAAAAATAGAAAATATCTTAATAAAATCAGATATCAAAATAAAATCAGACAAATACTGTATTAATAACTGAATAAAAAAAATATTATTGAAATTAAACTTCTAACTAAATTGCATAATTAAAATAATTTATGATTTTTAAATAATGAAAATATATCTAGTTTCTTATGGAACGAGTACAATTAAACAACCATAATATTAATCAAAAACCAATAAAATTATTTTTTATTGAATCAACCGATTGTAATATCTATCATCATACGATTCATTTCAAATTTCATCAATACGTTTCTTTAAATTTGCATTTCATGTCCATGTTTTTAGTTCAAAGGTAAGCTTAAACAGAAAACAACATTTAACAGCTATAAACATCATGCTTATAGCTTTGTCTTTGTAGCGTTTATCACACCAACGTAACATAAAGATCAGAATTTGAAATAAATGGAGGCTTGCACAATTGTTTCAAATCTTACATATGAGAGCGTATATAAGCTAATGTAATGTTTCACGAAATTCCCGATTTACTATTCTCATTAACTTAAATAAAATTAAAATATTTCACAAAAATTTAACTATATTTGTAAAATAAACTAATCTAAATCAATTCAAGAACAAATAAACAAAAACAATTAAAAAAATTCTAGTTAAAAGAAAAACTTTATATTTATAACAATAAATAAGTGAGAAAAATATTAATGCATATACACAACCAACAAATTTTTTAGGAGCCAGGTTATTTTTATATTTGGCAACAATTTAAGTGATTTTAAACATAATTTAAATGTAACAAGATGTACCAGGACAAATTATACTGAATACAGAAATTTTAGCCTTATCAAATTTTCAAGCTGATTTAATAAATTTAACAAATTTGAATCTATTTTTCTCTTATTTCTTAATTATTTTTTATTTTAGCTAGTTTTTGTATTTATTAAATTTATTAGTTATTTCCATTGTACTAGAAACATTTTATTCCTAGAGAAGAAAATGATACCAATCAAATATCAAAACCTTTTTTAATATAAATAGTGAATAAAATAATGGATAAATTAAGATGTGTCTCAATGTTTAAAAGAATCATGTTGGGGACAACGGAGAAATTGAATCTTTTCAGACATTTTCTCAGACAGCTGTCGCTCTTTTAATTGCAAATTTCTTACCGTTTTTTGTTACCATCTTGAGAGTGTCTATCTAGCTTATTCAATTCTAACTTTGATAATCTAAAAAGAAAAGAAAAAATATGTATACACAAAATATTAGCACAAAAATTTTAAATACTTTATTAAAAAAAGAAGTTTAATATAAAAAATAACTATAATAATGTTATTTAAAAAATATGAAAATGGTAGAAATAGTCAACAAGTTTTTTTCAGTTAACTGAAAAAAAAAGAAAAATGAACTTATTGTATTGTAAATAGTCATTCACACACAAAAATAGTTAATATAGAAAAATGCTTATTTAATAGACAAAAAATTTGAATTCTTTATGCCTACAATTTAATGCATCGGCACACATAAAATTAAAATCTAATTCCACAGCTTTGTCAATTTTTACAAAATAAATTATAAAATGGAGTTCAAATCAACAAGACATTCATTTAAAATATACAGCAAATGTAATGTGATCAGACTGTAATAAAAATAATTTTAACTTTCAGTAAAGAATCAATCAGTACATGTTCTCACACCAACCATCACTACAAAGGTATTAAAAGATTACAAAAGTATTAACCCTTTATATTACCTTGTTGCATATCTGCAACATACACAAAAAGCCTATGTCTTTGCCCCAACAAATTTTGAAGGACGATTTCGGCAATTGTCGGCCAAAACCAGTGCGCCATGATGAAATTAGGCACACAAAAGAATCAGATGCAAATACCCAAAATGTAAAGGATTTACACAAACTATTTGTGAGAAATGTGGTGTAGGACTTTGTTACAACAAAAGTAACAACTGTTTTAAAAATTTTCATATGAATTAAAATTTTTGAATCTTTCAATCTTAGTGCCATTTTTCACAATGTTGCAGGAATGCAACAAGCACTTTTTGTCATTTTGCATAAGGGTGCAGAAATGCAACAATCAATTTTTTTCCAATAATTTTTCTTATTTTATGTTGTAATTTTTTTTATTATTTTTTACATGCTTAGAATGATGTATTCTAATGTATGAGTAATTTTTATTAAAATCAGAGATGTTGAGATATAAAGGGTTAATTGATTGTGCTAGTAAATGCCCTGTGATGGGTACTAGTTACAATCAGTGGAGCTGGTCTCCTTTCATTAAAATTTCGCTGAGTCAAAACGACTGGGCCCTATGGCAGAATCGCAGCGACACAGGGACATTGTCGCAGTACGTTACAGAGTTCTTGCAGAAAAATTTTTCTTTTGAAAAGTAAAAAACAATTTATTTTAATTTTCTACAGAAATTTACACATATTATTTGAATCATGCATTTAGAAAATCACTTTTTGACGCTCTCAATTCATGATATAATGTTTCAATTGTATTTTCGGCAGTAATTGATAATGATTTTCACATGGATTTTAAATATCCCGATATATTTCAAACAATATGGAAAATTTGAATCGTGCATTTGAGTATTTACTTTTAAGGAAATAATTCTATCAAATCTTTGACAGTTATTGCTATTGATTTCCAGGGTTCGTGATTTTTTTGATTTTTTTTAAAAAAAATCAAAAAAATCGGATTATTTTGATTTAAATCGGATTTTTTTGATTTAAATCAGATTTTTTTGATTTTTATTTAAATACACTATAAGAGCTTTAATTTATGATCAAAAAAACTTTATAAATGTTTAATCAAAATTAAATTAATATTAAAACTATATTATAACAATATTTTAGAAGCTCTAACTTACTAAAATAATTTTTCATTATAATGCATAGCGACCATTTTGATACAAAGGCATGATTGAAATTAAAAGACAAGATAAAATAGATAATTTAAAGAATACTACTTTAACTAATAACACAAAGTTTCAATTAGCACAGCATAATTTTAATTTAAAATTGTGATCTCTTTTTTTTCTCATGATTTATAAAATGGCAAAATAAATGCAACAGATTGTGTTTATAAATGTTGTTATTCATCAAAAAATAAATATTCAATCTATATATTTTTATGTTAAAATATTCATTTTTAATCCTTTATCAAAATACATAAGTTAAGCTAAAAAACATTTTTAAAAAAATCTATGTACTCATTGGAATTTTTTTTCACAAAAGAAAATCTGATAATTTCAAAGATACCGTAAACATATTATGAGAAGAAAAATAAAAACCAGTTAATAACCCTACTGCTTCAAATAGACTTTGATAGGGAAGAATGACACTATATCAGGAAAAAAATATCTGAACTCAGCTTCTTTTTTTTTCTTTCTATTTTTGGCATATTAAGGTAATTTCTTTTTAATATAACCTCAAGCTTTAGAAATATAGAAATTTCCATCAATAAACTATAATGCAGATTTGAATTTCATGTTTTTTTAATCAAAAGGTAGAATTTTAATTAACATTTGCTTTTTGAAAAAAAAGCATGTTTATTTACTTTCTACAGCTATGCAAGTCTATATTAAGACAGCATTAAATATTTACTTTAATCTGTACTTTCAATGTTAAGAATCAAGAGATTTTAAAACATGTAATTTTAAATGTGTTTAACACACTCCAAGAAGGAAAGTAATTTCGTTAACTAAAATTAATTAATGCAGCAATTTATTTAAAATAAATTTTAAAACTAAGAAAAGAAAATAATAAAAGTATCAATAATTTAAAGCACTGTTTTTTAACTTTTAAAATCAATATAATATATATATAAAAATCAGTTGATTTAAATCAACGATTTTTAAAAAAAAAACCATTTGATTTTAATCGTGATTTAAATCAAGCTGATTTAAATCAACGAACCCTGTTGATTTCCCTATGGTTTTTAAATTCGATATATTTTATACGATATTATTTATTACAATAACCTTATCTCGAAATGAAACACGAATTTGAGGAGTCTGATTCGCGTGATTTTCTCGTCAATCTTTTTTTAGGCTATTGCTACTACGGATTTCGTGATTTTTTTTATTGTGATGATTATTTACAAAATGTGAAGGAAATAATTTATGCTTTCTCCCACCCCCAACAAAATGAGAGAATATCACCCATAATATTAGAATAAAAAATTGTTCAATTAAAAAATATATATATTCTTTCTTTGTACGCACAGCGCTTGTGTCATTTTAAATAAATAACATACCTGTTTGTTATTATTAAAAGTATATTGCAGAAAGATATTAGTGCTAGAGTTTTGTCGTATATAGCTCAAAAAAATTCTGCCACAGGGCGACTGGGTTATAACAAAACCTAGGCAATTGAAAGGTCGGAAACTAGAAGAAAAAAAATCACAATAACTTGTATCGAACCCTTGTGCAAACCTCAACAAATTAATTTTTAAACTATTGTAAGTCAGAAAACACCTTGACAAAGATAATAGATATCAATACAGAAAAATACTAATTTCCTTTTTTAGCTCTCAATTCATTTTTTACCAGTGCTATTATGTAATGTTAAAAAGGTTTTTTGAACTACATAAAAAAAAGGCCTTTACTTTCCAGATAAGCTTGGATGCATTTAACGGAATCAGAGTAGGCTTTAAGAAACCAACATGGGTAGCACCAGTACTTCACAATGACAGTTCAGTGCCTTAAACACTAAACCATTAGCTCTTTTTTCTACCTAAATAACTATTGATTATTGGGTTCTAATATTTGATTATGGCAATGATTTCATACAGTGACACTGTAATCTTGAAAGTATTATGTTAATATCTGTTTGAACTTTTGATTATATACAACCATATACATGGAAAGGATTAGTTACCAATCATATTGAATGAAAATTAAGGTTACAAAAATATGCCTGATATCAGTTTAAATAAAAATACTGATACCTTTGTCAATTAGATAATTTGATGAATTAAAACAGGCTTTCTTATAATAGGATTTTCGATCTAAACTTATTACAGTTCTAATTCTTTTTTTTTTTTTTGGTGGTCACTGTGTGGAAGTTGCCAGAGCTTGGCAACTACCACACAGTGGCCAGCATCAAACCAAAAAAAGCATCACAGAGAGGGACCAACTTGAAGGGTATAACGCGTAGCCAACCCCAAGAAAGGGATATATCTGTTGCGTCAACTACAATCGCCAAGGTGGCAAAAAGATTTTAAACTTGCAAGAAAAAAATATAAAAAACAAATAAAACATGTAGATGTTGGGGAGATTATCGCCAAATCAGGTCAACTTTCGGGCAGTGGCCCGCGAGAAACCAATAAAAAAAAATCACAGAAAGTGACCGAAACTCCTGGTTACCCCTGGGGAAATATCCACAGGGTTTTTTCAAAAAATTTGCAAGTTTAAAATTTATTTGGCCCCCTTGGCAATTGTAGTTGGCACGGCAGATCAGGATACGGAAATATACCCGCAGTTGGCATGGCAAGTTGAGATACGAAAATATCCCTAGAAACAATTTCAGGGTTCCCATTGATTTAGCATTCTCTAGGTTAAAATTTAATATCACTTTATTTCAATTTGAAGAAATGTTTAAATAGAACTAAATTAATACAATCTAAAATATTAACAGTCAACGTCTCCCTCTCATTGGCCGTGGTAAAATTATCAAAAGTTGACAGATCCGTGGCAATGAAAAAGTTGGAAAACACTGCCTTGAAAGATACCCTTTATTTTTCGCCATACAAAATATAAGACTGTAGTACACATATTTTTGAATAACATATTACTTTTAAACTTAGTCATCTATTAGAAGCTACAGTAAACAAAACTACAAAAATGTCATTAAAATATGTAATAAGATATAATACATAAAAATAAATAGTGTACTAATGCAGCCATCCTACCTCGATCGAGATCGTTCCCGAGAATGCGATTTTTTCGATTTGCTTCTTCTTTCTCTTTTGTCTTTAGAATGAGATCTCTTGTGAGAATGTTTACTTTTATGCTTGTGCCTAGTAGGAGATCTACTACCACTTCTAGATCGTCCCATTATATTATCGAAAAAGCAAAAGTATTAGTGTACAATATAGTTATGCGTAGCAATCTTTAGATCGATAAATACAGTTTGTCACAGCATATAAGTGAAAAAATACTTCGATTTTCACTAATATAGATTAAAAAATGACAATTTAACTTAATTAGTTTTACAACCGATAATTTGATATTAAATAATTACATAAAACTCGTACACACAGCTTAACAACAGCTTACAGCCAGCCGAAAAAGAATACAGGACAGGGAAATGTAAAAGTGTTGCCACTAAATGCTCTTTTTTTAGTATTTCTTTTTAACATATTTTCTTTAAAGAAACTCAAGTTGAATCATTTATAATCAAATATACATAAATTTTTTAACCATTAAAGTTAAAATCATTGGTATTCTTTTATCAATAAATATTTTTTTTCAAAATTTCTACTCGTCACTACAGTTGCGCGTTGCGCAAGATGCGCACTCCGTTTTTAGTTTCGATATTTTGATCTTCTGCAATGTTTATATTTGAGGTTCATTAAAGACTGGCTAATTAAAGATTTTAATTGTAGTTATTTTTTAACTGTTATAATATTTCATGGGGTAAAAAGGTTGCATAGTTCCTATTTCTATTAATTTTTTCATTCTTCTTACGTTATTTATTTTTTTTTTAATTTATAAAAATCATGTAATTATTTTGCTGGAATTATCTATCTAAAACTTTGGTTAAAGGTAATGGTTTATGTTATTTATTATTGATAATGCCCCTTATTTGACTGTATTTTTTTTATAAAAAAGTTTTATGTTCTATAGTAAATTAATTTCATCATGTTGGGTCGAAAGCAAAGTATGAAAGGTGACGAAGGACTTGCTGATTATGGAGCTGGTGAAACTCTAACTCAACTAGGAATAACAGGAGATGTTGATTGGGTAATCTATTTTATTTATCTTTGCATAATTGGTTTCATCTTAATTGGTTGGCATCTTAAATGAGAAAATTTCTAAAAAAAAAATAACTTAATTAAAAAATACCTTTTTCATTTCTAATCTAAAGATTCAATTTGTGATTTATGGAGTATTTTCCGTCATTAATTCTTTTAGGATGTTTTTTAATTGCCCTGACACAATTAAATTCAATAATCATGAAAAAATACTAATTTATTTATTTAAAAAATAAGAATAGATTGCTGAATTTACTAGCACCCAGCTAACAAAAAGTGCCATTGATTAAATTGAAGGAGAGATTTACGTATCGTAATCTGTGGCAGAATAATCGGCAAGTCTTGGCAACTTCTGGGCAGCGGCCCGCAAGAAACTAAAAAAAATCACAGAAAGGGACCAATTCAAACGGTATAACTCTTAAGCCACCCCCAGGCAAACATCTACATGCATTTTTTAAAAGAAATTTAGATTTTTAAAATCTATTTGGCACCTTGGCGATTGTAGTTGGCGCGACAGACCACCTATGGGATATGTGTTATCTTCCCATTATAATCATTACATAGTTATAATTATATATAGTTATAATCATTATAATTATAATATAATCATTATATAGTTATGTGTTTATATTCATAGTATGATTATTTTACATGTGGTAAGTTTGTATAGAAATTTCCGTTAAATACACAATTTTCTAATAATCCAGTTTTTCTCCAGTAAGGAAAAAAGCTGGAATTTTAGCATGCTGTAATTACCACTTTTAAATTGTTTTACTTTAGTTTTAAAATAAGAAGTAATCGATTTTCTTATTAATACTTCATGTTTTTTGACTCACTGATAAAATTAAATTTTGCTTTACTGTAATTACCTTTGTTGTACTGTAATTTGGTTTTGATTATTATTACTCAATTAGTTACTGTTCAAAATGCTTAAAGGCTTTGGGTTTCTGTTTTAAACTCCTAAAATTTTTGAGTTACCAAAACATCTCATGCAATATAAAATGTAGAATGAAATTCTAAAATTTTTAGGTGTATCCCAAAAAACAATTTAACCATTAATATTTAAATGCACAATATTTGTATATTTTATTGGATAGAATTAAGAAGTTTTACTGAAATGTATTTGTAACTTGCATTTTACTTATTCATTTACATAATTTGTTTTTTTTTCCTCAGGTATGGGTGCGACGTTTACTTCGCCTCTGTGCTCTGATTAGTTTGGTATCAGTGAGTTTGAATACTACTCGAACGTTTGAACGTTACGAATATTTATTTTATGCCACATTTGTTGCTGATATTATAGTCACAGTTCTTTTTACCATTGAGATGATTGTCAAAATGTACATTCGTGGGTTTATAATGGTGAGTTTTAAATTTCTTTCTCTCTTCATGTTTAAATTAACCATGTTCTATTTATTCAACCATTAAATTACCCATATTATGATAAATCAGCAATCATTAGTTTAATTTTATTCAACTAGACTAGTCATTAATTAATTGATAGATTGAAATTTCCAGTATGTTTATCATATTTGTATTTAGGGTTTTTATTCATATGGTCTTTTTTACACATATAGCGCTGTAGACATTTCATGTTATCATTTTCTCAAAAATTTCTGTTAATATTCTGTGTTATCTCATATCATCCATGTATTGTAGAAAAATTTTATAACATATTTTATTATAATTAGCTGTAATACTTTATAAAAATAGCTTTGCTTTTAGACATATATTTTTTCCTGATGCATAGTTATTCTATTTAATAAAAAGAAGAGAACTACACAACAAAAAGTTTAGATGGAAATAAGACTTTCTACATGCATCGGAGAGTTAAAAGAACTAATAACTAAATATATGTTTAATCTTGAAATGTAAAGCTTTTGTTTATGGAAAAAAATTATTTTCTAAATGTGCTAAAACCTCAATGATTCCAGACCCTGTGGCAGAATTTTTTTGGGCTTTCTGCGACAAACCTTTCTAGCAATAATATCTTTCTGCAAGATACTATTATTAATAATTAATATACATATTATTAATTAAATTTTTAAATTTAAAGTAACGGAAACGTTGTATTTACAAAAAAGCCTATATGGATATAATAAAATTGTATGTATTTTTTTAAATGATTATGTAATATTATTGTATTATATATTCTCCTATTTTGTAAGAGCAAAACACACTAATTATTTCATTTTTTGCATTTCCTAAATCATTGTCTCATAAAAAAATTAAAAATAGTAAAATCCATGAAGGAAAGAAAAGCAATTTTTATTATTCCCAAATAAGAATTTTAACAAAAATCACGAGCATTTCTTCTCCTCTGATGCGTGAAAAAGACATCAATTGAATATAATTATGGAGAAAAAGAATCTTTCAAACATTTCTGCAGAAAAGAAATTTTTTGCTTCATTATTCTTTATTTTTCATTCTTCTCAAATAAGAATCGAAAATTTTTGAACACTTCTTTCCCTTCTGATGTGCATGTGCGAAAATGGCATCATTTAAATATAATTTTAGAGGAAAAAAATTCGAATATTTTTGCAAAAAATAAGACAAAAATTTTTCATTTTCTAAAGGAAAATTCTTTTTGCAAGAACTCTATAATGTTCTGTGACAATGTCGCCACGATTCTACCACGGGGATTCGAGGTATGAGGCTTTGCACTTCGCAAAAAAAATAATTTTGCATTAATCATTTTTGAAATTTTTGTTTAAAAGATGGCGGAGATGTTTATTAACTATTGGTAACGTTTCTATATTGAACTAGAAATCCAAATTTTTTCTGAAAAGATCAAATTGATTCTCTAGTCTAGAATATTGACAAATCATTGCATCCCTTGAGTGAAAATCAGTTTAAATGTGATGAACAAGTTTAAAAGCAAATATTTATATCCTTCTGATCTATACTTTCTCAATTATTCTTTTGTAAAGCATCTAACTGAAAATGTTGATATTTTTTTTCTTCTTAATTTTATTTTAGGGGGATTTTTCTTATTTAAAAGATCGTTGGTGTCAGTTTGATGCTACAATGGTTTTCTTTCTATGGATATCCGTTATTTTACAGGTATTATTTCAATGACATTATACTGTATTTTTCTACCTGTGTAATATCAACAAATTATGTCTATCTGTTAATGGTTGACTTTTTCCTTAAAGATTTTGTGTTTGTTTCAATATTTCTTTATTAATCTGTATTTTAAAAGTAAATGTTCAGCTCAAAATATTTAGAATTAAGTGTAAAAATATGTAAAGTATTTTTCATTTGAAATTATTGTAGTAAATATTTTAAATTTTTATCAACATGTAGTCTGAAAATATTTTCTATTGCTACATTTCAGTTTAACACAGTAAAATGTGCCTGTGTGCCCACTTAAAAAAAGCAATTTTTTAAAAAAATATGCTATAATCAGAAGCAAAAGTAGAAAAATAATTATTTAATAATATGTTTAAATATTGTTTTTATGAAGAGTGTATCATGTTATTATTATTGAAATTATAATAATAAATAGAATTTTCTTCATAATTTTTGGTGTTCTTAATTATAAAAAAAATTACCTATAATTTTCAATTAGGTATTTGATATTATAATTGTTCTTATGTTAGTAGTAAAGCAAATTTTCTATTTGCTGCTTATAGTGATTATTTTATTTGCAAAAATTGGCTGTGTTGTCATATTCTTTCAAATATAAATTCAAATTTATGAAAGTATTAATATTTTTTTGTTACGTACATAATAAGTTTTTGAAAAATATTAATCATTTGAACCAAACTGAGATTTCATTTGCTTTTTATAATGTCTACTTTTATTTTGTTTTTGTCAAACATTTTACAATTACTTGGAATGGTTGAATTTGTTTAGGGCGCATGTAAGTGTAAGTTTACCATATATATGTATATGAATATTACCCATTATTCAATGTACTCAACTTTCATTCTTCAACTATTATGTCTACAGTTTTTTTCCGTTATAATTCAATCATTAGAATTCTCTGTTTCTACTAAACTACACTCTATTTCCAGCAAACTTAATATTTTTGAAAGAAAAATACATATTATAATAATATTAATTATTTTTTGTATTTCAATTTTATTTTGTTAAAACTATTGTTCATATGCTTATTATGTTTTTCAGATTTTTGAAATGGTTCTGGTTGTGCCAAAATTTTCATACCTCTCAATTTTGAGGGCTCCTCGTCCTTTAATCATGATTCGCTTCATACGAGTTTTTTTGAAATTTCAGATGCCAAAATCAAGAATCAATCAAATATTCAAGTATGCTTATTTTACTCCTTACGAAATAAATTTCAAATTTTTATGCAGTTCTATGTTTTTTTTTCCCCTCCAGCTAAAGTGTTATGTTCATGCCATCATGGTTCATAGCTGTCCTAATTTTCCTGATAAAAAGAATATTTTGTTATTATTTGTTCTGATTTTTTAACTTTTCGTCCTGATATTCCTGAATATTTTGTATATTCAGATTTGAATTTTGAAAATACAAATGTTAATTTTTTTTAAAAAATATATTAGATTTTTAATCCAACATCCTTTAATTTTAACTAATAATGCTAGTGTAAACCATTAAATTTTGTTTTTGTCTCTGTCATCCAATTTTAAATATGCTGAATTCTGATCAACAAAACAGTAATCATATAGAATTTTTAATGGTTAGTTGGGAGATCATCCACTAAATGACTTTTTACAGAAATTTTACACAGTATATGAATGAGGTTTTTAATATAAACGTAAGCAATGACAATCTCGAGCTCTTCACCTGCTCTACTTCCTGTTAGAAAGTGTAAAGCTGCTTACTACAGCTTATTCCACTAGGCGATATTTTCAAACAGAAAAAAAAAATTTAATAAAGAAATAATAAATTATATAATTTCTGAGTTCAAATCAGCTGTATTTCATAAGATAGTAATGATGTTAAGTAATTCTGATGAGTTTGAAGCGAAAATTTGTTTTAGTTATTTATAGATGTAGTGTTAAAAATGGTCTCATAGTTCCCAGATTTAGAAAGAACTTGCTTTTTAGGCCATCCCGATTTGGCTTCTTTTTAGATTTTTATTACTGTTTTTTCATATTGCAAGTCGTGGACCATCATACGTTAGTGTTAGAATATTGTTCAAGCTGCAAGATTAGGTTAATTTTGGTTTAAATTTCAAAGTTAGTAAATTGTTGACAAGGTAAGAAGTGTTTTATAACGATTCTTTTTTCAAAGGACGATTCTTACATTTTGAAATAGCAGGTCTTCAAATGTTAAACGGTTATAACGGTTATTTTTATAAACACAAATAATAAATCTGGTGACAAATACTCGTATACAAGAAATACTACTCAAGAGAATATCAAAGCAAAATTGATCACATTGTGAGCCAAATGGCTTCAAAACACCAAAAACAATTACACAGAAGTATAGGTGTTAAAGGGCTTACAGTGCACCCCCAGTGTAGAAAACACCATTCATTAACAGTGTTTTTTTATTTTGAGATTATTGAAACTCTACTTTAAAATTAATTGATTAAGGAAATCCTTAATTCGGTTTCAAATTTTAATTAAATATTGGTATGTATGAGGGAATGTTAACTAATTAATACAGGTAAGAGAACAAAAAATTTTTTTCTATATTTTGTTCTCAAACTATTATAAGTTGTTCAGTGCTCCATTAATAAAGTTATACTGAAAATTGTTTAAAAAAAACATTTTTAATTTCAGAAGTGTTTTGTTTAAAGCATTTCTGAAATTAAAAATGGTTTTTTTATTGTTTTGCGATAAAACTTGCCTTTGCTTTACTTAAGTTGAGCAAATTATATTTTTTAAGTTTATATTTTACTGTTTTTACAATTAGTCTAATATACTGTTCCACATAATATCCTGAATTTTTTTTTTTGACCTGATTTTTTTTTGACCTCTAAAAGACCTTGTATGTTTTTGGTCATTTATTTTCTAAAAATAGTTGGGGTTTTTTTGTGAATTTCCTTTTTTTAGATTCTAAAAATGTTTTACAAATGTTGAACCAAATTTGAACATTTTTCTGTTTGTCATTTAATAATGTAATTAACATGAAACATTTTACCAAACGTAATATTGTCTTTCCAGGCGCTCAAGTCAACAAATATACAATGTGACATTATTTTTCCTCTTCTTCATGTCATTATATGGCTTATTAGGTGTTCAATTTTTCGGAGAAATGTCAAATCATTGTGTTGTTAATGGCACTGATCCAGAGTAAGATAGTTGTTATTCTTTTTTTTTTATAAAATTATTTAATTAAGTTAAAATTATTTAATTATTATTTTAGAAATTATTTAATTGGTAATTGTGAAAATGATTTAATTAAGATTTTTTTCTTCAAATTACTGTTTGTGTTATGAGATAGCTTTTATTCCTTTTTTATTGTGTTTCGAAATTAATTTTATTATTAAGAACAGTACCAAATCCCATTTCTGGACATCCTTTGACTGGAAGAATCTATTTTAAGACACTTTTTCATGAACAGAATAATCAAAGCATTTCCTTTTTCCCCCAAAAAAAGTTATTTAATTTTTTTATGCTTAAAAGTATAAGTAAAAAAATCATTTCTTTTTGCTGCTTCTCTTATAGTTAAACATTTATTCTGCCTCAATAAGCACACTAAAAAAGTTTTTGAAAAAATAATAGTACTTAAAAAAAAGTTTAGGGAACCTGCTTCTTGTTTTAGATATTTTTTTATATCTAATCATATTATATCTAATCATTCATATCTAATCATTTATATCTAATAATCATTTTATATCTAATCATATATACTTTTGGAATTTTAGAATGACTCGTTTTTAAATGTTATCATAAGCAAAAAAATGAAGAAAAAAATGTATCTTTATCTCTGAAAAAGAAAGTTCAAATTATTGTCTGCTCAATTTTATATAATTGTTTCAATNATAACATTAAAAGCTGTAACTACATTTAGATCCAATCAATAAACCGTTATTCACTTAATATTTTGACTGCTTTTACAAAATTATTTAACGTAGAGTGCCAATAAAAATGTAGCAAATATTTTTTTCAGAAAATATAATTTTGCTAATAATATGTTGAATAAATGATAAAATAAAAACTTTAATTTGCAATAGTGTTTCCCATCACACATTTCAAATAAAAATTAAAAAACGAAATTCGTTAATTCAAAACTAAATATTTAAATTCTTTAAAGAAATATGCACCCATATGCATTCATAAAGAAATGTATTTTTGCTTTAGTTTTCCTTTCAAAGGAAATCTCAATTTCGCTTATTTCCTTTTTTTTTTTCAGCATAATGTAAATAAACCAAAAATAAATTCATGACTAAACTCAGTTCCAGGACTATAAATTTAATTGTCAGGCACAAACATAATAATGCTAATATTATTGCCTATAAAAGATTTTAAAAAATTTCATTCCTCTTCTTAAATATTTTCAAAATAAAGTTGTATTTTATTTCTTAATACGTTTACAATTATCTCAAAAATTAATATGTAAGTTTGTTTATGAGATTGGAGTTCTGGCGAAAGATAGTTTCTCATTTACGATTACATAACCAAAAAAAATGAAAACTGCTGGTCTGTTCATTATTTTTTTATTGAAAAGTCATGTTTTGATGTTTGTTTACTTTAAAGACCTTTTATCCGGAAAAATCTATTTTACGGTCTTCTGAAAGTCCTGATGATTCCAGATATGGGGTTTTTTACCTGCATATAGATAAACAGTATTTAATTTACTTGCATATTATAGTAACGTAACTCTTGATGACCTTGCTATTCCTGATACATATTGTTCAAATATTCCTGATGCTGGTTATCGATGTCCCGAAGGTATGGTTTGCATGGAATTGGAACTCCCCAAAAGTATTTCAGGTTTTAATGGATTTGATGACTTTGGTGAGTTTTATATAATTTGTAACTTATATTCATATATTTATACATTCACCAATTGACAAAATGTTTTTGTAATCAATCAGTTCTAAGTTAAAAATTATTCAAAAGTCTTTTCTGAGTTATTCTTATGATGTGTACCTTTAACCCTTTGGTGACTTAGTTAAACATATTTTTCATGCGTTTTTTATTATTTTGTGTTAACATAGGTCGAAATTAGTAGAAAATATTATATTTAACATTTTAACTGAGTTTTCATACTAAACGGATAGGAATATGAATCAGAAAAAAATTAATGAATTTGAATGAAGAATTTAATCAGAAAAAAATGAGAATCATATAAATTTATAATATTGAAAACTTTAAGATTGAAGCTGATGAAGAAAAAAATAGGAAAAACCATGTTAGCCTGAGTTACTGCTGAATATTTTTTAAGTGACCCTTTATTTTTTCCTGAGACCACATTTTGATTCCTTTTTTTTTATTAAAGATGCAGTTTAAAAAATGTATGTGTACATGTTTTAAAAACGGGAAAAATTTCATTATAGTTCAATATCTCACTCATAAATATACAATAATTATTCTTAGGCTTTTATCTTCAGTAGGCAATAAAAGAAAAAATAATTTTGTAATTTATTGTTTTATGCATTCTATACATCAGGGGGGTATTACTTGAATCTTTGAGTATGCATTCTTAAAGGAAATTTTCTTTTGTGCTATTTATAACTGTTTCCATTAGCTATTTTTTGTCTATTTCAGTATCAATACTTTTCAATACTAAGAACTACTGAGTCATATTGATACACTTCTGTCTGTTTTATAATGTATAGTTATGCTACAGATACTGATTGTAGAGCATAAGTTTTTGCATATAAATTTACTCCTCATTCATCTAAAGAATGAATAGTAATTAATATTAGATTATTATTAAAATATAAATTATTTTTTATTTTAAAAAATGTCAAAATTAGCAATAAAAAGCATTATTTTATAAAACCATTGGACAATAGTATAACAAGGCTGTTGTACGTATTTCTTTAATGTTAGCATTGCAGGGAATTAAATTACCTTTTATTTATTACTTTGAGTGTGATTAGTATCATTAGTTTTTATTCTGAATTTATTATATTGTATCTGGTTCTTGTGCCTAAACTCTCAATCATATTTTGTTTGAAAAGAACACTTAATATTAGTTCTGATAAAGTTTGTAAAAAAAATATATATATTTAATCACTATTAAAAACTATTACCAATGTTTATTTTTTTTCTATTACCAACATCTATTTACGACATTCATCAACATAAATATTTTGAACTAATTCAGGTAACATTAAAAATTTAAAAAAAAAACTTTTCAATAATATCTGCTTTCTTTTAATAATGTAATGAGATATAGAGGAATAAAGATATTGTTTTCTTAGTTATAAATATTTATTTAGTTTCATGATTTTTGCTTTTAAGACTAATAAAGATTTTTAATTTAAAAATTGGAGTTTATCCACCAAAAATAATTTCTACTTTAAATATAATAAGTATTTATCTTTGATAATTGCTTTTAATAAACTGTTTATAGTATTAACATTCCTCTCCTCTTTACCAAATTATAATTTGAAGTAAAAAAGCATTGTTTTCTCTATTTATTAAAATTATATTTAATTGAGATATCTTTTCAGTGTTCATTGCTGATATTTTGCACTACAATGTAATTTTATTTTGATTGTCCTGCGCATATAAATTTGTGATCTGATGTTTATAAGATCAGTTTCTATCCGTATTACTATACACATTGAGAACAAATTTGAATTTGGCCATTTAAATTTGCATATTGTTATCAGGAAACATAATTATCACGTATTATTATCAGACAACCCTTTAAGTGACAGCTGCAGTATTTTTTTTAAAGCTTTAATCTGTTCACATTGATTTTAAAAAACTCTCATGTTATTCTTTGGAAAGTTGTGCATAATAAAGAAATTTCTGCACAGAGGCTTGATGTTCGGATGTTTAGATAAGTTATGCAGAAAAAGTTAATATATTCGAACTAAATTATTTCTTGATATTTTATTCAATTTAAGTATTACATTTAAAATCTGCATTGCTAAATAAATATTGTCACAATATTTTACTTGTCACAAAAAATTCTAATTCTTTTTTTTTTCCTTCTTTTTTTAGCTCACAGTTTTTTTACTGTGTACCAAGCTGCTTCTCAAGAAGGCTGGGCTTTACTTATGTATAAAGCTATGGATAGTCTACCAGCATGGAGAGCCATTGTTTATTTTACTACAATGATTTTCTTTTTAGCTTGGCTGGTCAAGGTACTGACTTTGCTGAGAATGTCTTTCGTTTTGTACTTTGATTTTTGATAAATATTTCAATTGTTTTTCTTTTATATAGAATGTTTTCATTGCTGTGATCACTGAAACTTTTAATGAAATTCGAGTGCAGTTTCAGCAAATGTGGGGAGAGAGAGGTGCAATTCAAACTGTAACAACTGCTCAGGTTAAAAAAAGATTTATTTATTTATTTTATTTAATATCTTATAAATTCCACCCACGGTCTGAATCAAATGAAATTACTATTAAAAATACTATATTGGAACTCATAAGACAGAGCAAATGTGTTTTAATTTAATTTAATACCTGAAATACCTGATATGGTTAGAATTCTAGTGTAATTGGATATTTTAATTTTGCTTTCTCAAAAACTGTACTCTGTGATGTCCATGTCAAATAGTATTCAATGAAATTAATTCTTTTTATTTTGCCGGTGTTACGTCTAAATTGTTTTTTGAAGAGCAAATTAATGAAATTGTTCATTTTTTCTGTAAACTTTATCATTCAGAAAATGATAGTTTGAAACATTAGTATAACATGCCTCATATGTGCCTCATCATTATTGGTTTTAAAACTGTGTACATAGTTTTAATTGTATGTGTAAATGAAGTAGCTAATGATGTTTGAAACTAGTTTTTCTTCATTATTCTATTAACTAAAGAGTTGTACTTTGTTCCTTAGTTATTGAAAGGGGATGATTCAGGTTGGAAATTAATAACTGTTGATGAGAATAAAGGAAGAGGTAAAGCTCCCCATTGCTTACAAGTTTTCCTTCAATCTGCTGTCTTCCAAGTTATTGTCATGGTGGTCAATGTAGCTAATGCAATAGTTGCTGCCAGTATTAAGTTTGAACATGATGGAAGACCCAGGGAGGAATTTTACAAACATTTTTATTTAGCAGAGGTAATCTTTACTCTCTATTTTTTTCTTCCCAATATGATCAATTACAGCAGAATCCTAAATTTTCCAGTCCAATGAGACAGAAAAGTAGGTGCATTTACTACCCACTTTACCACGTAACTTTAGATACATATTACACATTTTAAGATAAATTATTAATGCAAAAATTCTCAAAGTCAATTAATGAATTATACAAATGTGTAGGTACCAACTATTACGATTTGCCCAGTATTGTTAGAATTTTGTTTTCATTTATTATAGCTTTGCTTCAAAATAAAACTAAACACTAAATTGCAAACATTAAAAATAAAACTTTTATTGCATAGTGCACAAAAAATGGTCCATTCTGAATAACTTTTGATCTAATGATCCGATCTTCACATTCTAGGACTTCATCTTTATGGTTCGAGTGGGTGGCCTCAGATATGCTAATTAGTTAGTGCAGATGATATTTTAAGTTACAAAATCTGGAAGCCAGACACAAAAACGTATTTTCTTTGAATAAACATACCCTTTTTTTGATGTGTATTTGGATTCCTGATCACCAAAATATCAAGGATAGCTGCCATATGGGAGAGATGATCCCAATAGTTTTTTCAGAAGAGTGATATTTTGCCATTTCTCAAAAACTTTGAAACTTTTTAAAGAATATAATTTTACGAAATCTAAACCAAATGGGTACAATAGTTCCTAAGAAATTAAATTTTAGATCAGGGCTGATTGTGCTCCGGAAAAAATCCGGATTTTTCGCTAACCGTGATCCGGAACTTTCCGGAGATCAAAGGTTCAGACGTTTCAAAAAATCATTGATCACTAAAGTTTCCGGAAATCAAATTTTCAAAGGTGGAACTTAAGAACACAGTTTATTTTATTTGTTTGTAAGGGAGAACCCGATACTTTATAAGCTTATATTCAAGATTAATATTCATTTTTTATCAGTAAATAGTTATTATAATCATAAACTCAAGAAAGAAAGATATATTTGAAAATTTCAATTACTTCTCCAGGTCATTATAGGTATGTGTAAAATTTTAAATATATTTTAAGTGAACTAAGAAATATTGAGAAAAAGAAAAAAACCTTGTTTAAATTTTTTTCTAATTTTTCGATTTAAACTTTATTTTTTTTTACTCAAGAAATTTTCCGGAATTTTGACTTGAGCTCACAATTACCCCTGTTTAGATACATAATTTTTTTTACGTTCATTGACCCTTTAGTTATAGAGATTCTTGGAAAAGTTTCTCTCCAAACTATGATTCTTCATTATTTCTTTCCTTGGGGAAAAAACCCAGTTTGTTGAGCAGGAAAGTAATCAGATATATTTGACAGTAAAGAAGTGAAAAAAGAATTTAATAAAGTAACATAAATTCACTGTATTGCTTAAAAAATAATTTATTTTAGTATAGCATCTGGATATCTAGTCAAATTAAATTAATGCAATTTTTGATGCAATAAATATGTGTATAAAATTACCCATTTTGTTTTGAAGTGCTTGTTTAAATGATAAGTTTATTTTTTCACCTTCTTAAGTTAAGTTAATGAATTAGGTAAAATTATATTAAAATTAAAAAATTAAATAAAACTATCTAATTCAATTCATGAAATATATATTTCTATAAACTTTTTCCTGTCCACTTTACAAAAACTATGTGGAGAAAGAACATTTAACACATTGCTAAGATTATAACTTATGTTCCAGGATATTTTTATGCTATAATTTAAGGGTCCCTTTCAAACAGAAAAAGGGATATTTTTTCCTCCATGTTGACATGAATTGTATGTGCGCAATTTCTTTATTTAATCAATAACTAATATTTTTGAATACTTCTCTTTTCATTTAAACTCATTAAAATGTGTTCTATCTTACCTAGTTTCCAAATTATGAATTCCAAGGTAGTAAATATTCTTAAAATTTAAACTTTGAAAAGTATAAAAAATGCTTACAATCTTGAAATAGCCACTAGGTTCCAGGTGGCCGAGCAGTAAGCATGCCTGAATGTGGAGACAATGGTTGGGGTTCGAATCCCTCTCAGGGCATGAATCTTTCTATCTATGTGCTGTTCTTTGTTGTGTGATAAATGAATGGGTATCTGTGGCTGGGTGGCATGGGTAATATTGCCCCTTTTCATGACTTAGGTTCACAGGTATCCACCGGGCAACATTTAGTAAGCAACACTTTCAAACGAAGCAAGGAAAAAGAGTTCAGTGCCTGCTGTTTTAAAAAAATTCTTTCAAAATAAGAGAATTGGGTTTATATAATTTTCCATAGGTTAACATGAAAGAAAAAGAATCAACCAAAGGAGTCCCTAAGATATATTTGATGTTCGTTACATTAAATTCATTGTAAAACTTGCTTGTATTTATTATTTAAATCTTTATTGGATGTTGTATTATTTCTGACAGACTGTACTGTTTATTTTTATAGGTTGGTTTTACAATATTTTTTGATTTAGAAGTTATATTTAAAATATGGTGTCTAGGATTTCATGGCTACTATAGAAGATCCCTTTATAAATTTGAATTGTTGTTAGCTATAGGAACGACTTTCCACATAATCCCTGATTTATATATGTCTGAGCTCTCTTCATTTCAGGTACTATCATTAATTAACAAGTTTTATTAATTAATATCATTAATTAACAAGTTTATTTATGTCATTTTATTTGTTTCATATAACTAGAATTTTGGGTTGTTTTCAGTCTTTCAGTTTAAAAAAATATCAAATAAGTTGTGATTTATATGACTACAGAGGTGCTAACTGCTTCAAATTACCTGCAATTATTGTGATTTTGTAGTTAAGATTGCAATCCTATGGTTGAGTAATAAAATGTATGGTTTTTGAGAATTTCTGTAATTTATTTAAAATAGGTTTAACTACCAAGAGGAAAGAAATTTATTTGCAATTAATCTATTATAATTTCTTTTCTATTCCTTAAATAATTCTAAAAACATAAATAAAAAAGCAAAGAAACTTCATCTTTCCCACTTCTAACAAGCTATATTAAAATTTAATCTTCTGTTATAGAAAAGCAAAAGAACATCAATTTAAATTAGATATGTTGTGAGCAAAAAGGTTTTAAAGGATAAATTGTGGGATGATAAAATGGTAATAAAAACTTGTTCTAATTTTAACAAACTAGAACACTATTTTCGAATAATTTAATTTTATCATTTTATAATAAATTGGAAAATTTCGCTATTTTGTTTTTATTAATTTGGTACCCTTATTTAAGTATTACTTTTTTTTATTTAATGGTAAATAAAATCATAATTTTTTTTAATATTATATACTTATATAGAATTAAGTGGTATATGCCTTTCTAAAATATCGTTTATTTGAATTTCATGACTGCTAACCATATATATTTTTGTGTTATTATTGTATGACGCCCCGTGGGGGAGTGGTTGGGCGTTGCACCAAGCATGCTTGGGGACTAAACACTGGGGATTCCACATTGGTCTGACCACCCAACCTTATTTAAGTGACCTTATTTAAATTTAGTTTGAAGCATTATATCTATTGTTTGTAAGGATTAAGTTCGAAATTACAAGGTGCAACAATTTTCAGGACTAATCCAACAACTCTTGAAAATATTATGTGAATAACTCTCCATTTAGTTTGTCAAAGTACTTGGATGTGTAAGTTTTAGAAACAACTTTTAAAGTCCTTTGTTCAGAATGCTTTTTAATTCTGATGTTGCGGCTTGCTGAAAAACCTTGATATTTTTAAACCCTGTTTTTTTTAAACAAATTTTTCTGTTTTGGAGGTCATTCCATTCTTTCATTTTTCCAACAAAATTTTTGCAGACATTTTGTTTCCCAAACCAAAACATTTGCTTAATGAGCAAGATTTAAGGATATCAAAAATATTAGGAATGTCAGAATTCACAAGCATTCCAAAAGAGGACTTAAAAAATTCTTTCTAAAATTTTAACAGTCTAAGTAACAGAAATGTATTACAGTTTCTTGGAAACATTATAAATGAGTATGTAAATTAAACAAGTTACTGTGCAAATATTGCATAAACTCCTAAAGTTGGAGGAGGTTGGTGATTTGCTTATTTTTCTGACAAGGTGAAGGAGGGATATGAGGAATGCTTTCCAGGGTGTTGCAACTTTCTTATGGTAGTATAGGAAGGGGTTTGTGATTTGCTTATTTTTGCTTTTTATAGTCCGAGATCGTTAAAAATGTGCTTGAAAAGTTGTGAATGGCATCTCATATATTTTCAGTTTTGGAAATTGAGACTTATCTTGCATTATTGAGCCTAAAAAAATTTTATGGTTATTTTAGGTGCAGAATTAGTTTTCAAAAAATTAGTACCACATTCACATTTAAAAAAGTGTCTTTTTTTTTCTTTCTATGCAAGTAGTTTAAAATTAATAGTTCAAAAAAATGGCTTAAAAATTCTTAAAACTATAGTTTTTTATGTTCATAAAATAAATTAGCATGAATTTCTCATTACACTCCTCATTTTCAACTCAAAAGTGTTTTTTTTTTCTTTCTGTAATGTACTTCCTAGTTAAAGCCATTACTTTTTTTCAGTATACATTTAATCTGTATAAAGTTGATTAATTTAAATTGCTTCTAAATCATCCTTTTTTTCTTATTTAAGGTATTACGAATAGTTAGACTTATTAAAGCATCACCTGTTTTAGAAGATTTTGTTTATAAAGTGAGTAAAATAAACTAATTTTAAGTATCTAAATTATTTATCGCATTATTTTGATAACTTATGCCTATGGTTTCAGATCTTCGGCCCTGGAAAAAAACTTGGCAGTTTAATTATCTTTACTATGTGCTTGCTTGTGATCACTTCAAGCATTAGTATGCAGCTATTTTGTTCTCTGAATGATTTCACGAAATTTGAAGCTTTTCCTGAAGTAGGTTGTTTTTCTTTTTTTTTCATATTTAATATTTTTTTATACTTATTATTTTTTATATATATAATTTTAAGCACTTTTAGTCTAATTTTTATAATTGTTAACACATTAAAGCAATAGAAGATATTAATTTAGAGTTATTAGACTTCAGAATGAGATTTATGTATTGTCATTATTCCTTGTACCTTTCTTATAACATCAATTCTAGATTGTTAATCACTTAAACCAATTTATTTCCTGAAATGAGAGTTAAGATAGTTTTTTAAATGTTAGAAATTGAGATTTATATGTGTTGTGTTTTTTAAAATGCATAAAATTTTCATTTAAAATAAAAAAAGGAAAAAAATTAATTTAAACATAAATGCCTTATAGGCAATTTTAGTCTCAGTCATCTGGCTTAGTTCAAATTTTAGAATTTTTCTTAAATCCTTTTAAAAACATGATTGTTTAATTACATTAATGTTGCCTACTAGCCTGAAAGAGAAACCGTTAGTATTTATTAAGTCAGCCATTAATATTTATTAAATCATTTGAATTCAGCAAGGTATTTTGTTAAACCATGGACCAAATACACAAATTTAAATTATGAATTATACAAATGCTAAGTAACAAAATTGTTTGGCTGGATTTATATTTTTACTTGACTTTGTAATATTTAAGAAGAGAAAATATATGGAATGGAGTAAAGTAATAGGTACGCAAGCAATTTCTTTCATTGCAATATGTTACTAGATTTCTACATATTATCTTTGCAGAAATATTATGCATATTCATTACAACTTCAAAATTTCAGTAATTGGATTATACACAATAGGAACCCAGTCATACTTCTAATTGAAAAGTCTCATATTTTTTAAATGTTTAAAGTATTTCAGAAATTAAAAAAAAAATTTATTCTTGAAAAAATATACCAAATTGTTATTTTCATTGCTTATGTTTAAATCTATTGATTATTTAAAAAAAATTGTAATTGAAAGTAAAATTTTGTAATTTTTCAAGAAATTTTAATCTAAAAATTTTGTAACTAATTATGTATGAGTTATTTATTTTGAATTTTTCTGCTCAGAGTAATTAAATTCAGTAGTTTAACCCGTACTAAAGTTTTAATAAGTGATGTTCGAATCTGTAAAATTTCTTTTAAAGCAAAATTAAGCTTAAATTAAAGAGCTAGATTGAAAACCTTGTACGAGGTACAAATTAGCCCCCAGATGTTCCTCTCTGATAAAATATGCCCCATTAAAGTTTCAGTTTATTTTCTTTTAAACTAAACTCATATTTGTTCATGCTGTTACTAAAATAATGTATAATATTTTTAAAGTATGCCTTAAAAATATTAAAAATGAATGAATAATGTCTTTTTGAAAAATTTTTAAGCTTTTTTTTTCATTTTTTAGGCATTCATGTCAATGTTTCAAATTCTCACCCAAGAAGGTTGGGGAGAAGTTATGAATGAAACCATGCTCCGTACAAGCAGTATTGGACCTTTTGTAGCCATATATTTTATATTATACCATCTATTTGTGACTCTTGTAAGTTGGAAAAGAATAAAAACTTATCCAATTATTTCTTCTCTCTTTAAGAGTTTATTTAAAAATTAAAAGTTTTTATAGAGTGCTTTTTTAGTATTCAGTGATTATTTTTATAAAATTTTAACATTGTAGTGTATTAATATTATCCTGTACAAATAATTCTGGGTGATCGTAAGAAACTTTCTAATATATGAACCCTTAGCAGCTGATCTGCTTAACCAATGAAATTTCAGATAATATTTGAAAGTATGGAATGGAGATCTTAATGATTTATAGCAATTAAGTTCTCATGGTTACAGTGAACAAATTTCAAAATTTTCGAATGGAAACCTCCATTTTTCCCCCATGCAAACTTGGTTTTTAGAGTTACGCATTAAATAGGGTTGTAACTCTAAAAATCAAGTTTGTATATAAAAAAAAAAAAATTGAGGTTTTCATTCGAAAATTTTGAAATTTATTCACTGTAACCATGAGAACTTATTTGCTGTAAATCATTTATAATATTAATTATAATGTAATAAATAATTTATAATTGTAAATGGTTTATAACAATTAAGTTTTCCCTGTTACAGTGAACAAATTTCAAAATTTTCGAATGGAAGCCTCCATTTTTTCCCCATACAAACTTGATTTTTAGATTTGCGCATAAAATGGGGTTGTAACTCTAAAAATCAAGTTAGCATGAAGAAGAAAAATTGAGGTTTTCATTCAAAAATTCTGAAATTTATTCACTGTTAACTGTAAGAACTTAATTGCTGTAAATCATTATAATCTCAAGAGACCATACTCTGAAATATTAAGGGGTGAAACTATATTTTTAGCCAAAAAATGGCAGCACTAGACGAAAATAAATGAAATTTTTTTATATCTTTCCAAAGCATCGAGGATTCTGCTCTCTGAAAACAATGGGTAGAAAGTAGAAGGAACAGTAGTTTGTATGCTGCTACCTGCTCACTTCATCTCTTCTAGAATTACTGTTTTTCAACCTTATTTTATGTTCTCTATTTTGAGGATTGCACTTGTATAGAAAAAAAAAAGTAAGGGCTGTCGCTCTAAAAATCTGAAATTCATTCTCTCTAGCTGTAAACAGGAGAACTCGATTATTTCAAATCGTCATGCTTTGTGTCCATACATTTAAATAACAGTATCTGAAATTTAATTTCGATTTGTTAAGTTGATAATCTTTTATGGGTTCATATATAGTTAAAGTTATCTTATGACCACCTCCCTGTATGTTAAATGTATAAAAGTAACATGAAATTATGTTCTCAAGGAATTTGACTTCTTTTACTGTAGATTGTGCTGAGTCTTTTCGTTGCTGTTATCTTGGATAATCTAGAATTAGATGAAGATATAAAGAAAGTAAAACAGGTTAGAAAAATATTGATGTTTATTTTATTTTTAAATAAACTGAAATCATAAAATAGATTAATCAATTTATAGGTACTTTAGACATAGGATATTTATTTTAGTCTAAAGGATGCATTACGTAAAAATAATCTTTGGAATTAATTATTTTGAGACATGCATTGCCAAATTTTTTATGAAAATGTGTAAATTGTTATTTTGAAAGTGTTATTTTTTTGTGCTTTATAAATTTGATACATTCAGCATATTGAAAATATAATTTATAAAGGCTTAGCTTGTTAATTGCTTTGTTTTATTTTATTCAAAAATAGTCCTATAACTTTTAATGTTTAATTGTATAATGGAGGAAGAAATCATTTAATGATTTTTTTTATAAATATACAATTTCTCAATAGCCTGATCTCTATTGAGAAGGTATATAAAAATCTTTAAACATGATTATATTTCTGAGGCCCTTATCAAGATGATTAAAGACTGATCTAAATAATCTGATATTTTTACAAAAAAAGAAGAAAATACATTATAGTGATTGAAGACTGATCGAAATAATCTGATAAAATTTTTACCAAGAAATTTTTTTTCTCACTATTATAACAAGGGCTGCAAATTTGTCGCGGGAAAAAAGACCCCAAATTCGCCGGAAATTTTGAAAATTACACAAATTCTGAACATAAAAAAATGTATTACATAAATGATGCAAAAGACAGAAATCGCGCAAATAATAAAAAAAGCGTAAAAATGCACAACAAAAGAATTTCTTTGAATTTCAAGCAATATTAATATTTTTATTTAAATGAACAGAATTTTTGTACAAAGTATTGTACATTATCAGATTATTCTCATTTGTGCTTCGTCTTTCATCACTTAATACATTTTTATATTTAGAAAACGATCTTTCTGTGTCAATGCTGTTTTTAGGCACCGACAAACTTCGAATTGCCAATTTTGGAGGGTTCGGTCTTTGATTTCCAAAGCTCGACCAATTTTCCTTCACCAACGCGCAATTCCTTGACGGTTGCTTTTAAGAAGTAATTGCTGTGAAAACTCAAACATTCTACATTCAAGCAACTAGTTACAAGTCCCTACTAACTACTAGTCCCCACCCCCCTTCGTAGGGATGAAGCTAATCCATATTTAGGAAATCACAAGGAGCCGCCTAGGAAAAATTAACTGGATATGTAGAAAGGCAGTAGAAATTTCATTGCCCAGTGCAATAGCATGTATAACAACTTTTCTGTCAAAGATTTGATTTATAACATTTTCCTTCTTTTGTGATTCCAATTTCTTTTGTACTCTTACTGACTTCAGGAAGGTAATTACCCTCCCTAAGTGTAGAAAGACCACCTTACTTGACAAGATATTGATTATCTCTGAACTATTTTCATGTCATTTTGCTATTGATTCACTCCCCTAAATATCTAATCAATTTTACATGTTCAATTTAAGGTTCAGGAAAATAAAAAATTCTGTTTAATAAAAATTATAAATAAATAATGAAAAAAAATCAAATTTTAAGCAATTTTCGCGGAAGTCAAGACATATTGAGAAATTTGCGGATTTTAGAAAAAAAGATGACAATTTCGCGGAAATCATCGCAGAAATTCGCGCCGCGACAGACCTGCAGCCCTAATTATAACCAATATTTATAAGTGTTTAGTAATTAATTCCTATTTTCAGAATATATTGAATATAACTATATATTTCTATTAATTTATTTTCTATTCTGAAATAGCTAAAAGCCAGAGAGCAGAGTGCTGGTATAAAGGAAGGATTGCCCTTAAGATTGCTTTTATTTGAACGTTTTCCTGATAGCCCCCAAATGAGTCGCTTAAACAAAGTACCATCTGAGTTTATTGTACCGAAAGTAAGTAAAAAATCATATTTTAGTTAATATTTAATACAAATATAAATCTTTATATATTATGAAAATATTATAATATAAATATTCTTATTTTGTAAAAAATTTATTTTTTAAATTAATTTTATTTTTGCTATGCTTTATAACATATAACTTGCTATCAGTGATTTCTATCAATATTTTATTGGTTTTGTATGTTACAGTAAGGAACCAATTATCCGGAACGATCAGGACCATCGCTATTCCAGATAACTGATTTTTCCGGTTTTCTGAATCTCTGCAAGAAGCCGTTTTTTTTATTGTTAAACCCAACTAAAAAAAAAAATTATTTGGAAATAATCTTAAAAAGAAAAAAAAACGGTGAAGTAATACACTAATGATTATTTCCAAAATGATGGTAAGGTAAACATGTTTCAAAAAAGAAGGAAAAACCCTGAAACTTTATGAGGAAAAAAAAAAAAAAATTTTTAAATGGCGGGAAAATTATCGAATTTTGTTCCGGTTTTTTGGTTTTCCGGTTTTCTGATTTCCGGATAACGGGTTCTGTACTGTATTTAATTTAGCGTCCACAATTCTTCTGACTTTATTTAATGGTTTTGTGAATGTATTTTAATTGTGGTCTGGGAAGCCTAGAATCCTCAGGTAATTTGAATTCGAAAGCAAAAGTCAGTGAGTAATGTATTTTTTAGTTAAAACTTGAAAAACAAGCAATTTCAAAATTTGTGCTACCAATAAGTTGGCCAATGAGGCTCAAAATAAATAAATTTGTCATTGGTTTTAATAAAAATACTAATTTATGAAAAATACTCTTCGTTTATCAATATCTTCTTTCAAGTTTCTTCTTAAATGAAACCATTTTTGCAGTTTTAATGATCATTGTTCTATACTTTTAAAAGTTAAGCATTTTATATAAAGTAATTTCCATTCTTAATCACTAAGGAGTATCTATGATGGATGACTATATGACTGATATGACTCTACTAATAAACTAAGATGCATCAAGCTTTTAAATTTTTCTAAATTTTGTTTAATATATTCTCTTTTTTTCGTATAAATTTTGTAGTTCTAATTAAATAAAAAATCTAAATTATATAAAATCTTCTAGTCAAACTAGTTACCCTAGTGAAATTTACAAAATGTAATAATTGATATATATTCTATCAAAACATAAGTTTCGCTGCATATTGAATAAAAGATGTTCTATTTCTGATGAAATTTGTTACGCATTGCAAATTGTAATTTAGAATTCTGTTAAAATTTTCTTGAAAAACCTGCAAAAGTCAGAGAATTTTGTTTCTAAAATGGAGTGGAAACCCTGTTTATAGATCGTGATTTATTTATTTTTTTATCAACACTGCATTATGCCTCTTTATCTGTAATTTAGAGAAAAAACTACATAAATAGAGAAACTACATGAAAGCTATACAAAAACACTGTTAACATATTATAAATTTCTCATATTCTTTCGCATCCTTCTCATATATTTATATTTAAAAAGTTGCTGGCTGAATGTAAGGGTATTAAAGAAGTCACAAGGCATAGATAATGAGTAGTTAAGAAAAAAATAACAATGATAGTTTATTTTTATCATACATTAATAAAGTATAATGCCTAAATTATATTAATCGGAATAATATCATACTTATGAAGTTTTTATTTACAATCAGCAGATGTTAATGAAGAGCTTGAGTTATTAGTTTTCATCATGGGAAAAAGCTGTTCTTGTGCTTTCATATGTGCAAATCATTTTTTTAAATGCTCTTAAATGTTGGTTTTATGTTCATTGGCAAAAGACGAAATATGTTCTATAAAATTTACTTAGCTTTACTTCTTTAAAATTTGACTTGATGTGGGTGTTAGGAGTATGATTTGGGGGTCATCAAGCTTAATCAATTCCATTTCCAAGTGAGTTTTTGCTTTCTCTTTGTTACTTTTTCATCAAAATAGCAAGGCTGTTAAAGCAGCTATTCATTTTTTTAATGTCATAAAATTTATCAACCTTCAGAAAAAGAAACATCTTCACCCACAGGAGTTCTTCTCCCTTCCTTTAAGAGATCTGCGTCCCGGCAGTAGTTTTTGCTACTGCTGTTACTGCTGGGCAAAAACTTTGTTACTGCTGGGCAAAAACTGTGTTTCTGCTGGGCAAAAACTACTATTGAATAATTGAGTATAAATAATTATTAATACTCAATTACTCAATAATGATGAGTATTTAGTTATTTAATCATTATGTGTTAATATTATCAGATTTGTTCATTCATTTTAAAATCTAGCTGCAGGAACAGCACTTTCACTCTCTTGTTAATAAGAACTGATTATATTTACTGTTTTAAGAGTATGGTTCTTAAATGTTCTGCAGGTTGAAACAAAGCACTTGACAGGTCACCCCCACCTGGGAGCTGAGTTTTGTTCATATATGCCTTAAATATTGATGATTTAACTGCATTTTATGTTTAGGTAGTAAAAATTTAAATTTACTTTTTTAGGTAAGAGAAAGCTTTATGCGTCAGTTTGTTGATGATCAGCCTGAAGAATCTCCAACGATGAAAAAACTGAGTGAAAATGAAGATACTTTAGTTACTTTTCGCAAAACAAAACCTTTAAAATTAATGGCATCTCCCTATAAAGTCAGAAATACTACTAATATCCTACGTAAAGCTAGTGTGACAAACATAGTTATGTGAGTATAAATTTAATATTAATCACGTGTTCACAGAAATTTAAAAAAAAAATTGTGCAATTTCATGAAATGTATATTTGTGGTGTTGTTTTCAAAATCTTATATTGATTAATGTTTCACGGTGTTATGCTTTTGCTTTAAGATAATTAGTTTTAAAGTTTGGTCTAGTGTTTGTTTATTGTAAAAATGTCAATTATTTACTTATAAATTCTTTCAAGATGTTGACTGTATTCTGGTAAGTACAAGTTCTGTAACCCAAAAGCTCTCTAGTAATCTCTTCTCCTTTTATTTTGTAAATTAGATATTTTAATCTGACAAAATAAATTTTAGTAAAGTTTTTTTACAACTACTTAATTATTTAGGACTTTGTTTCACATATTTAAATTACTTTTGACTGTTGTGTTTCCCTCGATACAGAATTTTCATTCTTACTAATATAGATCCTCATGGTATTTGTATATTAATATAAATGATTTAATTTTGTTTTTTATTTTTAACTGTTTTAATAAATTAATGTCCTTTATTTTTTATTATTACTTTAGTGATTCAAATAATCAGCGTTTACTTGTTGGTGATTCTGGACAAATTCCAGTTCTTGGCAAAGGACCTAAACAAGCCGCTAGTCAAAAAACTATTCGTTTAGATCGGAGGTATAATATTTTTTTCTATAATATCTTTAACAATTTAAGCTGAGAAATATGCTGAAATATTAATAGCAATTAGTAATGATTTTGACTATGTTCTATGTTGTCTAATACCATCATTCCATTGTAAGCAAATTTTAAGTACAATGCTAAAATTTGTCATGCTTATTTTGTTTGTGGTTCTATAAAAATTTTAGTTCTTGGTAAAGAACCTAAAGAGACCAATAAAATGATTAACTTAGATTGAGCTTATAATGTTGTTTATATTGTTTTTGTTGTTAAGGAGAAATATGCTAAAATGTTAATAAATTGTGAATTTTTATTATTATTGTTTGACTTGTGATTATTTATTGATACTTAATTTTAAAAAGATAAATATATTTTTAGAGAAATATTGTGTTCCCTTCTGCATACATAGTTTTTATTAGTTTCTTTGTGAAATAAATAGCCACATATCGTTATAATTATTTAAATTTATTAAAGTACTGACTTTTTACTAATAAAATACTTTTAAGAATTGAAATTCGGGTCAGTGAGTACTACTCCTCTAAAAAAATAATAATAGCAATAATAAATTTTCTATTATATTACTTGAATCAAAACTAAGATTTTTTTTTATACTGTAATTCAAAAGATAAGATGTAGCTGATTGAAGGAAGCTTTTTCAAAATTTTGTAGAAATTAGTTTCATATTGTTGACTAAATGCTTTTTTCATTTTTGTAATAAAAAGAGTTATGAGTTTGAAAAATTTATTAATCATAGCATTTTTTTGCTTTTCAAAATAAATTTGTTGAATAATTAAAATTGTTAAAAAATATATCAGGAATTATTATGTGTATTTGTTTATTTTTGCTACTTTGCTTTCCCAATGTTTGATAATTTTTATTGTTTAAAATTATATGTTCTCAAGGAGTATGCGGCGATCTATGAGAGGTTCAATAAAAATCAAGCAAACTTATGATCACTTGCGTGAAAATGGGGAAGGTACAGCTATAAATCCTACAACTTCAAGAAGTCCTCATGATTTTGATATAAAATTGTTACAACAGAAAAGACAGCAAGCTGAAATGAAAAGGTTTGTTAATTGTTTCTCTATTTTATTGAAGAAAATATTCTTTGACAAAAACCTCTTGTTTTGTCTATCTCAGCCCAAAATGTCTTAAGAAACTGAATTAGGTTAGAGTACTACTAAAAGTGCAAATGTATATAGAAATTGAAAAAAATAAATGCATATTTTTACTTATATGTATGCTTTTAATTAAGAAATGATTAAAAAAATGTAAGTTACCTAGTGACATATTAAATCCAAAGCAATATTCAATTTAAAATAATTGCTGATTTTGTAGAACTTTTTATATGCATTTTCAAGTTTCGATTGATAGTTTAAAAACTGATAATTTTGCCTAGAAAATTTTTTTGTAGGAAGAAGTTTTTATTTTTTATTCTGAATTAAGGAATTCGATAAAAGGTCAACTTGCACAACACTTAATATGCCTTCTCATTAATGATAATGCTTATTCATGTTATTAAAGCTGTATGCCTTTTAACTATATTTGTGCTCATTTCATTACCTACTTTTCCATTACTCTGTAGCACATTGCTACAAAAACATAATATTTCAATTAATTGTTGAGACAGAGTAAACTGAGAGACAGAATTTAAATACCCATAAATCTTAATTATTGGAACTTTTTTTGCATAAAATTCTTTTTGTCTGATAATGTTTTAAAATTTATAAGAGAAAAAATAACTTGCACTTATTAGTTTCAATGTCCACCTTCCAAACTTGGAATTATATTTGTATTTTCTTAACTCTTTTGTGTTTCATTTTATGTGTGTTTGTGTGTTTTTTTGTTATTATTGTAATTTATTATATATAAACTCATTACTGTAGTCACAGACATAGATCTGGCAATCCAAAAGTAACTCATTCAATTTCTTTCTTCTGTGTTTGTAAGTTTCATGTTTTTATTTTGTATTGTATTGAGTTAATAAATATGTTCTAGTTAAAGGGAATATTTCATTAATTTAATAATTTCAAATTTTAATGAATGTTCAAGCATTGTTATTATTTGTTAGATTCTAATATAAATATCATTTATAATATAATAACATGCACATTAAGATTTTTTCTGGTCATTAGCTGCTTTTTATGTGCTATCTATTTATTCCTTGATTATTTGCTTAATTACCATTCACCATTTTTTGTTTCAGAAATCAAAGGGAAGAAGATTTAAGAGAAAACCACCCATATTTCGATACTCCTCTCTTTATGGTTGCCCGTGAAAGTAAATTTCGTAAACTTTGCCAAACAATTGTTTGGGCTCGTTATGACCCTCAAATCCGGGATCCTGTAACTGGCAAGGAAAGAAAAATCAAATATAAAACTTTTCAGTAAATATCTTTATTTTTTTGGTGAAAACACTTATGACTTTTATTTATAAACAAGTTTCTTATGATCATAAATTTTTTTTTGCAGTAATTTATTAGGCCTAGTCACTTATTTAGACTGGTTTATGATTTGGATTACAACGCTGTGTTGCATTTCGATGATGTTCGAGACGCCTCAAAGAAGAGTCATGAATACAGCTGTATTGCAGGTGCAGCATTTTTAAAATTTATGTCATTTGATGATTGAAGCAATAAAGAAAGAAACAACGGAAATAAAAATATAAATAATAATAATAAAAATAAAAATATGGGGGTACCAGCTCTGGAAGCCATAGAACAAAACCTTTTCTAATGAGAGAGCTGGCAAATGTCAAAATTAGCTCTCTTGCTACCCCGAAGGTTTCGTAAAAGTCCAGGAAGAAATACATAAAATCAAATCAGAAGAGAAATTTCAAACAAAATAAAAACTCACAGTAAACTGGTCAAGCAGCAATTTCTAATTGACTAATTGCTAAAAGTGTTTTACTTGTTAAATAAAATATTTCAAGCATTCTGCTTATGAAAATTTTTAACCAATATTTGTGTGCAAAAACTATTATAAAATACTCTAAATTACTCCATAGAAATTTTACAAGGCAATTAAAGAAAAATTTAAGCTGTTTATTAAATACAGTTATTTAACTCTTTATAAGGCCCTTTTTCTCTATTATTGTTAAAATATTTTTGGGAAAACAGCTCCCTGATTTCAGCCTCTCTTCCCATGCCAACCTTTACTGATACCCACATTTATCTAAACAAAGCCTTCTTCATTTTTTTTCCCTTAAGTTTTCAACAGATGACCACAGTGGGAAATAGATTTGCATCAACAAAAATTTATGATTTTGGTATAGCCTTATACAGGGTTAGAAAATAATTTATCAAAAAGACCTGATGAAATTTTTAAAAAAAAATTTCATTTATGAATTAAATTTTAAAAAAAATTTTTTTTTTAATTTTATTTAGAAGGAGCCAAGTTAATTTATGTTTTGATTATTCCTCAAGTTTTCACTTTAAATACCAAGAAAAATCTAATTATCGAGTTTTTTATTTGATTTTAAATCTTCTAGTAAGTCAAAATAAAAGTAAAAATGTATCTAAGATTGATATAATTTTCGAATCAATATTTATCAAAACTACCATTAAATATTTTAACGTTTTTTTTTTATAAATTTACTTATTTTTTTCTAAATGTTACTGTTAATGTGATTTAAATATCTGAGAATACCTAGTTATAAATATTAATTAATGAAACCACTATTAAAGATATCCATATTTTCTTATTTTTTTCTAAACATTACTGTTAACATTATTTAAATATCTGATTCTGCCTAGTTATACATATCAATTAATGAAACCGCCTTAAAGATTTCCATGTTTTCTTATAATATTTTTTCTAGTTGTTACTGTCAACATGTTTTAAATATCTCAATATGCTTAGTTACAAATATTGATTAATGAAACCACCATTAAAGATTTCCATTGTTTCTTATAATTTTTTTTAGATACTACTGTTAACATGATCTAATTATTTGAGTATGCCTATTTATAAATATTAATTAATGAAACCGCCATTCCATGTTTCCGTACTTTTTTTTCTTCTAAAAATTACTTTTAGCATGATTTAATTATACATGAGAACGCTTAGTTATAAATTTTAATTAATGAATACCCTAAGAATTTCCATGTTTTATTATAATTTTTTTTAACGTTATTGTTAACATAATTTAAGTACCTGAGTATACCTAGTTAAAAATATTAATTGATGAAACTACCATTAAAGATTCCCATGTTTCCTTTTAAATTTATCTATTTATTATATTTTTAAAATGTTACTGTTAACATGATTTAAATATCTGAGTATGCCTAGTTATTAATGTTTTTTTTTAGATTGCTGAGTATGTCTTTGTGACAGCTATGAGCCTGGAAATTATTCTTAAAACTTTGGCTGATGGTTTATTTTTCACACCAAAAGCATTAATTAAAGATGCCGCTGGAGTTATGGATTTCTTTATTTTTGCTGTAAGATTTTCTGAAGTTTTGCTGCATATTTTTATATTAAATGTTTCTAATGTAGCAAAATTTTATTAAATTGAGTTAAAAAAATACTTATTTTTGGTTAAGTTTTAAAACTATCTAAATAAGATTAATTAAGATAAGATAATCTAAATAATAATTAAGATTTTGTTATAAATTTCTTAAACTTGTAATTTTATAAACTTGTTTTTAAACGATATATTGTCTAAACTAGTTTTAACATAATAATTTACTGCAAAGTTTTCAAATATCAATTTACTAATGAATGTGAACTACTGAATTATGTTTAATTAGTTCGCATTTTTTCTTTATTTAAAATCTGTAATTCTAAATTTAAATTTTGTATTTTATGTCATAGTTTTTGTGAAATTCTGTAGTCAAGACTAGATCTCCTGCATGAGTTATGGCTTTAAAGTGGTACATCAGGTTGTGTGCTTTTTATGGTAAATTGCATTGCTTTGTATATTATTTTGCTTTGTTTTTTAAGTTGCTGAATTGATTTATATTTATAATCCCTTATTAAACATTTTTAAAGATTAACTTAAGACTAATTACATACTTCTTTAAATAAAAATAAACTGAAAAAGTTATTTATTTGCTTTTTTTATGTATATGAGTTGCAATAGCAAATTTTTAAATTATGCTTAAGTTTCTTTCATATCTATTGATTGGTACTGCGTTATTTTATTTTAAAAGGCTGGTTTTTGGATACATGATTCTAAATTTTTGTGCCAGCTTTAAAATATCTGCATCATTAAAGAGATCATTTGTAAAAATTTTCAACTTATTAAATTCTAATGTAAAAAGTGAATCCTTATAAAAAAATTTCAATAAATTAAGAATAATGAAAGACGTTTTATGTTGTGTAAGAGCAGATTTTGTTATATTAATTCTTCAAAATAATAATTTTTTTCATTACAATACAATATATATAATATGCTTTGTTATGGTTTCTTTGAAACGTGAAAACAATGTGATTATTAAATGTGTTTAATTCATTCATTGTATTAACAAACTTTCTTTTGAAATAAAGTCACTTGATTGTTTATTTCTTAATGCTTATTAATAGAGGCTAGAATAATTTTGGTTTCTTTACTTGTGAGTAGTAAAAAGAATTTGAAGGTAGTCATTTTAAATAGCTATTACAGCATTTTTAAGTTTATTTGCACGAAAGCTTGCATGTTTGTATTATTAATATATTTATGTAATGACTATTGCGCTTAGGTATTCTTAACTCCTGACTAATATAATTTAATCCTGCAAATTGCTAGACAAAAATATTCATTGATTTTGAATATGCATTTTTTTTATACAGTATTTGTTTCATTGTCTTTATTTAAAGATTTTAAAAAAGCTGGAAGAAAATGTAAATGATAAATCTTGATTCTAAAGTATATTATAAATTTAAATATGTCTTGAAACTTTTTTGAAAGTTAAGGAAAATATCGACTGATAGTTTTTATAACAGAAGTACATTAAGTTTAATATTCATATCTTTTTATAAGAAATAATATGATAATAAATTTTAAAAAATTTGTCTAAATATTAGTTTTTTTTTCCCTTCAAAACTCAGTTCTTTAAATATTGATTTATTTTTTATGGTTTGAAATAAAATTATTTTACTAAGATTTGTAATTTAGATCAGTTTAGTATTTCTGTGTTGGATGCCGCAAAAAGTTCCATCCCAATCTGGAGCCCAAGTTCTAATGATTTTGAGGTGTGTACGTCCATTACGTATTTTCAGCCTTGTTCCTCATATGCGCAAAGTGGTCTATGAACTTTGTCGTGGTTTCAAAGAAATTCTTTTGGTACGTATTTTGTTCCTTTCAATGATTTAATTGTACATTGATGTTTATCTAAATTTACTTACTGTGTTTTTTTTTAATTCTTTAGCTAATTAAATTCTATATTTCCTTATATCAAGATTTGTAAGAAAATCTTTCTTTTATTTGTGTGGGGATGGTAGTTATCGACAATGTCAACATTCATCTAGGAAAAATTACACCAGCATGGAATCAAGTTAACATGTCTTATATGCTAGTGAATAGGAATTGTATTTTTGTAGTGGTAAATACACTACAATTTGATAGACAATTTAGTAAATTAAATTGAAAAATAAGTGTTTTTCAAAATAAATTCTGTGTGTTAGGTTTGAATCCTACTCTTTTTTTTTTCTTCATATTTTTCAAATAATCAAAGTTTTGATGTTTAGACGCCATATCAATAAAAATAAAAATATCATTAATGAACATTGATTAGATTATTACATTAATTGATTAGATTATTAATAAACATTATGGTAATATTTATTAAATTTGTCGTCATTTTGTTGAGGATTATTAAGCATGTATGGCATTTGTTTGTATGATTGAATTGTTTGTTTTTAAGAAATTTAAGATATAATTGTTAANTTGAAAAATAAGTGTTTTTCAAAATAAATTCTGTGTGTTAGGTTTGAATCCTACTCTTTTTTTTTTTCTTCATATTTTTCAAATAATCTAAGTTTTGATGTTTAGACGCCATATCAATAAAAATAAAAATATCATTAATAAACATTGATTAGATTATTACATTAATTGATTAGATTATTAATAAACATTATGGTAATTATGGTAATATGGCAATTATGGTTATATTTATTAAATTTGTTGTCATTTTGTTGAGGATCATTAAGCATGTATGGCATTTGTTTGTATGATTGAATTGTTTGTTTTTAAAAAATTTAAGGTATAATTGTTAAATAAAAATGCCATTGAATGGCCTACTAACCTTATATAACTTAATTTATTTTTGTGTTTTATGTATGTTTTGCATGAAGAATGTATGTTCTACTCTCGTGTGGCCTTGAATAGGGCGGGTCGAGATATGAATAAACAATATAACTTAATTTAAATCTGTGTTATTTTGTAGCTAATCATTTAATGTGTATATTGACTGGGTATTAAATACATGCTTATTTTTTTTATTTCTATCAAACAAATCAGTATAGCTTATGAAAGATAATTTTAATTTTTCACTAAAATGTAAATGAGTGATAAATGATGAAATTAAATGATTACTATCTTTTAAGATGTTATAGCTTTACATCCAAAAAACTTGTCAGTTTATTTGATGAATATTTAATTATTGAAGATCAATCCATTGTCTAATTTTTTAAAAACCAATTTAATTATCTATTATATCGAAGTATCTAAACCATTCTAATTATCTTATTTAATCTAATTGCTATATTATTATTATCTGATTATTATTGTCTAATTATCTTATTTATTAATATTTTAGGTATCTGTCTTGCTTATTGTTTTGATGTTTGTCTTTGCTTGTTATGGTGTTCATATGTTTGGCGGGCGACTGACTAGATGCAATGACCCTGATATAAAAGAACGAGTAAGAAATATTTTTCACATTACGAAAAAATTCACTGCACAAGTTTAAACATTAAGTGTTTGACTCTTAATTATATAGGAAAAATGTGTTGGAGTGTTTATAAGAAAGATATTCATCACCAAAATGAAACTACAGCCAGGTGAAAATAAATCATATCCTGCAATGCTTGTCCCCAGAGTTTGGTAATTTTTTTTCTAATTTTTTAACTAACATATTTAAACCATTCTGTTTTATTTGCTTATGTATGTATTTGTTTCAATGTTTACTTATTAGTTGCTTTTTCCAGTAACATAGCAACTAAATATTATCATCATAAAATGTGTGCATGATTTTTCACATAATGAAGTTAAAATGAGCCCTAAGGTTATTTGAAACTTAATGAAGATAATACCGTTAAATATTTAAAAGGAATATTCATTAAAAATCTAATGTTAATGAAAATAAATTTTTCGGTAGCTGAACATGGAATAGTTAGTGTTTTACGAACCAGCCAAATTTTTTAATTAATTCATAAAATTCCAGCCGAATTAATTTATTTGATACTTGATAAGATTATTTGAAACTCAATGAAGTTATTACTGTTAAATAATCAAAAGGAATTTTCATTTAAATCTAATGTTGTTGAAAATAAATTTTTCTGTAGCTGAACAGAGAATAGTTAGTGTTTTCCAAAGCAGCCGAAATTTTTAATTAATAAATTAAACTCCAACCGAATTAATTTATTTGGTACTCGGTAAGGGTTATTTGAAACACAATTAAATTATTACCGTTTAATATTCAAAAGGAATTTTCATCAAAATCTAATGTTGTTATTAAATTTTTCGGTAGCTGAACAGATAATAGTTAGTGTTTTGCGGAACAGCCGAATTTTATTAATTAATCAATTTTAAAAATTCCTGCCGAATTAATTGATTTGGTACTCGGTACACTGCTATTATATTTATACTAAATTTGTGGTCTTGATATATTCTTTATTTTTAATTGAAGAAAATTTAAGTTATTTTTATCAAAAGAGATTTGCATCTTTGAAGCTGAAGGTTGATATTAAGCCATTTGTTTTGAACCTGTAACAGTGCTGTTTTGCTTATTTAAACTAGTCTGACCAAAAGAGTTTCAGCTTATATTCTCCTCCTGTTGTCTGTTTTTTCTTCTTCTTTTTTTTCTATTTTACCTTTTGATTAAATTTTAAAGCTTTGTCCACGTTGTTCAAAAATCTTTTCTGTTGTTCAAACTGTTCTAGTTTATATTTATTTGTAATTAATTTTTCGAAGCAATAGATTTGACAATTTTCGAACAATTGATTTGTTCAATTTAACATTCTTAATATTTATTGTACAGATTATGTTTTACGAATTAACTGATATTATTAAGGGATCAAATTATTTATTGTCATCAACAACAACAAATTTTGTGTCATATAGATCATTTCATATATCTTTAAACTTATGTACTAATCAAGGCAGTTATATTAGTTTTTTTTATAAAATGCTTTAAAATAATTTTATGAAACAAACGCTTAAAAACAATAGAAAATATGCTTCAGTATTTATTATTTATAACTAATAAAAGCAAATTTATTAATTTTAGTTGTCTTAGCTTTTAAAATTATAACCTCTTAAACAATAATGTAAAAATTAAATTGTTCTTGCCTAGTTACAGAAGTTTCATAATGTAATTTTCATTATTTACACCCAAAAATTAATGTGATTTAAGGAGAATTTCAGTTCATAGTGCAAACAGGTCTTCTACAGTATATTATTTTTAATCTGTTTATTAAAAATAATAAATGCATCAAAAAAGGTTTTTAGCATTTATTGCAACTGATGACACTAGATTCAGTTCCAGTAAAGCCTCTCTTCCTGTTCTGGAATTTTTATATTAAAAAATATAGGGGATGCAAGATAAGAAAAGTTTCCAGTTTTATGTAAATAGTTGATTAATTATTTTTCTTTATTATTTATTGTTAAAAACATGCTGTTTAAGATGTATTTCTCTTTTTTAGGGCTAATCCTCGAAGATTTAATTTTGATAATATAGGAAATGCAATGCTGGCATTATTTGAAGTTCTTTCATTTAAAGGATGGTTAGATATTCGAGATGTCTTATTGCAACGACTTGGAACAGTAAATTAAAATTTCTTATATATTTTCGAATTTTCTGTTGCATTTTATTTTGCACATTTATATTTTTGATGTATTTGTTTAATAGGCACATGCTATCTACATACACATTTTTGTATTTCTTGGTTGTATGATCGGTCTAACACTGTTTGTGGGAGTGGTGATTGCAAATTACAGTGAGAACAAGGTAAAATAATCCATTTACATTTCTTTCAAAAATTTTTACTTTCGTTTTTATGATGTCAAAGGCTTTAACGATTATTTTTCTGCTTATTATTATTAATTTTGAAGTTAACTGATGTTAGCAATAATACTGTAGTGGGTCTTAGGAATTAAGTCATAACTTAAGACAAGCATTATCTAAGTTTTAATAAAAAAGCAAACAATTTCAGTCAAAAATCGATTCACCATTCACGTTTTAGCTTTTCTTGCAAAGGACAGTTCAAACATTTGACCGTTAAGGAATGCAAGGTCTGTAAAACACAAAAAATTTTGTTTTTTTATGGAGTAATTTGTATGTCAATAAAATCTGGGTTTGTAACCACATAGTTTTTGTAAAACTCATGCTTTTAAAATATGCAGCTTACAACTAATAGCCTTAAAAATTATTCTATATTTTTGAGTAAAAATGCTACTTCCATCTCCTTCTATGTCTAAACATTGTAATGACATTTTTTAAAAATATTTTATAACCTTCGTTGAACAGCCGGCTCAATTTTAGAGTTTCTGAGGACCAATGTTCAATTCTGTAGCCTTGTAATTTTGAACCCAATCCAAAGACTAGGGAACTCTTAGATGAGTAGGGAGAAATTTGCTTTCATGGAGGACTTTTTGATGATACTAACCCACATTTGCATTATATAGAATTGAAAACCACAAAAGCATCCCACGGTTAGTCTGATGACAAGGGAACTCTAACCCATGATCTGTCTACCAATGAGTTAAGTTTCAACTGAGGGTATTTTATGTCAGCCAGTCATTGCCGGGATTAGAATCCGGGCCAGTGCTATTTTTCTTAGCTGGAACTCTTGCATAAACTTCAATTACTCATCATAGGAACAACAACTGAAATGAATTGTAATAAGTTGCAAACCATTGTTGCATGTGAGTCAAGCATTTCTGTTTGGGTACTGAAGAAGATCCTTGTTTATCAAGTTGAAACTGTAGTATATGTCTATTTCTGTGCCTTTTTTTGTACTTTAGTCACATTGTTTTGCTTCATTCATACATAGCACAAACCTCCCTTTGCTTTGAAACATTGACTGTGTTTATTGTTGTAATCAGACCCTGACATGCCATACTTCATATAAATATCATTAATATAATAATAAGTATAAATTAACGTTTAAGTATAGGAATTATTTATTATAATATTTGTATATCAATTGCAATTATATTATAAAAATTTGCCCTTTTACTGCTTTAGGGTACTGCGTTACTCACTGTTGATCAGAGACGATGGTGTGACTTGAAAAAGAGATTAAAAATAGCTCAACCTCTTCATCTGCCACCAAGACCTGACAGATATAAATTCAGAGCTTTTATATATGATATTACCCAAAATATTTATTTTAAGCGTTTCATTGCTGTTTTAGTACTTACAAATAGCAGTCTTCTGTGTGTTAGTGTAAGTTATAGTGTTTTTAAACACTTTTTTTTTAAATGTGTTTCTTGTGTTTTTAAATAGAACATGAGCAAGATCATTTTCTTTTTTCAGTGGGAAGCGGATGAACATCATACGATACCTCTAGCCACTGTTTCTGCTGCATTTACTTTGCTTTTTACAATAGAAGTTGGAAAATTTTTCTAAATCTCTTTTATTTATTTAATATTAATTTTTTGAGCCAATGATTTTGCAATTCTGATGAATGAGTTTGCATATCGTTCAATCGTTTAAGTTTACGTATTGTTGATTTATCCTTTTAATTTACTTCTTTTAAAAAATAGTAAATGAGTTTGCGATTTCTGTTTCTCTCTTCAACTTTAAATAAGGAGAAAGGAAAGTAGTATTCTCGCTCAATCATTTTTTTAAAATTAATAGGAAATATTTAAGTAAAATCTTTTAATTATGGTTAAATACAAAAAAAAAGTTGAATAAAAAAACAACCAATAATTACTAATTACATGATTTAAATATTAAAAAATCTTATAAATAGTATGGAAAAAGAGTAATTATTAAAAAGATTGTTGCTCATTATAAGGGTTACATATTCCCAGATTTTAATTTTATTAAATTCTTAAATTAAAATTTTAATTCTTTAAGCCTTCCCTTTATAAAAATAACCTGTAACTTCATTTTTCATGCAAGCTTATTTATGCAGAAATATCAAATTTTAAAAATAGTTTTCCTTTCTTTAATTGATAATTTATTTGCAGCATGGTTTGCCATAAATATATAAATGTCCATTTAATTTTATATCTCAATGCAATTTAAAATAATTTTAATCCATCTTCTTTAGGCTTTATTTTTATTCTTCAATAAATAGTCAAATAATAGAATTCTCACTGTGGGTAGTGGCAACTGTTTTACTCATTTTGTTTGAAACCTTAAGCTAAAAGGTAAAACGATAAAGAACTTAAGTTCTTTTCTTTTGGCCCTCCTTTAAAAACCAAAATCAGTTTTTTTATATCCTTTCTGTATTGGGTTGGCAACTAAGTTCATTTTTCAAAATTTTTTTAGTTCATCTTTTTGCGTGTCATTTAATGTTTTTTAGCTGCTAGGATATACCATGAAATACATTATAAAGCCCTACTTTGAGATCTATTTAAATTCTGTTTTGATTCTTTCTTTTTAATAAAAACTGATGCTTTTATTTATTTTAAAATCAAGGCATAGATGATTTTACATGGGTAATTTCCATCATAGCAACAGCTCTTTAGACTTTGATAATTGCACTGAAATGATAAGGAAATATATTGCAAAATAAATGTAATATAATTACTAAAACGAAATATTCCAACTTAAAAATAACGTTGTTAGCAGAGTTTAGCAAAATAAACCTGTAACATAACTGTTATCCTATTATCTACATAAATGTGCCAATAAGAGGCATATTTTTAACAAATATGTTTCTAAAAATCATTTTGACCTTTTGAAGAATATTGATAATTTTAAATGTTATAATAGATTTTCCTTGGCTATGTTAAAAGGATTAAAAATTGATATTTTCCTTAGGTAATTATGAAAGCAATAGCATTTACGCCGAGGGGCTACTGGCAGAGCAGGAGAAATAGATATGACCTTTTCGTGACAGTAGTTGGCGTGATTTGGGTTGCTACTCATTTCATGCTAATGGTAAAAAAAATTTCATTATTTTTATTTAAATTGGTAAATGTTTCAAGTTTGTTTATGTTGTTTCAGTGCGTTATATGTTTTTATTTAATACTCATACCTAGTATCTGATTTCTGTTTGAGCTTTTTTTTTAGCAATGGTTAAAATTACTTTTAATTTGTATAAAAATTAAAATAATCATAAACAACCACAAAAATTTTTTAAAAAAATCAAATTTTTAATATTCTTTTCTTATGTTTTTTTTCTAGGTAAAAACAACAACTTTAATTTTTAAAAAAAAAACCTCATAAGGATGAAACAATTATCTTAATATTGAGACGCAATTTTTGATTTAAAAATTGGTAGAAAAATTAGACATATATTTTATTATCTTTCAGCTTTGCAAAACTGAAATTTTTTTTATTGAATTTGCTATAGCTTTATAAGACAAAAGCTTGAAATTCTCTTAATTTGACAAATTATGTAAATAAAAAATGCTAATTTACTGTAAAATCAACTTGCACAAGACTTTCTACTGAAATTTGAAAAATATAATATTACATATTTATTGTTTTATTTCAGAATAATACGAGCAATTCAATTGGTTATACAGTTGTCATCCTGCGATTTTTTACAATTACTGGAAAGCATGTAAGTTTCAGTTCGTCTTAATAAAAGTTTTTTTTTTTAAGTATTTCAGTATTTTTTTTGTTGACTAATAAAAGCTTAATTCATTATAGTTATATTATAAAAGATGCATGTTGAAATTCACTAATGCTTTGCAGAATTTTATAAAGCATATTTTTCATACTGTTTTTATTATTCTGTACTAATTTAGGTCAAAATAAGTTAAAACTATTGTATTTAGCATTTTAATAGTTTATAGTTATGAAATACAGCATGAACAGCTTTTTCTTCTTTTAAAGGTAAAATTTTTCAAACTCCGCTCACTTCCAAACAATAATTTTTCAAATTTGCACTTAATTGCAGCTATTGAGATCTAAGAGAAACAGTTATCCATCATTGAAAATTCTTTAATTTACAAAATCAACTGAAAAAGTTTTGAATATAAAAGGGGAAAAAAAGGTTTTTTCAAACTACTTTTTTTATATTTTAGTACAAATATAATTTCGATAATACAGTTGTCCCCACTTACTTGCATATTAATTATCGTTTAACCCGCTTATAGGAATAAAAATTTTTAGAAAAACTCATTTTAAATTTCCTCATTTAAATGGATATTTTTTGCTTAGTTGCATAAAAAAGAGGTACTGAAATGAAAAAATCTGTTTATTTTTAAGAAATGTTTCACCTGCTAAAATGAAATTTTCTCTTCAGAAGATAAGAGTTCAATAGGTGGTCATTTTCGATAAAGGCTTCCTGTTCATTTGTTGCTCTGAGCAGGTGTTAGGAGTATAGTTTAAGAATTAGTCAAATCTTGCTGGCAGTTATACATTGGAGTGAATGATGGGGGTTTTACCCCTCTTTACTTACTTCACTCACACATCATTTAGAATGCAAAAAGGTATGGACTGATTTTTTTTTCAGAGAAGACTTATGGTCAACCCCTCCTGGTGCCCTGGTGTGCTATTAGCTTTGATAAGAAAAAGTTTCAAAAACCTAACACACCTAGTGTACAGTGTGTCTTTCTCTAAGGTAGAATAATCATTGCTTACTCCTGTGAATACAAGATGAGCATGAAAAAGAATGATTTGTAATAATTGAAAAAGAAAAAAAAGTGGAAGTTGTGGGAGAAATGAATTTCAAAATTCCCAAATTAAGATAAAAAAAAATTCCCAAATTAAAATATTAAATTAAAATGATTATTATTATAATTTTAATTATAATAATAATTAAAATAATTTAATTTGGAATTTCTCAACTTTTGATAATAAAAGCAAAGTAAATAAAAAATAATTCTGAAAGTATCTAAAAAGAATACGCAAGTCATGAAAGTCTTAGTAGGTAATAAAAGAAAGGGAAAATCGAATTTTGATAAATTGAGGAAAGGTTAAAAAAACAGTCTTCAAATATAGATTTTTTTCAAAACAAATAAATATTATAGTACCTGTATTATTTTTTCATTAGCATTGATTTATTTTTATACAACTTTAAATGACATTTATATTTTATAATACTAATACAGTTTAAATTATAATTGTTTATTGATCATAAAAATGAGTATATTTACAAAACAAAGCACTGTACTACGCATTAGATTCCATTAATTGAATAGTGTTGGCTGGAACCAATGGTATTCCTTTGAGCGGGGTTGACTGTGTAACAGATTTTTTAGCAACTGTTAGACTGTTTTTTCATAATTAATATATATATACAGTCAGACCTCGATATAAGGTCATCCGCATATAAGGTCACCCCGCATATAAGGTCACTTTTTCAAAGTCCCGGCTCACTGAATAGGAATTCTTTGTTTCAAAATATTGGATATATGGTCAAGTTTTAAAAATCGTTATCGCTTATAAGGTCATTTTTATCTAAAGCGAGGGAAGCTCTTTTCTAACAAGAGCCTATTTAACTTCCTTACAAGGCAATTACCTCTTTCGAGTTCTAGGAAAATGTTGCAGCCAGCGAACAAGCTACAATTTCTGAAATTGTTTCACAAGTTGTGGACAGTGAGGACAATGACAGTGATCCTGACACTGTAGCTGTAACCCATGTGGAAACCTCCAATGCAATAAATGTGATGCAAAATTTTTTTACAAATCATGAGGGAGCTGAGTAACATTTTGAGAAGTTACAAAATCTAGAAAACATTGTTCAAAAAATGAAACCAAAAGCAAGACAGACCTGCATAAATGATTATTTTAAATAAGGTAAGATGTAATGTATGCATGTGGACTTTGAGGAAATTTGTAAACAGCTTTATTGTAAATTAATTTTCTTTTTAATCTAACATTCTTTAATTCTTAACTAATTCTGTTAAAATTTATTGACCTAAACATTTAATTTACGGCTGATCGTTTTCGTTTGTATTAACATTCTTAAAAGGTCTTAATGTGTACTATTTACGTGCTTAGTTACGAACTGCTAATGAATCGGTTAAAAGGTCGCCCTGCTTATAAGGTCACTTTTGCGACGTCCCTTAGTTTGACCTTATATCGAGGTCTGACTGTATGTATATATACATATATATATATATATCCTAGTCAAACTTTTTGATGGTTTTCCTTTGATGGTAATTATCAATAATTCCAGCATGAACCATTATATTTTTTGAGAGTAACCAACATATATATATATATATTGCTTGTAATTAGAGTGTCAGAAAGAAATATGTATAACAGACAGGGACACTCCCATCTGCACCAAAGGGTTACCTTTATTTTTTGTTCTGATATACTTCTCTTAAATGACGTAATACATTTTTCTTAAATTGCTATTTACAATTAGGTCTAATTTTATATTAGGCCCATTATATGGGTAGGTGTTATGTTAATATTAATTTAAATGTTTACTTCTTATTTACATTAGGTATTTAAAACTTTAGCTATTGTTTTTCTACATTAATTTAAATTTTTATAGTTTGCTTGTAGTTTGGCTATGTTGCCAGCAGTTTTTAATTTTAAAAGTTAGTCCATATTTTTTAACATTCTTAATAACTTCATTACTGTTTTTTTATATATATATATGAATAACTGGCATTCAAAATTTGATAATGAAGTGGGTAAACAAGGAATAACTTGATTATTTATGTTCAATTTTTTGTTACAGGCCACTCTGAAGATGCTAATGCTCACCGTTGTGGTATCTGTGTATAAAAGTTTCTTCATTATCATGGGAATGTTTCTATTAATTTTATTTTACGCATTGACGGGAGTTCTACTGTTTGGTACTGTTAAATTTGGAGAAAATATTGGAAGGTTTGTAACGAAAGATGTATTTGATTTGAATTAATGTCATTATTACTATTTGAAAAAGCATCAATTTTAAATTGATTTGCATGTAATTATTATGCATTAAGAAAATTATATGTGATATATTTATAACAAGTGCTCAGTTTCTTGTTCTCTTAATATAAAATTTAGTAACTTCCTTCTTTTGATCTGAAGTAAAATCATGCATACTCTAGTGATGTAGTTAAGGGGGAGGTTAATGGGGTTTGAACCCCCGTAATCAAATGAGTAAGAAAATTAACAGTTTTAATTACATGGAAAAAAATCTTTAAAAAAAAAGTTTTTCCCTTTTGTAGGAAAAAAATATATTAATTTGACAAAAACTTGCTATCAGAGTAAATTACACTTATTCTAACATTCTGAAAATATTGAGTGAAATATCAATATTTATATCTTTAGATGCATAGATATTACACCATTAAAACCGTTTTAAGGATTACAAAAATAAAATACTAGCAAGGTTTGAAACTTTTACTCCCTTAAATACTACCATGCACTGCCTTAAAATAATATTTGATTTGATGTGCAAAAATAGTAATGTTCCAATACAGTCCGCGGCCAAATTATTAGACACACTATAAGATTCTATGTAAAATCTTAATTATCAAGTGGTACTATACAGCGCTATTGTTTTTACCCGGCTGAAACCGGTTTGCACTTGTTTATGTTCATGTATCAATTGGTTAACATTGTAATGCAATAAACGTTAAAAATAAATAAAAATAGGAAATATATAAAAAATCCCCTGAATAAAAACCCATCACATGCATGTTTAATATAAAAGTATTGCATATAAATTCGTGCAAATTATGTAATTATTAAAAAAATTTAAAGCGTCTAATAATTTGATCTAATTATTATAGAATAGTATGTTATAGTAATATAATAACTGATATAATAAATATTGTATATTTTCATAATATATCATCTCATTTATCCAATCATCGAATTTATACAGTAGGGAACCGATTATCCGGAACGATCGGGACCATCGCTATTCCGGATAACTGATTTTTCCGGTTTTCTGAATCGCTACAAAAAGAAGTTTTTTTTATTGTTTAAACCCAACTAAAAAAAAAATATTTGGTAATAATCTTAAAAAGAAGAAAAAACGTTGAAGTAATACACTAATGATTATTTCCAAAATAATTGCAAGGTGAACATCTTTCAAAAAAGAAAGAAAAATCCTAAAATTTTATGAGGAAAAAAAATTTTTTTTTTTAAATGGCGGGAAAATGTATCGAATTTCGTTCCGGTTTTTTGGTTTTCCGGTTTTTTGAATTCCGGATAACGGATTCCGTACTGTATTACATATTGTCTAATTTAAAATACACGAAAGTAAAGAAGTGCAAACCGGTTTCACTCGCGTAAAAACAATAATGCTGTATAGTAATATCTGATAATTAAGATTTTACATTGAATCTTATAGTGCATCTAATAATTTAGCCAGGGCCTGTATATATATATATTTAAAAATCTTTAACACTAATGCTACAATAATTAAACATTGCTGAATTAATTATACAATGTAAGATTAGATAAAAAATAATATTTTTTTGTAGGCAAGCAAATTTTCAAACTGTTCCTAGTGGAATAGCTATGTTGTTTCGAATTGTAACTGGTGAAGATTGGAATAAGATTATGCATGATTGCATGGTAAGTTCTTTTTAATATATTTTAAAAACATATGCCATTTTAAAAAATCTAGAATTTTTAATTTTTATTTCAAAAAAAGTTATTCCTATTTTTTGAGCTCTTATTACCTCATACATGTTTACAAATATGTAAAGTGTACAAAAACATTGTTTATATTTAAATATAGCAAACACTAAGATTTGTGACTATGTCTTTTTTTTCTTTAGTTAAGTCCTCCATATTGTACTCTTGGTGAAAATTACTGGGAAACTGACTGTGGAAACTTCACTGGAAGCCTCATTTATTTTTGTTCATTTTATGTAATAATAACATATATCGTTCTAAATCTTTTAGTTGGTAAGTTTAAATTTGAAACAAATAAGATGTTGTCCTGAAATATTTTGATTTTATATTCATCTGGAAAATAAATATCAGTTTTTCATATTAACGAGTTAATTCAACTTAATTTAGTTTCTAACAAAGATATGTTTAAAATTACCTATTTTAACGTGTTTTTTTTTTAAATAAAATTTTATAGCCCTAATTCTATTTGAGATAGAAGCAATTTTTAAGTGGTTTCAAAAGATGAAAAATTACTTATTTTATTTTATATCTATTAATTTATGATTTTGATGATTATTTTATCAAGATAATAGGGTATTAATTCTGCAGTTATTCATAATTTCTTTCTTAGTTCCAGAAAAATATAGTGAAAAACTTATAATCGGAATCTAACTTTGCACCTAATACTGAAATCGTTAGATTATTTTAACAGTCATTATTAATATTTTATGTAGGAACAATTAGTTCCTGTTTACAGTATTTGACATGATATTTAACTTTAAACAAAACACAACTGCAATTTTTGTTTGCAATCCCTACCAAAAAGTCATGAACTAAAGTTTGATGACCTTAGGAGTCATTGCAGAAAAACGTTTACTAAACACGTTGACTGTGAGCCGCTTACAAGTGGTCATCTGTATCTATGACTGAAAAGAGGTAATTGATAATGTCAAATATTCTTATTTTGGCAACCATTTTTAAAATTAACATTAAGTTTCTTTCAATAGACGTGTTATTGTTGTTGAAAATATGATATTTTCTGAATAAAATAGTAGAATGATAATATGCATCTTGCTACCACTTGGTCTGTTTTATCGACGCAAACTGTCAGGATTTGTTTCCTCTTGCAGGATTGGCAGTGAAAGTGTTAATGAAGCAAGTCCAATAAAAGAATGATACAAATTCTATAACTGCCATTTTATCTCAACAAAACGTTTGAATTTTGGAACTTACGAATGTTTCCAATTTTATTTAATTAACAGTATTAAATTAAAAGTTATATTCAAATTGATTTAAAAATTACATTAAGTAATTCACTAAATTACTCTTCCAGAATTTTTTATTTTTAGAATTATTTCTTAGTTTGAGTACATAATTTTAATTCAAATATCATTAATTTGCGATTTGTTTTCTTTCAGCTATTATTATGGAGAATTTTTCATTATTTTATTCAAATGAAGAAGATGCTCTTCTTAGCTATGCCGATATCCGCAATTTTCAAAACACTTGGAATATGGTTGATACTCAACAAAGAGTAAGTTTATTTAAGACGTACTTATGTTTTGGAAGATTTTTTTATGTATTTTTGTTGTGATGATATCAAATAGCATAGTGCTGTGTGTTAAAAATAAGTTCCTACCATAGCTTTTAAGAAGTCTACTTAGATGCTTGGCTATGTTTCTATATTTGTGCTTTGCAAATTTACATCAATAATTGTTCTCAGATTTGTATCATTAAACTGTAATATTGTAATTAAGTTTTGACATTTAATAATGATATGAGCAATTTTCGATAGATGTATTTTTTATTAATGTGTATGCTACAGATAAAGAAGACAAACTTAGGTATAACCACCCGAGGTTGGGATTACCAAAGTCTGGATTTTTAACGCTTTTATGTTTAACCAGCTTAAACTAAACCTAACCAATCCTAGTTGGTTAAAACAAAGGGGCAACTATTATGATTTATCTGTAATTATATGATTTTGTAGTTAAAAGTACAGTAATTAGGTTCAATACTAAAAATTAAGTTATTATAGAAGTTTTGCTATGGTCGTTTTTTTTTAACTGCCTTGAGTTATAAAATCTTGTTGCAAGAACTTACACTTAAGTTAAAGAAACACTAAAAAAGTTAACTTATTTATTTAATAATAAATGCATGCATAATAATTGTTAGTTTTAGGCATTGTTAATTCCGCTTACTGATAACTAGTTCAGAAAATTAGCAAATTTGCTAAACCAAAAAATTTCATATGAGATTTCACAAAACTACAATCGACTTCTGGTAATCAAAGCTTTATAAATGTTTTTGTAATACAAAATGTGGAACCAAAAATTTTATGTAACTCTAAATGACATTCTAATTCATCCTACAATAACAAATAAATATTAAAAATATCTTAAATTAATTTAATTTCAATTAATGGTAATTAAGTTAATGTTCTTATTTGCGGTTTGATTTTATTACATAATTATGAAATAGTTGATCAACACGCGTTGCATAACTCTGAGCTCCAGCCGATTATGATGGGTTGGTTTCAGTATTAGCCTGTTAAAAAGCATTAAAAACTCTTTAGGCTTTAATCTCAAAATCTTGGTAATCTCACAAACTAAATTTACCAATCATTATTGCTTTAACTGTAACATAATCGTAATCATCATCATAATTATATTATTACAAAATTTTAAAATTATTATTATTATGCCTTTCAAAAAATTTATTTTATCTCTTTGTTCCTAAATTTCAACTCATATTTTTTTTAAAAAAACTATTAGCTTATGTATACTATCATAGATACTTAAGGTTAAACAAATCTGAAATTTGAGCTATGGATTACATGTAACGTGTCATTTGAAATACACAAGATGAAATTATAGTTGCTTGTTTATGATCGAACAAAAATTAATTTGGTTTTAACTATATTTTGTTTTTTTAATTTTTGCAACGGCTATGCTATAAATTTTCTCTTTTATTTAGGGTCTTATTCCAGTTAAAAGAGTAAAATTTCTGCTTCAATTGCTCAAGGTAAACCTTAAGGTAGATTGCACTTGGTAAAATAATCGATGTAGGTGTGGTAGAACTATAAGATTAAAATGTATTATTTATAACTTTGTAGGGAAGACTGGAAGTTGAGCCTGACAGAGATCGCCTTCTCTTCAAACACATGTGTTATGAAATGGAAAGAATTCATAATGGAGATGATGTCACTTTTCATGATGTCTTAAAGTAATAACTCCTATGCTATCCAGACATTGTTTATTTCCAGTGTTTTCACTACTGTGCGAGAATCTCACATATTTTTTTCTTTTCTCGCAATAAAAAATTATTAACCCGAGAAGTTCGCGCACTCTATTAATCAATTTCAAAATGCGCGAATTTTGGAAAAAATTTCGTCTTTTGCCATTTTGAATAAAATCCGTTTCACTTTTCTTCCTTCCTTAATCTTTCATTATTTTGAACATCGGTCCTTGTTATCTAGCTTCCCTATTTACCAGTATTGTTCAGAACCGGTGCGAACAGCAGAACACCCCCTCCCCCGAACCCCTTTCAGAACACATTTCTCTGCAACCGTGCATTCACCGTAGGTAAGGTTTCTTCATGTAAGACGTTTACATTTTTCGTGCATGATTGTAAGATGGACAAATACATACCTTGCTAAGGCGACATCTTCTATTCCGTAACGGACAAATTAAAATGAAAGAAATGTCGGTAGAAACAGTCAAAACGAAACAAATACAGATATTTTTCAGCCAAATAAATATAACAGCTGATAAAAAAGTAGATATAGAACATTTTCCATATGATGATGCAGCAAAAATATTCAATTAGAAGATGTGAAAAATGTATTATAATTAAAGAAATAATTTTTTTCCAAGTCTATTTGTGTTTTTAATTTTTAGAAATCTCGCTTAACTTTTTGAAATCTCACCCTGTTTCTGAGAAAAGGTGAGAAATTCTCTCCCATTTTTTTTTCTGTTATGAAAACACTGATTTCTATGTTTGTGTTACCGTGAAAGACCGAAATCGGTGATTGTCGACTTCCACCTATAATTGTCAGCAAATTCAGAATTGTCAACAATCACCTGTAAATGTCAGCAAAAGTAGTCACTTTGGTGATTGTTCATGTTATATCTGATTCGATATTAATTTATTTAAATATTTATTTGATATTTCAATGTCTGATTAGGACAGATTATGAAACACATCAGTGTTGGGAATGCTCTACAGGTGTAAGAGTATCCTCATGCTTTTTGAGATTAAAAATCTTTTTTGGTATTCCCTACATTGATGTTTTTTCAAGTGTCATTGGTCCAGTATTCCTTTCACTAATGTGTTTTCAAAGTTGATTGAGAAATCAGCTACAGCTTGGTTTTCTCAACACTGATGTTTTTCCTAATCTATCCTTAATTGAATATCGAATAAAATAAATAAATATCAAATTGGACATAATAAATATTTCAATCATTCACCTGAACAACTATGTGATTGTCGACATTCTTCAGATTTTGGTAACATGCATATTGTTTTTCAATGTCCTTAAGTAATACACAATTTTGTATTCTGAGAAAAAGTACTTTATATGTTATATTAATGATGTGAGATATTTTTCTATGTATATTTATTTATTGATTATATTCTTAATGATTAAATTAATTTGTTTTTAATGTTTATTTATCTTTTAAATCAATGATATCCAAAAATTAATTTTCTTATTTATTTGTAGACTGTATTTTAAATTAATAAAATGACTCGATTTCCATTTTTATTTGCGCTGGAAAGTTAGCATGTCTCTTATTTGGCTTTTGTAACTGAGAAACAGAAGAGAATAAAAACTGCATTGATTTCACAATTGGAACCCTTAGCACTTCATAATTTCAGATTAGTTTGGATCCTTTAAAACTTCAATGGAATGTTAAGTTCTCTTTGATTTGTTTGTAAATGTTGACTTATTTCACTTTAAAGTAATATAAATGTAATAACAAAGGTTGTGCAAGGATTATCTTTACTGGAAGGTTAAAATCTGTGACAAAAAGGAAGGACAAACTTTTTTGCTCTTTTTTCAACAACAACAAAAAATAAATTGTAATTTTTTTTTCTACAGTAAAGGTTTTTAATTTTATAGGATAAGACAGTCTTCATGCTTGCAATCCCTCTGTTGGACGACGCTTTTTTTCTAATATAGTTGGATATAAAAACCTTTCATAATATCAGGTTGAGTAAAAAGTTTTCCGCCAAAAAAAACAATCCTGTAAAATGATAAATAGATAGAAAATCAGCAAAGTTAATGAGGATAGTAATCTCCATTCAAATCAACAATAGTCTGTCAAAATTTTGGCAACTTTTCAATCCCTTCTGCGAAGAACTGGGGGGTGCGCGAGTCCAGAAAGCGATCAACCTCATTTATGACCTCGTCATTTGAACGAAAGATTGTGCCATCAAGATGCAGCTGCAGATGTGAAAACAGATAGTAATCCGAAGGTGCCATGTCTGGACTGTATGGTGGATGTTGCATCAAATCCCACTCCAGTGTGTAGAGGGTCCAGCCGGTCATTGCACTGACATGTGGCCGGGCGTTATCTTGATGAAAGAGAACCACCTTCCTTCTGAACTCGTTTTTTCGTTTTTCGCGAATGGCATCGCTAACATTGATTAGCATATTGCTGTATATTGTACTGTTGATAGCCTTCCCGCTTTTCAGGTTCTCCTTGTAGATAATTCCACGACAATCCCACCAGATACAGCGAAGGACCTTCTTGTTAGTTAGCGTTCGTCTTGCAAACGAACCTGCTGATTCCCCGGGTGCTGACCACCCTCCTTTACGTCTAGTATTGTTGTAGTATACCCATTTTTCATCACAGGTCACAATTCTGCCCAGAATGTTCTCTTTCCTTTGATCTCTGAGCAGAACCAAGCAGGCCGCTTTTCTTTTGCTCTTGTCTTCAGCAGTCAATTCGTGAGGCACCCAGCGGTTAAACTTAAATGTTAAATTTATGCGTTTGAGGGCATTTACTATTGTTTTTTGGCAAACGTCAAGCTCAAACGCAGTGGTTCGTGTTGAAACATTTCTGTCTTGATCAATAATTTGCTTTAATTGGTCACAATCAATCTCAATAGGGCGGCCAGAACGTGGTTTATCTTCAATGCTGAAATTTCCACTATTAAACTTTTGAAACCAAACTTTTACTGTATCATGAGAAACAGTATTGAAACCTAAACTTTCACACATTTTCTTGTGGCATTCAGTTACACTGAGTTTATTTCGGAACTCATAGTACATAATCGTTCTGATCTGCTTACGTGATAGCTCCATTTCAGACACTTTTCTGGAGCACAAGATGATAAAGTTTTGACAAACAAATTACACAGTTGTGTAGTTCCAACTTTAAAATGCAAAAGCCCATTTCAGAAAAGGTTAACTACCGCGGGAATGGCTGCTGCTGGTACGGAGGTATCTCCCCTTGGCGGAAAACTTTTTACTCAACCCAATATGTGTAAAATCACATAAATACTCAATTTTTAAGTAGTTACTCAAATGTTCTAAATCAAGTTACATGAAAGTGTTAAATTAATCCTAATTAGCATTCCTTAATTATTTCAAGCACAAAACAATGAGCTGAATGATTCGATTTGTTTAATTTTTAGTTGAGTGTATTCAATAAATGTTTGCGATTGCCTTTTTAGCATGCTGTCCTATCGATCAGTAGATATCAGAAAAGCATTGCAGCTTGAAGAACTTTTAGCAAGGGAAGAACTTGAATACCTTATTGAGGAAGAAGTAGCCAAGCAAACAATACGCCAGTGGTTAGATAAGTGTCTCCGTCGAATCAAGGCTGTAAGCTTATTTCAATTTTTTTCTTGTTTTTATACTTTGTGTATATACATTTTAGATTAGGAAGAATATAAAATACATTAATTTATCAATGCTTTCTATAATAAGGCATTAATTTATTATTTAAATCGATGGTATAATCTTCAATTGTTTTCATTGCTTTGTATTGTTACCAAATTTTAATTAACATTCAATATATATATTTAAAAATAATAATAATTTGAAATTTAAAATTAATTACAACATAGTAAGGATACACTTTAATTATTGTCTTTTAGAGGTTTTAATTGAAATAAAAATATAATTAAGTATTTAATAGACATAATTTTTACAAAAAAAAGGGGGATGATACCAAGAAAAACATTTTACCACAATCCTTCGTTCTTGAAAGATTCTTGATCTTGGTGCTCTGAAATAATTTTTTTATTTGTTTCTTCACTTAAAAATCTGGCAAAGAAATAAGGAGGATGCTGGGAAGTTGCAGCATGTTTGTCAAAATTTTAGAAAAGAGGATTGGATGGACTTTTGTGTCATTTCCAAATAGGCCAATTTTTGCAGGCCTTTTCAGGTTCCCTACACTCACATCAGTTCACCAAGGAGGGAGAGCTTCTCTTCCAAGATGGGATGTCACAAATTATTGCACATGCTGCTCCAGTGGTGAAAACTTGCCAAGAGATGGGAGCCCATGTGCTATCCCCAAACTGTGCGAATGAAATAATTTCAAAATTTTTCTCATTGAAAAATAAAAGAGCATAAATTAGGATTTTATATTATAGTAAATAATATTAAATCCCCAAAAATATAATAAATTCTAAACACACAGTGATAGCACAAGCCTATATCCAAAAATTTAGAAGAACTGAAAAGAACTCATATTCATTCATCAAGTGGCACTAAAAAGGTATGCCAGAATGAGGTAAGCCTGCCTTGGTGGTAATCTAGCAAAGTAAAATCGATATAACGAAATCAATAGAGATTGTGCACCGAAAAAAATCTGGATTTTCGCTAACCTTGATCTGGAAATCCAAGGTCCAGAAGTTTCAAAATATCATCGATCACATTTAGGTACAAAAATTCTTGTATGTTTTATTTAAAAATATTAGAACTAGAATTTATACATGGCATCTCTTTCATTTGTAAATATTTTTTGGTGGAATAATAAATGTGATTAGAGGTAAAAATAGACTTATACATAATTATTCATTTAAATTATGCTACATATAATTTATTTAGAATTTCATGTTTTCAAAATATCAGTGATTTAAATTTATAAAGACATTAATTTTTTGAAATGGGTCATTAATGATTTTACTCAAGAAATTTTCAGGATTTTTGAGTTGGGCTCACTATCACCCCTGAATCAATCAATCGCGATTTAAAATACAAACACGGTGAAAAATAATAACACTGAGAAGACTAAGTTAATATGTATATGAAAGTTAATTTTTCGACAGAAAAATATGATACTAAGCTAATAAAGCTATGCTATTGTATTTTTGACACATTTAGAAATATCACTTATTGAAAGAAGAAAAAAATTTCTTCAATTTAAGTACCATTATTGCTATGAGAGTCATGAAGGAAATTATGTATAATAATGCCAATGCAATATATCTATGATTTGAAATAAAATAGTTTCAACATATTATCTGGTATTAACAATTTCCAACTTCTTTTAAATATAGCAAAAGCAACAAAACAGTTTAATCAATAGTTTGAGGGCTACAACTGAAGCATTGCTTGCGGGCACAGAAATTCTTCCTAACAAGCCTGTTGCCTCAGAAACTAAAGACGAAAGCAAAGAAGAAGCATCGGCTGCTTCTGCGAGGCATCGTAAAAAGGGCCAGCTGCCCGGAAGATCGGACAGCATTTCCTCCCAGGTGAGACAGGAATATTTACTTTGAACAATTCATTTAAAATTTAACAAATAATTGTTTGGAAAAGTTTTAAGAGTGTTTCAAAGAAAAGAAAAAATTTATTAGTTAAACCATGTAGTCTCAGAAAACATCAGAATGCTTTTATCAATTTCATCACAACATTTAGCCTTTTTTTTTTCTTTGTGCTTTGACAGACAGCTTCTACATGATTGCCATTGTTATTTAGGCACTTACTGAGATGTAAATTCTTTAAAACTGGTGCAATCTGTTTATTTTCAGTGGAAAACCATGAAGTTAGTGGATAAAGCAAAACAAATAACAATGTGAATAAAGCACAAATAAAGGTACAGGAAGGGACATACTATAGTTTTGGATATATAAACAAGAACCTTCCTAGGAATCTAAAAATAAAATCACTGTGGTCATTTTGTGTTTAAACATTAGAGAAGGTTGTTTATAGAACCGAAACGATATTCTGTCTATCTCTGTATCTTTATTTGTGCTTTATTCATATTGTTTTACTTTATTCGTATATAACACAAAATGAAGTCTATTTTTAATACTGCTTTTCAACTTTTTATTTAAAATGCATTAACTTAAAAACTTTTTCTGTTTCTTAAAAGTTTAAAATCATGAGACTTTTGGAATTATGTTAATTTGATAAGTAAAAATAATAAGTAGATGGTTGATTTGTGTTGCATGTGACTTAGCTTATTACTTACTTTTTTTACTCATATTATAATTGGGATTTACTTTTCTTTTAATGTAATATTAGTTATGTCTTTTCCAGACTATTATTTTGATTCCTGTGTTTCATTTGAAACTCAAATTACCTCATTGAATTATAGTACAATTACACAGAATTTTCCATGATGAGAATGTTCCAAATATTTTAGTAAAATAAAAATTTACTGCATGTTAGTGAGAAGTTAGGTAAAAAAAATTGATAAACATGATGTTGCCATAGCAGGTGCCTGCGTAAGTGAAAATGCATTTCTGTGAAACTCAAATCTTGTACATCCAAGTTACTGATCACACACAAATTACGTTATTAAAAAGAAATAAAAGCTATTTATTAAAATAACTTGCATTGCAACTTTGTAATTAAGATAACTTAAGTAAATAAGTATTAAAATGTGTAAATGAAATTGTGTAGTTAAGTTCTATTTTTCTACCTATTTCTAAATTATAAGTAAATGTGATACACTGTCATATTGAAAATTGTTTAGAATGAATTTTTTCAGGCTTTAAATAAATTAAGGTATTAAATATTTTAAAGGCATGATAATATCTGTAAAAAAATATTTTAAAAAAAAGTCATATTTTTCTCTGCAAATCTGTTTTAATGTTGGCCTTACATACTTCAGTTTTTAAAGCTTCTTACCTTGGTGGCACAATAGCTCAGAATGACCTTTCTCCTGAATTCAAAGTTTTAAGTAACCCTATTTTTGGTTTTCCAGCTACTGATTTTCAATGTTCTTAAATCATCTTCAAGTCAGTCCATACTATTATAAATAAAATTATGGTAGAAATAGAATTTGTATTATAAGTTTAATATATTTTGAAGGATTATTTCATGATTTGTTAAATTATCAAAAATAAAGTTATTTTACAGGAACTTAAAAGTTTTGAATGACTAGCAGATCAAGGGACATTTCTTCATATAGCTTATGAACATTATTGACTATTGTTTCTGTCATTTTTTTGGATTTACAAGTAGTTTTAAACTAAAATGTAAAAATAAAGTTACTGGTACTTTTAATTTCAGAGTGGGAGAAAATTTTTGGCCCCTTCCCTTTCTGATGGAGCTGCACGGGCTGAAAAGGATAGGTTTCCAACAAAAAAATGGAATGCAAGGCAACCAGGTAATGATCAAACAATCGCAATATTATTTTGTTTTAAAGAAGTTTGTTATAATTACAATTTTATCATGTTTGAAACAAAAATAAGTCAAAAGATTTACATTTTTTAAAATTTTAATACGAGAAATTGTTAATTTTTGAAACCTAAAATTTGTGATTATGTATTTAAATAATTTATCTAGGGGTGGATTGAGCGTACGCGGGGCCCTAGGCCATTCAAATTTTGGGGGCCCTTAGATTACATTTTTATCTCGTATGTTTTTTATTTATTCAAATATAAAAGTATTTATACATCTTTTCATTCAGGACAGCATATTTGAAATAAAAGTAAATAATAAATTAAATTTTACTTCATTTTGTTAAATTAGAACTAAAAAAATTATTTTATTTTATTAATATATATTTGAAATCGATTTTTTTTTTAAAAAATCATTGTTTTTCTTAATTTTTTAAAATTTATTTTCAAAAAAGATTTTATAAGGGGGCCCCAGGCCATGTCCCAGTCTGGCCTAATGGATAAGCTGGCCTTGAATTTATCAGATGAGATGATTTAATTATTCTAAAGGGAAAATTTCCCTTTCATTATCAGCGCAAAAAAAAAGTTGCCAAATTCAACTGGGCATCACCACCTGAAAAACTAAAAAAAAAATCATCATAAAAATCATGGCCACTACATATTTTTTTTTTTTTTTTTTCAAAAATATTTGCGTGTACACAAACCCCTTTGGCACTTTTGCGAGTGTACTTGATGCGAACAGATACTAATACAGAAATATCCTCATTCATTGTATCTTTGTGTTGATTTTATTCTTCTTTGTGTTTAGTGAATTTAAGCTTTTAGTTTACAGATTGCTTTTAGAATGGCTATTAATTATTCAACTTAAGACTGCCCACATGGAGAAATGGTTACAGAATATGAAATATTAAAAAGCTGTAGTTTCTTTTTAAAAAAAATTATATGCTTATTGTTTTCTGCTTTCTATGAAAATTGCACAAAATTTAATTTCTGTTTAAAAATAATGTTTACAAGACTACATTTTATACTGCAGGATCCAAAAATCTTCCAGACTTGAGTGAAAGCAGTGAACTGTCTTCCCCTACTCCCGAAGAAGATGAAGGGGGTGCCCAACCCATAACTCAAAAAATGATCACTGTAGTCGTAGATGTCCAGTCATGGTGGACTTCACAGCTCGGCTACAATAGTGGTTCCGATTCTGAAGACTAAGTGTTATGAATTTTGGTGTTCTCCCATAATATGTGAAATTTTGGGTGTAATAAAAATTGTATGTTGTGTATATTGAATGTTTTTTTGAGATACACTGATTTGTTTGTCTTCATAACATTCTAAAATAATTTGATTTCATAATGGTACTTGAAAAACTATCCCTGCAAATATGCTTATAATAAATTTTCTAATTATAATCTAAGTTTAAATTGGGGTTCTCAACTCAAAGTTGTACATTTAAGCCTAAAATCTTGTAGTATTATAAATGTGCCACCTGGGTGGAATACCCTACCCTTGCTATGCTGTTTAGCGAATTTGCATTATTGCTGAAATTCAAAATATTCAATGACAGTTATTATTAGTTTCAGAGGGAAAAAAATTTAAACAAAAATGTCTCGTTTTACTTTTTAGAGCTATTAACACACATTTCCTTAAAATTTTGTAATTAATGTGTGCAAAAAATGTGAAAAGCAATATCAGTGTTTTCACTACAGCGCGAGAATCTCGCTTATTTTTTTCTTTTCTCGCATTAAAAAGTTATTAATGCGAGAAGATCGCGCACTCTATTATTCAAAATGAGTGAATTTTGGAAAAAAATTCGTCTTCTGCCATTTTGAATAAAATCCGTTTCACTTTTCTTCCTTGATCTTTCATTATTTTCAACATGGATCCCTGTTATCTAGCTTCCCTATTTACCAGTATTGTTCAGAACCGGTGCCAACAGCAGAACACAATGCCCCCCAAATGACAGAACACATTTTTCTGCAACCACATGTTCACGGAAGGTAAGATTTCTTCATGTAAGACGTTTACATTTTTTTCAATGCTACAAATTTACAATTTACTTAGAGATTCCGAATTGTTCAGCATCTGTTGCAAGGTTATTTAGCACTCAAAACCGAGTTAGGACAAAATATCTTATACAAATGACTGATAAATATTTGAGCAACCTAATGAGAATAGCTGATGAAAAAGTAGATATAGAACATTTTCCATGTGATGATGCAGCAAAAATATTCAATGCTTTAAAAATTAGATGTTAAAAATGTAATTAAAGAAATATTTTTTTCCAAGTCTATTCGCGTTATTTTAATTTTTAGAAATCTCACTTGACTTTTTGGGATCTTACCCTGTTTTTGAGAAAGAGTGAGAAATTCTCTCTCAGTTTTTTTCTGTAATGAAAACACTGAATATAAAAAACATTTATTTTGCTACTGTAAATGAGTTGTAGTATCTGTATATGCTGGGATAAAGAATGAAAAGAAATAAAAAAAATTCAAAATAAAAAATAATATTTTTAAAAACCACGTTTTTGTAGTGGAGAATAACAATTAAAAAAAAATTGAAAAGCGAAAAACGTGGGGCGCATGAAATACATACAGTAATATAACAGTAATGTTATATTAGTGTGTGTATGTGTGCTCTTGAGAATATGTATATTTATATCTATAATTGTAATTGTATCTGAATGCGGAATATGTTTGTGTATATGCATATGTATGTGGATGTATATGTGGCTGTGCATGTCTATGAGTAAGAAATTGTGTATATGCACTGTTATGTATTTCATGCACCCCACGTTTTTCAATTTTTTTTAATTATTATTCTCCACTACAAAAACGTGGTTTTTAAAAATATTATTTTTTATTTTAAATCATAATTTCTTTAATTTTTATTTTATATTTTTTAAAAATTATTAATTTTTAGTTATTATTCTTCACTACAAAAAACGTGGTTTTTAAAAATAAATTTTTTTATTTAGATTATTTTTCTTAGTCAAGACTACTACAAGACCACTACTAAAATAATAGAACTTTCATTTTAAATTAGGGATACCAAAATCTTTATAGAAAAACAGTACCTTTACAACTTTCATTAGTTTTATGCTGATGACAACCAAAACAATCTGGAAATGAATGAGGAAAAACTGGATCCTACCACGTGATTTTTCAGCCAATAAAAATACTCCGACAATAAAAATCTTTTCACCTGACATGTAATACTAATTTGAAATAATGGAATCAACAACAAAAGACAGTCTCGAAAATAATTTTTTTTTTTAAATTTTAATTTTTTTTTACTTTGTATGTCTTTTTTCTCTTCATTTTCATGCGTTGTCATCCAATTCTGAACTATGTGCCAAATTTGAAGTTTGTAGCTAGTCGGGAAGTTAGTTTAAAATCGATTACAAACTTCCACCCGGACAGACATACACGAAGGCAAGTTTATATGAACGTGGTAAAATATAGTTTGTTTAAGGAACTCCCTTCACTAGTCATTTACACCATTGTTGGTGAACATGGTTACGAGGTTCAATTATCAAGTAGAGGTATGGGGTAAAATTTCAGGGCAAGTTTTAACATGGGTCAGTGAAAGAAGTATGAAAACCTCCCATCTGTATAACATGCTTGTTTGTATAGTTGCTAACAACCTCAGACTCTACGGCAAGAGGAGTTCTTTAGATGGGCAGATTATAATAGCGTGTCTTTGTAATTAAACTTAGAACTATATTGATTCTATAGCTAGACCCTCATAGTTTATAAGCATCCGTAAAAAAATTATTTTCTACTCAGTATCCGTACAAAGAAAAAAATTTTCTGTAAATTTGGATTTCGCAAGGAAATTTTGTGTATTTTATACCTCACACAAGCAATGATAAATATGCAAACATCAAGCATGGCATTATGAAACAAAAGGACACAAAAAACGAAAATGTTAAAGGAATTACTAAAAGAAAACAAAAAATTTTTAAATCTAAATTATTAATTCTTCTATGTAAAAAAACGCACTTAAAAGCAGCAGAAATTTCACAAAAAGGATAAATGTAGCAATAAAGGAAACGAAGGAAATAAAAATATGACCACGGAAGCAGACATCTTCAGGGGGTACCAGCCCTGGTAGCCATAAAACAAAACCTTTTCTATTGAGGGGAAGGCGATTGCCTAAAGTAACACCCTCAGTACCATGAAGGTTTTGTATAGAAGTCCAAGAAAAAACATGAAATACAAAGAACTAATTTAGAAAATGTTTTTTCCTGGACTTCTATACAAAACCTTCGGGGTACTGAGGGTGTTACTTTAGGCAATTGCCTTCCCCTCAATAGAAAAGGTTTTGTTTTATGGCTACCGGGGCCAGTATCCCTTGAAGACGTCGTCTTCTGTGGTCATATTTTTATTTCCTTCGTTTCCTTTATTGCTACAAATGTTTAAGGCATATAGGACTCAAGGTGCAATCGTTCTTCTTCAATCTATAAGTAATGTAGGGTCAAGAGCAGCTCACGCTCAGGTAATATCATGCTTTAAGAAAGATTAGGTATTCATCTGATGTATTCTAAGAAAATTAAGAGGTCAAATTGTGAGAAATCTATAAGCCTTAAGTATTCTCTGATCGTCAAATTGTATATATAATTTGATGTAGAGAACGAAGGATAACTGTCAGTGTAGATTGTCTTCAATAGCTCATTTGAGTGGTTCTTAACATGTCCTCCCACAAAAATGTTACATAAGGATTCAAAGTTGCTATCACTGCCATTCTCCATACAAATAATTTTTGCCATTATGTGTGTTTTTGTATACAAAACAATAAAAAAAAATGTGAGTCATTCTTCATATGTCCAGGGTATCCGCGCACCAGGAAAGTCATGAATTTCGGTATTGAACATAATTCGTCATGAAATGTCATGATTTTAACTATTTTTTTAAAAAAATCATGGAAAGTCATGGATTTAGGTTGATGAAAAATCTAAATTTTAAAATGGAATCCCCCCCATCTCACGGTCTTCCGAATATCTGAATTTGTAATAAAATCCCCTCTCACAGTCATATTTTGTTAAAATATAAAATGTTTTTATCGTGTTCTTTAAAAATTATGTTCCTTCAAAAAATGAAAGAAAAAACATTATTTCTCGAATGAATTATCTTTTAAATTTCTTGATTTCAAAATTTTTATTATTTTTTATTTTATCAATTTAAAGTTTCAGCTGAAGCAAGCCAGTCATTGGCGAATTTTTTTAATTCCGAAACAAGAACAGAAAAATCAGGAGTATTTCTTTCCTTTCCAGTGAACAAGTAAAGTATCTTTAGAATATAATTTTGCAGAAAAAAAACTATTTGCTTTTGTATTTTTTTCAGCTATTTTATGGCTTCAACTCCTTCTTTACTGTTTTTTAAATTTAAAATCTTTAAATATGAAGATTCAGAGTATAACAGTTATGGTTATACCTATAATTTCAATTAATGTTATTATAATGCTTTTTTAAATTGATTGTTGTGTTTTTGTCGGAGAAAATAGTAACTTTGTTAAGTCGTGAAAAATTCTTGGAATTAGGCTTTCAATGGATGAATCTCAGGATTGCAGAAGCACAATGTGGTTAAGCAAATAAATACTTCAAACTTTGCGTTTAGATTTCTCAAGCACTTCAAATCAAAGGTGTTCAATACGTTTTTCGTTTTGCGCATTATTATGACAGACTACGATTCTGTAATTACCTAGAGAAAGAGGTTGCTTACCGAAATGTGTTATTATAGAATAAGTATTATGTAGCACCAGGGTTGGGCTTTTGGGCGTCCTAAACTGGTTTTGGACAGGACACGCGGGTTTTACTGTCTTAAACTGGGTAAAACTGTCCAAAAGTGTCCAAAACCTTGAACTTTGGTTAAAGGTAAAAATTCTATAAGTGTAACCATTGTACACATAATAATTACATGTATCAATAAATATTTGATATTTTTTATACAATTTACTATAACTTATTAAAAGAAAATAATATAATATAATAGGAAAAGGCTTATAATTTTTGAAGCTCCACAATTCATTGAACAACAAAAGTGAATACCTAATCCTTTAAATATAAATATGCCTTTAATACTGATAAATAATATTTTCGCATAAGTATAAATATGGCAATGTTAAAAAATAATAATTTTTCTAAAAAAAAAATACTAAATTTGTTCAAAAATTAACCTTTTATTTTTCACAATATTTTTTGAAAATTTTTTTATAATTTCTGCATCACAGGATGATAAAAAAGACATCTATTTAAAAAAAATTATTTTTAAATATAAATATATT